TCAGAAAACAATTTGACTACGTTGATTTTTATTGGAGACTTTGTCAGTAAATACGTGTACAATGTGCTGCATTGTACTGCGACAGAGTGCAGTAGGGTGCAATTGTAGTTGTATTTAAACAAGCAGATTTCTTTTACTTTTCACTGTACTATAAATACCCCCTCCATCCACCCTCAAAAGACATCTCCTATATGCAATTTTTACTTGCCATTGATTGTATGTTGGGAAATTTGCATAACGCAAGTTCGATAACTCAAACTATGTCCCTTTGAACACCGTAGCAAAAACGTCTGCTTTATCTTATGCAAATCCTTGGAAAATGCAAACGAATAACATGCCTCTCTACTATATCAGACTTTAGAAGGCTTCTCTCAACTGATCAAATGTAAAGGTCAGAGTACTGAACGGTAATAAGACGTGTTAAGTTTGATCTTATTGTGAGTTCATATCACTTACCAAGTACTGCATAGCAGTAATGAAAAGCCCTTTGCTTCTTCTAGAAAGTTATTCGCTGCTATGCTTGATAGAATCTCTGAATGTTCACTCATAAGTCAAAATCAAGAGTTCTTTTTTACACTTTTTACCCTGATTATAAAAATAGTTAAAAATTTAGACATGTCCTGTTTGTTCGTTTATTTACTCTCAGACCATACAATGGTATATGAGGTACAGGAACATATTTACATATATACAAAATACAAAGTCAAGTAAGGAAGAGTAGTGTCAAATAAGAAAATAGTTACTGAAAGCAGGCCAATATCTTTTTAGCAAACAAAGACAGTTTTAACAGCGAGTCAACATTTGTGATGGACATAATTTCCTCAAACTTATAAGTATTTACATGAGAACAATACTTCTTATCGATAAGTTCTACACGTAAAAACGAAAAAAATGGAATTCCATTACATAATGAAATTCACCACCCAAAGTATTTTTGTTACATAAATTACATAATCTTAAAGATCTATCAGTATTAGTCCATCTACCAGCTTCTCAAGCATTAAAATGCAATGTACTGCAGCGCACTTATATCTTTATTTAAAAGCAGCATTACTGTTTGCATTTGAAAGAGCTTCATTCTACATGCGATCAAAATTTCCTCTGGATGTTTCGCTTATGCTAAAATCAGTCCTTTGATTAATAAAAATTTCACTTAACTAACTGTTGTTTGATGAGAACTGAGCTCTAAGTACTGTTATTAGAATAAAAACCCTTTATCCTTCCTGGGGCTTATCTGCATCTCTCTCAACGTTTTCACTCATCAGTCAAATACGAGGTTTCTATTTTGTTCAATCTTTCGTATACCCAAACAAGTCATTCGACAAAAATCAGCAATACGTCTCTTAATCGAAAAGTCCTTTGACATGCATGTAACTACTTAATTGTAAATTTAGGTTCATTAAAAAGAAAACGACTAGTCTGTTTTCAAAACTTTTTAAAAGAGAATTGAAATTAATTTTATTATACAAAAAGAGTGTTTGTTTCAACCTTTTTTGCAATAAAATCATTTGAAACAAAATTGGACTTGATTTTATTTGATTGACATTGCAGTACCGTAAAGTGCAGTTAAATTCTTAAAAAGACAAACAGTAACGATTCTCTGCAAACAACTCATCAGTCAAATACAATTTTTTTTCACTTTTAAGCTTAAGGGGGCCGACTGGAGTTTCCACTGCGCCATATTTCGCGCACCATAGTAATATGAAGCTTATTTACTGTTTTAAAGCAACTTTTTACACTTAATTAATAAAATTAAACAAAATTTAAAAGAAATTGCGGGTTTAAAAATGTAATAACCATTTTATATAAATTAATTTTTAATAGATTTTTGCAAGTAATAGATTGGTTGACGTCTTTTTAGTGTGTTTTTGACCTTATGATAAACTGAAGCTCTTAAAGAAAGGGGGTAATGAAAATGTTATTAAAGAAAAAGTAATAAATATACTTTTTTGAAATTGAAACATAAAAAATTGAAATTCTCCATTATTTTTATTTTGTTTTCATAAAAATCCTTTGTGCACGTCATATTTTGTAATACTCTATTAAAAACAGGAAAATTCGTTAATGTTTGGCATTTTGAAATGCCCACTCTGGTAGCAAGACGGTAGAATTTTTTGTTCCTTACATATAATGCACAATATGGTATTACTCATCATATATCATAGTTTGAACAAAAAGTCTATTGTATAGTATTTGTATAACTTGCTTTAACATGCTAAAAATTGGCACATTCTTATAAAATCCTATAGTAAATATCCTATAGTAAATCCTATAGTAAATGTACCTGTATTTTGAGACGGGCCGTCTTAAGAAAACCTGGACGGTAGATTTTCCCCAAACTTGGCAGTCCTCTTCGTGCTTTGAGCACATAAGGCCTGCACCGAGGACCTCCATCTCTGTCTGTCTTCTGACATTGACTGCACCATGCCCCAAGTCCATCCCTGATCTTTCATGTCTTTTTTAATTGACTGTCGCCATATCTCCTTTGGTCGCCCTCTGTTTCTCTTTCCAGGTAGAGTCCATCTTAAGGCTACCCTTGGTATATCTTATGGTTTCATCTTCATCACATGGCCAATCCATTTTCATAGTCTCTCTTTAATCTGGTCAGACATAGCAACCGTGTGCGTTCTTTCATACAGCTCCTCACTGCTGATCTTGTTTGGCCAAAATATCTTGAGTATTCCACGGAGACATCTTGTTTGGAAGGTATCCAATTTTTGCGTGATGTTCTTTGTCACATTCCATGACTCAGATCCATAGAGGAGGACTCCAATGACATTTGTTTTGAATATCCTTATTTTAGTTTTGGTTCTGATCATTGAAGATTTCCAAATGTTCCGTAAGTTGGCAAAGATGGCATGGGCTTTTTCTTCTACTTTCAACGTCCATGGTGGAATCTCCATTGGCTGTGATCTTACTGCCAAGGTATATAAAATTATCAACTTCTCCTATTCTGTTGTTGTTTTCTGTAACTTTCTTATCTATCTTTGTATTTATCTTCATTAACTTTGTTTTGTTTACATTTATCTAAGTCCAATTTGTCTACCATACTTGACAAGTTCATCAGTTTTACTTTGAATATCTTTGTAACGCTGTGATTGTAAAGCGATGTCATCTGCACAGTCAAGATCTTCTAGTGACTGTTGAAATGTCCAGGATATTCCTCTACTGGTCTGACAGGGAGTGATTTTCATAACCCAGTCTATGCAGACATCCCTGTCGTACCACAGTTTGGATTGGGAAGCTGTCTGTTGGTTCTGTGCCGCAGATCACCTTTGTCTAGAAGTCCTTATATAGCATCTGAATGATGGATGTGATCTTGTTAGGGATGCCATAATGTCTGAGGATCATCCATAAAGCAGGACGATGTATACTGTCAAATGCTTTGGCAAAGTCGATGAAATTGGCATACAATGTAGCATTCCATTCATTGCTCTGTTCTAAAATTTGCCTTAAGGAAAATATCTGGTCTGTGCATGATTTTCCTTTTCTAAATCCAGCTTGTTCTTTACGAAGGTATGGATCCACCACTGAGGCCATTCTGTTTAAGATGACTTTGCTGGTAACTGACGGCAACATTATTTGTGTCAGGTAAGTCACATCACCATGAGACCAACCTTCCAATCAGCTGGTGCTGTTAGTTTGCAGGATATCTGTGAGAAGTCTAGGTGCTAATACTTCCTCAGCTTTTAACATCTCTGCATGTACCTGATCGATCCCTGGGGTTTTCCCATTCTTAAGAAGTTTGATGGCATGTTTTACTTCCTGGATTGTTGGTGTATTGGTATCGATGTCCAGAGTGTCTATTCCTTCAATAATTTCAGCATGATCTGTTGATGGACATTCCTGGTTTAATACCCTTTCAAAATGATTTTTCCAACAGGTAATGTAAGTTATACATGTATATTGTATAAAATGAAGAGTTTCGCTATTGTAGTTTTTACACCATAAATCTCCGGTCGCCATTTATAAAAATGGTTAAAAAATTAGACATGTCCTCAAGTTTAAAATGCAATGCACTTTAACGCAGTTATATATTTATTTTTGTCCTAACTCTTTCGTGTGTTTTGAATATTTCATATGCGATTTTTTTCAATTCAATCGGGGGGGGGGGGGGGGTGTTGTTGTTGATTTTTTTCAGATTGAAGAAATGTTGAATAAGGTTTTTTTACTGTTAGATGAAATATCATGGTTTTTACCTTCATGTTTTTCACACTACGGCTCTCTGCACGCTATGTTCAGGCAAATCCCCCATCTCAATTTTTTAAACTGAAAGGGCGATTAAGAAGAAAGTCGAAAATAAAAAGAAAGAATATTTCCTCTTTAAAGCAAAAGCATTTCATTCACATATTTCCTTGCGGGCAAACCTCACCAGGATATATTGTATCGACATAAGAATGGAAATAACCATTGTTAATTGACAATTAATACGGCATCGATATAACTAAATGTCGAGTTGAATGCCACAGGAATTGTTTTCTTCTTTTCACGTTTAAGATTTTGGACAAATTCTGTTTCATTACGTACAAAAATAGGTCTGCTAATAATGGGGCGCAATTGGTACCCATGGGAATTCCAACAGATTGTTGGAAGCCCTGGTCTACGTGTAATATTTATATCCTCGTTTGAAATGTGAGAATGTATGCATAGTGATCGGGGTGTCCACCCGTCTAGCTGTCTGTATGTATTCGTCTGTCCGTCTGTCTGTTACGCTTTGAGGTACCCACCTCTAAACACCACTGATCAATGAAATTAAATTTTTATCTCAGTTGGACTCATTTCGGTTCTCCTAGAATAAAACATGGACTTTTCCATTATAACATATGGGATGCAGGAGTATCACTATCATTCAATTAGCTCAGTCTTCACAGTATCTGTAGTCTTCTATTAGATGCCTGCAACGTGAATCCGGAAATGAGTGAACCGTTATTGGCACGTCGTTTAGTCTCTCTTTTCAATATGGCAGCGCCCATGCATGATCATGGAGAGAAATAATAAATAAATTTCAGCTTAATTAAGTCGCGGTGCTTCTACGTTTCATGTAGAGAAGGTAAAGTATTTATTTAGAATGTTTTTAATCAGTAATTTTGTAAATTATCCATTTGCTCCAATATTTATTCTATACAATTGCATCACTATACACCTAGCTGTTAATCTTCTTGTAAAGAGAAAACACACACACCTACACTGATTTTCCATCTTATGTGATTTTCGTGAGTGTGTGTTGCAACTTTGTATAGAGCAAATGTACTATACAGCTTTACACAATGGGGGCAAATCCTTGACATACCTGTAGGCAGTGTGACTTGACCAATGCTTTCCTTGAATGATTTATTTATAAGTGCTAATATGCATGTTTAGTTTGTATTGATGCTTGTTGCTAAAAAAAATATTTTTCTCCTAACAGAGCTAGTGGTCTGATAAAACAATCTTGAAGAGAAAACATGTGAATATTTTTCTGGATTTGAAAAATTGTTTTTTTTTTTCAAGAAAATATTTTTTTTTCCAATTTTTCTTTCAGAACATACATTTAAAACTTTGTTCCACTTTGCAAGAATGAGTGAGAAAAAAGGAAAGAAACGACCAAAATCATACTACATAAAATGTGCCAACAAAAAGCCCAAGAGAGATGTGTGGAAACTAGAGGCGGGCATGAAGGGTTTTCTCATCACCTGTAATAACAACGAGAAAGCTGCTGTCAGAGAGTCCTACAATATTCTTAATGAATATGCTGACAAACTATATGGTCCAGAAAAGGTATAATTTAATATACTTCAAATAAATACAATCATGTGCCTATTATGAATTTACATGCTTCAAGAGGGTCCTTGATTGGTGAATTAACACTATAAAATATATTTTCTAAAATATCAGAAAATTTCAGATACAAATTTACTTAATTTCTACGCATTTGTTTTCTTAAAGAGTAATACAAGTAGATTGTTCACTATAATTATATTTTAATTTATTAATTTACATAGGAGACATCAGACATGAGGAATGAAGAAGACTCGGAGGAAGAAGAGGATGAAGAAGACATAGAGAAGGCCATGATGAAGGAGGTTAACGAAATCAAAGAGAAAAAGCTTACACAGAGGAGATTTCAAAATACCAACACAAAAGCAAAGAACTGCATCTTCATCAGGACTACATTGTCTGACCCTAGTCAGCTGGCTCACTCCATATTGTCCGATCTGTCAGAAACAAAGGTACAGAAATCCAGGTACGCAATCCGCCTTCTTCCCATATCCGGAAGCTGCAGAGCAGAAGAAGCTGATGTTAAAAAACTTGGGAAGGAGTTGTTTACTCCAATCTTTGAGACTCCGTATGGAGAGGGATATTCCTTTAGTATAACTGTGAAGGTCAGGAACAATAACAGGCTTGGGCGGGATTCACTTATTCCTGCCTTAGCGGGAATCATTAAGGAACTTAATCCACTGCACCGAGTCAGCCATGACAACCCAGATTTTGTCATTCTGGTTGAAGTCATTCAATCTGTGTGTTGTGTAGGCATTGTTAAAGACTTCTTCAAATTTAGGAAGTATAACTTGCAAGAAATAGTGAAGAAAAGTGTTGAAAGCAAAGAGAAATCGGAAGAATTAAATAAGGATGAAAGTGAAGATGGTGAAGATGATAAAGGTGACAGTAATGAGACTACAGAGCAAAATAAAAATCATGTTTGTGAAGAAGATACAAAAGAAGAAGAAACTGTTGACAGTGGGATAAAGAAGACTGAAGCAGAGGGTCCATCAGAAGAAGAGTGTGTAACTGAGGAATCCTCAAATACAAACTGTAAAAGTTCTGAGATCATTAATGAAGTGGATAAAACGAGTTCACAGGCGAAATCTAAAGACAATTCTGATAATGTTGGAGCAGTTCATGAATCTGACTAAAATGCATCTGCTAGTGAATTAAGTAAATGTTGAATTGTTGATACATACACTACAGTTTAATATTAATCTGGATAAATAAATTAAAATTGAATGAATATGAGCAATTTCTTATAATTTCTAATTGACTCTTAAAATATTTTTATTTGGTGTTTGTACTTCAAAGGTACTTTTTCCTTTGGTTTTGTATGTTGTTAAATGTCCTTTTCAAGAATTTATATGGAGATGCCTCACTTGCCAGTGGAGGACTGCAAATTTGACATACATATGTACTCGAAACTTTTAATAGGGCCATTGAGCAGTGAGGGATTTTTTTTCATGCGAACACCTTCTGCAACACTGGACCACAGTTTATATGTTCTCATCCAAAGGACTGGTCCTGCAGTGAATTCGAACATGCAACGAAAGGATCAGCTCCTTACCCTACAACTCTAGACTAGAGCAGTCACTCTACCCAGTGTGCTTTGTTAGCAAGTGTTTCAATGCTTATAAATATAGTTCCTCACCCTTATGACAAGAGTGCAAATGCAGAAGGGGTAAAAATTAGGGTATGCTTGAACATACAAAAGAGGGAGATGTCAGATTGCAATTGCTGCAGCTGATCACACATTGTGGACCTTTTGTCTTCAGCCCCTTTTCCCTTTGTGTTCTCATTTTGGCACTATATCACTGATTAACTCCTGCTTTTCAGGATATTCTTGATGTTTTTCTTTTGCACTCTATAATGTTGTTCTTGCTCCAGCAAGTTGTTACCCCTTGTGTACTTGTTTCCTCACTTTAGGGTAAGAGAGCTGGGTGGTGGTTAACTTTTTAAACTGAATAACTCATTTGATAAGATATTAATTTATTTTAATACTAAGAATATGTAATATTGACACAACAAACAGATAAAGTATATACAGATCTGATAGTGTAAATAGATATACAAATATATATCCACAAGACTTTCAAGATCAAGCGTCTAGAACTATCACACAATCACAAATGATTCATCACGCACTTGCACGAATTCATTTAAGTACGAATTGACTGAACTTTGCACACCGGAAGTGTCAGTTTCTAACAGAAAACAAAGTTTGCGTTTTGCCTCTTTGGTGTGAAAATGTATACTAAAGCAGAAATAGATTTAGAGATACACTCTGATAAGGTGAGTTGGTTTATACTATGTTTCCCAATTAATTTTAGATATTTGACATTCTGAAACTATGTCTCTGCAAAAGAGCACTCGGGATCATACATGTAGTTAGAATAGCCTGTGTCTCGGGACAAGCCCTCACCACAGTTAGAATACTTCCTCTATACTTGCAATGTAGCAAATCGACGCGAATCCGCTCCGAAATGATTTTGAAGAATACAAAAGGGGTTGGGTTGAAAATAACTACCAAATTATTCAAATCAAACCTTTTTGATGTTGTAGAAGCCTTTTATCCCCAAAAATAATCCAAATGAACTTAATGAAGATGAAAATTCAACTTATTTTCTCAACGGTTTTTATCGCTTCAAATTTACCTGCCATGTTTACATTAGGAACTCTCTGTATTGTTCCTTGTAAATGCACTGAGTACAAGTTATCGCCCGTGTTTCTTTTGCTACATTACAAATACGCGGAACAAATTCTGTCCATAGGAGAATTATCATTTTAACGATAGAAAATTCTATCTAGTGTGCACTCTGGATCACAGCCGCAACATATAAATAACATTTCTGACTCTCTGATCACAGGAGTCGGCTATTTTATAAGTGAAGTGAAAATAAATGATAAACTTTGTGACCGAAGCAGCTTCCCTTTACGATTTGAATTAATTTGCAGTTAGAATTTATATTTATTTGCAAATGACATTGTGATTGGTAACAAATCCAATATTTATTTTCTTTAGTTTGATAATAATATTTAGTCTGAATCTGTTTGCATGCCATGATGATGATATAATTTAATTTATTTAATTTTCCTACAGGTGTTTGGTTTGCTTAGTGCTGAAGTGAAGATAATTCCAGATCTGGAGGAGGAAGAAATACAGAAATTTGTTCAACAATCAGGAATAACATTGGTCAAACAGGTGGAAAGTGACAGTTACACAGTCCATGGAAGCTGGAAGTCACTCCAGAGAGCAAGAGCTTATTTGGTACATTATCTCTAGTCTAAATACTAGTAAAACAATACCTCTTACAGTACTTTATGAAATTAATTGTCTTATTAAACTTTCACCATGTTACATTAAGATGAATTCACTATTAGATTTTTTCCAATGCATTCATGATTGCATTTATACATAATTCCTTAAATTTACTTTGTGTGTGTTTTCTTTCTTTAATTAAAAATGAAATTAAATTGACTAATTTTTAATATATTGACTTATGAAACTAAAGGAGAAGAATTGTGATACAGATGTAATTACAGTATTTCAAACATTCCAAAGTAATTCATACATGTCTACTTATTCTGTTTAGGATGTTAAATTTAAAGAGACAGAACCAATACACAATACTTTGAATGAAGTTCAAGAGAAAATGACATGTGGTAAAGGTGAGTTCAAATGAAAAATAATTAACTATACAGTTGCATTAAATATGTGCATTTGGCATCCTCTAATTTATTGTTTTAGTTACAGAGTATATAATTCATTTACTATTTCTTTAATTTCATATCTACCCGATACTTTATTAGAATAAGGCATAGAAATGAGAATTGCTGTAATGAAGGACTATATCCATGAAATGCTGTTGCTGAGAAATTACAGATAAATGTAGCAGATTATTCAATCTAATTAAAATTATATCCCTTTGTTCCCACTATAGAGTAGTTCAAAGGTGCTAAGTTTTATTAGCTTGGCAGATGTTTTAAGTAATAAGAATACAATGTAAGGTTTATACCTGTCCTTTTATTTTTTTTAAATTCAGCTCAACAAATTGAGAATATTGCTCTCTCATGTTAAAGTTTTTTTGAGTAGATACTTTATTTTCAAATTATCTTTAAGCTAGATCTGCACTTAGCCTGTATGCTTGTTGCATGTAGCATGTCTCTCACAATAAATGACCTGTTAATGCTCTAGATTAATAAGAAAAAAGCTAAAGTCATCTTGATTATAAACACATTTCATATTTTTGTAGATGACATTGAACATAAAGTCCATGACGATGACACTAGGGAGGAATCATGTGACCAGAGTGATGAAGGTCCTGGAAGTCCGAACAATGAACAGGAGGAAACAGAGGAGGAGGAGGAGGTCAAAGATTTCCAGTGCAAAGATTGTAAGGAAAAGTTTCAATTATTCTCTTGCTTAGAAGACCACAATCAAGAGAAACACAGTCTTTTTACATGTGACATTTGCTTGAAGACATATGCAAAGAAAAGATATGTACAGCAACACAAAAAGAGACATACCCAAGAGAAAAAGTTTCAGTGTGTCCTGTGTGGGTTTAAATTTTTCGAGCAGAGCAAATTGAAAAGTCACATGGAAACTCACAAACCTGTAACTGAAAGGGAACTTCCCTACAAATGTAGTTTGTGTTTGAAACAGTTTCACAACCGGACGGGATGGACAGAACATATGAACACACACACAGGGCAAAAACCTTTCAAGTGTTCAATATGCAATGCAGAATTTGCTCACAGCAGTGCATTAAAAAGACATGAAGTTTCACATGGACCATATAACCCAGTGAAATGTGATTTCTGTGAAAAGAAATTTAGGTATCCTGACAAATTGAGAGCTCATATGATTCTGCATACAGGTGAAAAGAAATATGCCTGTCAGTGTGGGAAAATTTACACCACATCAAATTCCCTGAAACGCCATCAGCAGACTTGTAGTGACGCTTGTCAAGTGTTAACCCAGAAAGTCTGTGTTTACCAAGCACCTGCCACCCAGGATATTGTGTACATGTGTGGCTTATGTGAAAAACAGTTTGATTCTCTGGAGAGTGCCGAGTCACATGTTTGTAGTTGTTGTCAATAAATTAATATTTATATACAATATGCTAGTATATTGTATTGTTTGTTTTTGTTTATTAAAATTTTTATGATTTTGTTTTATGCATGTATTTCAATTTGAAATTTCTGATACAATGAACTGGGGGAATTAAAGAATTTATTAAAGTATATACAAATTGTATAACAAATTTGTATGGTAATAAACATTTTTTCCTTTAGTTATGACTACTGAATATGTTCAGGAAAGTCAATTTGCCTCTTCGATAGAGCTAGTACTAAAGTTTCTGATAAACTGATTCATGAAATATATTCTATGTCAGCACCCGAGGTTAAAGTAGTTGGAGCAAATTTTTGAAAATTATTGTAATGCACTATATTCATCCAAGTTGGATGGATGATGTATCTAGGGGGCTTAGTTTGTTTCACTGACACACACAATCAACTATGCTTCAAATTCTGGAACTGATGCACATTCTCAAGATGAACAATCAAGTATATGTTGAAAAAGCAGATCCATTGTAAAGTATATCTGTTGGTCGAATTGTGACAAATTTGCATTTATGAAGCATATAGGAATGCATACTGCCGTGATACTTTGAATGCTGGATCTGATATCATTTGACAGTGTCCATGATAAAGTTGTAAGAGCTGTTCCATTCCCAACTAACTACATGTACTAGTATAAAAGGCAAAACTTTCATTGACAATACATCTATGTATGAACACTATACACATCCTTGAAACAGATGCTGGATCTGACCTATTTATATTTTTTAATTAGGGGCAATGTTCATTCCAGTGTATTTAAATGTCTACCTGGCCCAGACTTTCATGGATGATGGCATCATGATGCATTGAGGGATGCAAACCATCAGACTTGCGTTGGATGGTGGATATGTCATATTTTCTTGATGAGTACAAAATTACATGTACATGTATAAAAGCCTGCAAAACTATCATTAATGAACTTGCATCTGTAGTTATTCATCTAAAGATGATATATACCAGGCATAGCTTTCAATTCTGTATGTGACCTGCATTTTATGGATGATCATGAGTGACCAAATTATTTCTTTTAAAGATCGAGTTCATTCCCTTAAATATGCATAACCATGCAAAGTTGCTTGGATTAATGTCTGTTAATCAATTTCAAATGAAACGCTAACAAAATGATTTACTTTGATGAAGACAAGTGTAACGACATACTTTCAAAATGCAATTTCATTTTGCAGAGTGTAATGAAACATTAATAAAACACTAACATTGTCTTAATGAAACATTAGCAAAATACCATGCCACCCCCATCCTGTAAAGTGTTGCACTGATGTTTCATTAGTTAAATGCAACACTTTCAAAATGTACAAATAAAATATAAAAGTATGTTTTGGTAGGGTTTTGAAGATATTTTGAAAGTATTTTGTTAGATTTCTTTTCCATTTGGGTGTGACCTACATTTTATGGATGAGTGACCAAATTATTTCTTTTATTTTTTTGTTGAAAATTTAATACATACATATACATGCAAATTTTTTTTTCTTCAAATACCCCCCCCCCTTTCCCTTCACTTTAAATCATATTATACAAAAGTCCATTATGTGTGGCAAGTAAAGAATTTTCCCCATGAAGAAGTCAATAAAGATTTTTTTCGTAATTGATTTTAAAGATTTTTGATATCCGGGCCCAATCTTCATGGGCATAAATAAACACATACGCGTATTTAGACATAAACGAGAGTTAGCTCCCTTTACACAGCAAACTGCATGTAAGTAAAAACAATAACAAAATCATTTCTGCTGGTAACTTTGCAATAATATCACAATACATTATGGTTTGTTATTCCTATTTACATTCATTTTCATGAGTTTGGTTTTAAAATTGTTTGTTATAGCATTTTGTGCATATAATTTTTGTTGACAAATACTCGAAATATCATGTAACTGGAAAGGGTAAATCTAGTTCTAAACTGCAGATGAGTAATGCACTTTACATCATCATCATGAATTTTGAGCTCATTTGAATATTAACAGGCTAATTATGATGTTTGTTTTATTTTCAGATACTGTGAACATGTCAGTGAAGTAGCTGGGTCCATTTAGTTACTACATTTCAACAAAATGGGGGATGAAGCAGCTAAAAATGTGGTGGAACCAGCCTACTGTAAGCCTTATATTCATACTAGTAAAATTAAAATTAAAATTAATGAAAATAAAAAGTTCAACTCGTGTTGAGCGTGAGTTTGCTTCATATGCATATGCAAAAGCAATGCACCTTTTCTTGCAAATGACAAATATTCTTAAAATTTGCGAAGTTCGACATTTTGACTAGACAAAGGTTTTTGGACCTTTTTGCTTCCCATTACTGGGAGCACACTTTAAACCCTTGGGTAGCAAAAAAAAATAGGCATTTGATTAAGTACATTGTATCCACAATTTTACCCAAAATATTGTTTTACACACTGTCTGTAAGAAATCCACGAAATTTTACCATATAATTTCTAAAGAAAACTTTGAAATTTTTTTGCAAGTGTGAAAGGGCACTATTTGAAACTCTGCATAATTTCAGTGTGTGATGAGAAGAAGAAGGATGGGTTTGTCCATGTGATTGTCAGTGCTAAGGATCTGAAAACCAGCAGAACACTGAAGGGGATCAAAATCATCAAAAAGGCAGAAAACGCAGAAGTTAATGCAACATTTGAAGAAAGGTACATTATTCTATTACATGCAATGAATGTTAAATGTAGATTAATTGGCAGTAAAATTTTTAGAATGTTAGGAACTTTATTCTGAGACATTAATAAAGACTTAATTGCCATAAACCAAAACAATTTACACAAAACATTGATTAATCACTGAAGGAATAATTTGCAGCAATCTTATAAAGTATTCATTGTAATCGTAAACTATGAAGTGTCCATGTTGATTGATAAATAATATTGTATTACAGATCATTTGATCTCACAGTGAAAGGGAAGGACAGTGGAAAACTAAGTTAATTTGCAGGAAAATGTTACCAAATAACTTATTTATGAAAACAAAACACGGGGACACCAGCTTACATTGTATGAAATTGTTATTGCAATGCTTTGATAAAAGTTTACACATTTATGTGAATAGAATTTGATGAAAAAATTATAGTTTATCATGAAGATTTAACTGTTTGTTTCCAATTTACTAGTAAAAAAGTGACATAAAACTTGTCAACTTCCTTATTCTAAACTTTAAAGTCAAATAAACCACTGTAACCAGTCAAATAGTTTCTAGGGTTTTTCTATCATTTTAGCCAAACAAAAGGTCAGTGTGTTTGATGAAACATTAAGATTTAATTGCAGAAAGGTTATGACAGATGTTTTGATCTAGACAATTAATACCTTAATGCTATATGTTGCGACTCTCCAAGAGGATGCAAACTTATAAATTACACATTAATGTACCGATATACTTATTTAATTCACACATGTTCTTTGCCAGGAGTTGCTGTAGAAATAAATTTGAAACCAGTGGGAAGTTTTACAATACTAGTAGTATTTTGTGCTTTCTTAAAAAATGAATAACATGTACATGTATTATGATAATTACAGGTTGAAGATGGCAGAGTAATACTTTATCTGAATAAACTGGAAAATAAATCCTGGTATCCAGAATTAGAATCGGGGCTGGAGACTGAAGAAGAGGAAGGTTAGATCTGTATCAGGTCCAAAATTTGAAGAAAATAAACCTCTGTTCTAAGTCATCTAGTAACTGACGGTGAATTAAGACTGTTAAAATGGACATTGACTTGTTAGAACATGCTTATCTTCCACTGCCTTTAGTTCCTTGTTTCAATGTTTTATACTATTGTTTTTGGTTTTATTAATATCAACTTATGAAATGGTTATAAATATGATATTATATTAATGTTGCTGCTGTTTATAGTCACTGTACCAGTATTTTATGCTGTTAAGAGGTTGTCTTTAAAAAAAAATGTTTTACATGTACATGTATCTACATTTGTTAGTTGTTCTTAAAGGTTGTTGAAAATTTATGACTTGGTTACTAAAGATGAGACTTCAAAGATGTTTGTATTTTTCTTTTAAATTGTACCAAGGATATATAATAGTCATCTGTTTCTGTAATGTTTTTGAATTCAAATGTTATATACTACATACAGAGAGATTTTCATTCCTTTTACAGTCATCTCAAGTGAGCAAATTTAAAATGGGGCAAGCTAAAAAAAGGTGAACTCTTTAATACAACTGTGTGTGGACAAATTTAAAATGAGGCAAACTCATCTGCAGGTATGAAAGGGCAAAATAACAAGGAGCAAATTAATCATCCATGCAGTTTTTATAATTTGTTTTGAATTCTAGCTCTTCATGTAAATACACATTTCCTAGACTCCACTATATGAATTACACATATAAACTCAAGAAATTGTTTTGATAATTCTCTGTATCAAATTGAATGATGTTCTTATCAAGCAAACAACACCTTGTATGATGATGTCTTTGCTACCATCAGAAATTTGTTTACAAGTTTTGTTGTAAATTAATGCTGAAGTAATTTTGTTTTATGTTGTACAAGACTACAGCATTTTTAGCTCATTTAAGCCACTCAAATGAGATTTTTGTCAGAACAAACTTTGATCTGCATTATTCTAGCTAACTGGTTTAAATTTCATCTCTGGTTTATGAGGTCTTCAGTATTAGCAAAGTTATTTACATAAGTTGGGTGGCCAAAGGGTATTCTTTTACTTTTTGATACTTTTTTTTAATTTTGCAAGAAAATATTTTATAATTACATATATAAGAAGTGCAATAAAGTATCAAGTAGTTTCAATTCCTTTTGTTGTCATTAATGTATTTGAATGTATAGACATAGGTTATCAGAGAGTACATTCAATGATTATTGTATTTAAGTAAGACAAATTAAGCCCCACATTAACCTACATGTATCTATAGGACTTCACTTGCAATTACTTGGGAATGGACTTGTCCAAAAACTTCAAACTAGAAACTCATACAGAAAATGTAATTTGAAAGGCCTTATAGTTTCTTGTTAATGGACATATGCCCAAAACTTAAACATTGGTCACTTACTTGGAAAATGTATGTCAAATCCAGCAACCAAAGCAAGTCAAGTAGTGTGCATCCTTAGATATATCATCAGTGCAAGTTTGGTCATGGTATGACAAATGGTTACTTTAGAATGAACCTGCTCAAAAAAACTTTATCTTTGATCCTCATATGTAAAATGTAGGTCAGATCGAGTATTCAAAGCAAGCCTGGTAATATGCATCCTTATATTTACCATACATGCAAGTTTGGTCACATAAGGCTGATAATTAATTGGAAATGAGACCTGCCCTAATTCCTTAGCTGAAATTATGGCATGGTACCAGGAAGGAGAAAACACAACGTATAAAACCAGACAAGGATTGGGGACAAAAATCTCTTCCGTCATCAATCATAGAATTGATTGTACACACATTTGTTCAAATAGGCTACAATATACGCATACATTGTAAACAATCATAATTATGCTGTCATATGCTACACATGTATCAATATTCTGACTCGTTCATTTTAAAATATAAGGAAAGACTTGCGTAATTTTCCCAGTTTAATATTTATTTTTAAAACATATATTAAAAAAAAAACTACACAGCAACTGAATTATCACAGCTCATACAGGGAGAAAAAAGGATAAATGGCAGATCTCGAATAAAATTTGATAAAACCAGGAAAGTGAAAATACTTAACAATATATTAAAATTATTGTAACAGTTAATCATACATGTTAACTCTCCCGATTTAGGCGGGAGTCTACCGCTTTTTCACTCCATCTCCCGCCTACCGATTTATTTCAGAAATCTACCGCTTTTCTACAAAAGCTGCGTCTAAAGAATTTTTGGTTCGCTTGGGTATCCATTTTTGAAGCCACTCTCATAAAATCTCGCTAGATATTTTTAATCTGACTCGGAATCATACAAATTAATAGATTTCAAGCAGGGATTTGACAACGACAACAACATAAAACTACACATTGGTTACGATAAATTATCACATTCCTGCCATACAGCTTTTAAGAATTAGATGAAAACATTTAACATCGTCTTTAAAAGCACAGAAGCTCAAAAAATGGATAAATCTCTACTTTCGGCAGACGAACTTGTTTTAGATCTAGATTAAACCATGCCAATAAAATTTGATAAAATTGCAGGAAAGTGAAAATGAGCATGACAAATATTTGAATTTGTACAATTTATGTCAAACTTAAGGTGTTTCTGTCTTCTTCTTTGCTGTTGATATTTAAGATTAATATATTAAATACATTATATTACATGAAAGACATCGATAATTAATATATTATGCTACTTTTGAGGTGGTAGTTCTTTAACATGTATTCTTTTTCTTCATCACAATAGGTTAACATGTATGAGTGAGCATGGTACTATTAGTTATACAGGGTATGGGATGGTGCATACCTGGCGAATAAAAAAGTAAATTTCAAAAGACTATGTAACGAATTTACCCCACCGATGAAACATGTTTTATCTGGGTTTATATTGTAAATGCTTCATCGCGCTTACAATTATTCTATTTCACGGAAAAATCAACAGAGGTGGGGTAAATGTAGTTCTTTATATTTCTTGCTCTTCTTCAACTTCTTGGTGACAGATATTGGTGCCAATAAAAAAGTCAATTTCAGGAAAATGAGGTAATTGTCTACAATTATCTATAATTAATATATGTTAACCGAGAGCTAATATGAAACAACATAGACATGCCTACTATTAACATACTTGATGTGGAGGAACTAGTCAATTTTTTTTCACATTACTTCTATATGCTCCTTTGCAATTGAATTATTTCAATATAAACACTTTTATTTGCATGCTCATTGCAAGTACATGTATATGAATATAAAAAAATGTATACATTCACTAATATTGCTAAAACAATGACTCACTATTACACCGTACCTGTATATGTATATATCAGCCTATTACACCGTTAACCAGTTATACGCATGTAACAAATAATCACAGTTACATCAAAAAGCAGTGTCAGAGTAACTCAATTTTATGCATTTCATAGGTTAAAGCAATGGATAACTGAAATAGATCGATAAGTGAAATAGATCTGTCTTTACTGTTTTTCACACTAGCACGGTTTTCTGTGTTAAGTCTAGGGAGTTTCTTCGTGGGGCAATATCATCCACTATTCCCACCTCCTCCAGATCATAGAGAACTTCCAGTATACACGCTACACTCCAGGCCTGGGCTGGACAACTGCTCGGGCAAAACTGAAAACAGAAGATAGTAAAAGATTGAATTTCTTTTTTTCTTGATTAAAAAAATACTACTCACTTTGTTGGAGTTGGTATCTAACCATTTACAAAGTTATAGGCTAAAAGGCATAGGAATTTGTCTCTAATAATACTTTATGACTCAAAAAGTTACTGGATTTATTTGTAAGCTAGCTGTTGTGACCAACAGTTGTTTTTTAAACATAAAATACCACTGTGTTCCTGAAAATGATGTAAATATTGCCACTCACCATGCCATTGGAGTTTGTAAGTTCAGGGAGGGACTGCCAGGGGGAGGTCATGACATGTTCATAGTGAGGGGTCAGTCGGGTCTTAATAAAGCTGATGGTATTCCTCAGAATTCCCTTCCTCTTTGGTTCTAATGCCTTAGCAAAATAAAGCTTTGCTCTGAGGAAATACCCCAAAGGCCACACCCATTCCTGCAAAAAGTGATCATAGAAAAATATGTAGTCTCATTCATCATGTATGCATTTACTGAATTATGTTTCAAAATCAGTCTTTACATAAATACATGTATTGACCTCATATCGTTTTTCTGGAAATTAAAAACTGACTCAACATATTTACTGGGAGTGGGATCGTGAAACAAATTTAGACTTGAGTAATAATTTTAACTATTATTAATATTATTTTTTTTTATTTTAAAATTTTTTGATCTTTTACTGGCTGTTTGACTGCTAAACAATCTAAGCTCACTTCAGAGATTGACTTTTATGTAAATCTAAATTGTGTCAACATTATGGAGTCAGGTACCCCCCCCCCCCCTTTTTTTTTTAAAGAAAATTCGATTAAGTTCTATGATTTTAAAATTTTCAAAAGTTTGCTGCAATATTTTTATATATACAGATTATCGTGAATTTCCATACTTACTGGCCCTTGATGGTAGTTGAATCCATGAGCTACTTTAGGGTCATTAGAGTCATTTGAATTATCATAATCACCAACATATGCCCAATCCCTAAAACAAGATACATTTAATTACATTTTCTATGCTGTTCATAAAACTAAATAAGCATGTATTTCATGCACTGTACTGGTCAATAAGCTCCTCATAACAACCTTACATACTTGTCTTACATAGCTAAAACTTTCTTTGGATATCTAGCAAAAGGCAAGAAAATATTCTAGTATAATAAATACATGTATATAAGTGAAAAAAATATAAAGCTTTCAGACCTTGGGTCTAATGTTTTCATTCCTAATGGCCCCAAGATTACATCCTCAGCTTCTAATAGAGCTGTCCAGGCACGCTCAGGGGTGAACAGCTGTGGAGCCTAAAATTGAATTTTTAAATGTAAAAAGCTATGTTTAAAGGGAAAAAAACAAAGGCCTACAATAGTTATATCTGCTCTGATGTTCTACCTCTGACATGACCTAATGTGAAATCTAGCTCTTTATCATGATCAGATATGATGTCTGAATTTTACCTTCTGTCTTTTACCTTGGCAACTAAAAGGGATTCAACTTAAGACTGTTTTATATTGAAAACTTTGTTAAGTAAGGGGTAATGTATAAATAACACAAAAGTAAGTCATAGAATGTGTTTTCGGAAAATGATGAAATGTTGGAGGCCTTAGCTACATCTGTATGAAAGATGTGCATTAACATGCATTTTAATACACAAGTGTACCAGTTTTAAGATATATTTTATCTGGAGCTAACAAACTCTACTCAGTTACATTGTAAATATACATGTACACGGAAGTTAAGTCAAGGTCTGATAGTATATAAAAACAAATAAGTATTAACGACTAATGGTATAAAACAGAATACTAACCACCATCATGGCAATAGGGAAGTTTGGCCTGAGCTGGAAATCTGCCCAGAATGGTTTAGAGTAGTAGGAGTCTTTATAGATTCCTCTCCTGTTGATCAACTCACGGTGAGGCTCATACTCAGTAGGATCCTCGTTTATCCAGAAATGTTTCTCAAAGTTGTCTTTTAGGAGTTGAGACCATTCTTTGAATGTTACTTTACTAGAAACTCCTGCAAAATAGTGTTTATTGTTGTATAGTTCTTTAGTTCAAACCATATTATACCATAGGATTTTCATCATTAGAGCTCATGTTTCTCTCCCTTACATTGCATTCAAGTTAAATGTAGTGTAAAGGAGAGAAAACCCTTGGGTTCTGATAATGAGTATTTTACAATTCCATTTTTCTATGTAAGGATTCAGTAAGGAGTAGTCACTCTTATATTTTGTCTTCTTTTATTGTACAGGATTACTATTACAAAATTTACTCTGTATTTCCTGTAACTTGGAGTTTTACATTTAATTTGAAATTTAAAAATAAAATTTGAAACTAGCTGTAGTAAGCTATTTTACAACGTACTTTTTATATTGTGGCAAAACACCACTGATTTTGTGTTTTAAATACATATCCTTATGTACATTTCATTAATTCCACTTCAGAAAACATATAATTGAATGGCTATAACTTACCATTCTTGATTACAGAGACTCCATCATAAGGGTAGACCTCTTGCTCTGCCAAGGTTTGTAACCAGGTTACAGCAGACATACTTAGTCCTACAAGTTCTACTGCTGAGCCACACCTACGGCATAAACTCACAAAGATAAAACTAAAGAAAGGCATTTACTGTACAAGCAATTACCAGTACATCATTTAAAGAAATACTAATTCAGTACAGTAGATATTCCAGCAAGAAGTGCATTATTTTCCCCCGTAATCGGAATATTTTTGCTTTGAAAATTTTATTAAAACTATTATTACCTCGGAGTTGCAGGTTTTCCTTTTGTACCTGCCTTTACAGAACTTCCCATTTTGTCCATCCACGTGCCACAGTTATGCTCATTTCCTCCAAACACAAACCCTGTCTCCCAATTTACTCCTATCTCATTATTAAATCCTGTCAAAAATTAATCAACGTCTCCATTTAGTAGAAGACAGTAAAATGATTAAAAAATCTGATGCTTTTCTCTGACTCAAATGAACTCTACCATTTTACTTTTGAAATATTAATACATGTACTGTATACAGGGAAATATCCCCCCCCCCCCCCCCCCCCCCCCGTTTGATTTTCGCCTCTTTCGCCAATATAATTTCTTAAACAAAACGAAAATAACCCTGTATACAGTACATGTATCTCTTGAAAAGTAACGAAAGGGGAAAACAGAATAAAACATACAGCCCACAAATAAATGATATGATTTTTCTTGTACCCCCCACTATGATACCTTCATCAGACATCTGGTCATCTATCTGGGGTCCTGCATTCCTTTCTCTGTATTTCAGTCCCTCAGCATGTCTCTGTAGAGCCTCCTGTATCACTTCATGCAATGGCTGATCCTGTAAAACCAAAATGTCAAAATACATATATGTCAAGAGAAATAAACTCTTGCTGAATTCACACACAAACATCTTGATAACTAATACTTTCTCTTTAAGATTTTGTCCTGTAAATGCTGAAGACTGACTTACATATTGCCCATCAGGCTCACGGATGGGTGAATCATCACTGGGATACAGTCGAGCCACTTTTTCCTCCAATATATCTGTTCCATTAAAACTGCAGTAATCCTGTATGGATTGTAGCCACCACCAAACAGCATCACGGCAATTGTAGCGGGCACCACTTCCTTCGCTGAGTAAATTTGGGATCAAGCCATGTCGCAAACAACCTCCATAAGCCAATATGATCAACCTTGAATAATTGTCAGAAAGATGTGAACAATATATGTTTAGCATTTCTTTTCCTGCTTTGTTTAATAGACAGAATTTTAGAGTCTAAGTCTTACGGTAATAATATGTTGTCAAGGCAATACAACAAACATATAACATTCTCGATTTTTCACCGAAATAAAGTATTTGTACTGGTAATCCCAAACAAAACTAATGTTGACAACATACTTGGCATCCTCATATCTGCCTGTCAGCAAAAGTAAACCTCGCAGAGCAATAAATGTATCTCTTCCCCAGTTTCTCATGTATCTACTGGCAAAATGAGGAAATCCTAACATAATAAAATAAACACAATATTATTGCTCATTCAATACACATAACAAAGATTTTGCCAAGGAAAACAGAGAAATCTGCTGTTACATGTACAGGTAACTCTTGATGGCTCGAACTTCGATCTCTCGAAGTTCTTGATCGCTCGAAGTGAATCTCCGGTCCCGATTTTTTCCCCTAAATAACTAAGCAACTTTACTCTTGATTTCTCGAACGCTTGATCTCTCGAAACCCTTGATCCCTCGAAGTTAAAATGCAGTCCCGCTATGCATATTCTATTGAAATTTACCCTCGATACCTCGAAGTGGCTATGTGTATACAAGTTACATAATTAGCAACTTTACCTGGACATTTAATGGCCTCAGGCAGAAAATGCGGGTCTCGTGAAACGGGATGTTTATTCAGGTGACACTTATACTTCAAGGTGATAATTGATTTATAATTAATCTTATGTTGCCTATATGCTATTAAAATAATTATCATCGACTGTATTACGATAATTAGAACCGCAGTGTCTCTAAGAAATTGTAATTGCAGATTACGACACGAAACACTTAGTAAATTTAGTTTTTATTTCGAGTCAATGTCAAAGTTTAACGAAATATGAAAATCCAGAAACAGCCTCAGTGTCAATGTACAAATACTTAGAGAACTTTGTTCAATGCACGTCTTTCGAAAAATCACAATGCTATATGTACCACGCGGCGCTGTAATATGTCGTTTTCATTTAACGAATGCTTAGTATGATGTCCGTATTATAAAGAATAAAAAATTAAATATAAAATGACGATGTACATTTTTAGGTTTACTCAGATTAATAAATATTCACCTAAAATACGAAATCATATCGCTGTTTTATAAAAACCACGTGTGCAAATTAAGTTAGCACTGCATAAAAATCATTACATCTGGTAGGAATAATTTTAAAACCTGCCAAACAAACCCGGAAAATTCCGCACTCTTGAAAACTCGAACTCTTGATCTCTCAAAGTTTTTCCTCGGTCCCGCGGACTTCGAGGTATCGAGAGTTACCTGTATATTCATTTTTTTTACCAGCAGCCAGAGACAATGGGTGTTCAATGTCAGCATCTTGGGTTGTTGATTTCAGAGTCTTGGATAACCCAGGAAGTTTTGCATTCTTGACATATCCACAAAACTGAAGACTTCCTAAAGACAACATCTGGACAAAGGTTGAACCCTCTTGAATGAATCTGTATTAAAAAAAATATTTCAAAGTCAGGACAAGAATTCAAATTAAATTTATTTAATTTGCATGGATAACTGAATCAACCTTTACAACATGTTTTAGCTTTAATCTTCAATATGTAAATTTGTCATGCAAGTATTGCTTCAAACTTTGAAGACAAAAAGTGATCAAAGGCTTTTTTTTTTCTTCAAATATTACCATAAAATTCTAAAACACCCTCCTCTATCCATAAGCTTTACTTACTCAGACATAAGTTTCATGGCTTGCTCTCTAAGCACCACATATGCCCCTGTAATCACTGTGTCAAAGTAACAAGGAACCAAGAATCTAGGGGCATCTTTCAAATTGCTCAACACACTATCAAACCATTCACCAAGCTACAACACACCAAAATGGATTTTATGTGTTTTTATGATTGAGAAGTCCATATCATTAAATAGATGACTTTTATACAATTATCAGGCACATGCATGTATACAACTTTGAATAATTTAAGAAAAAAATTGCTCCTATGAAGAATACTTACATTTTTTAAGTTAGGATGAACTTTCAGTCTGTTACCCACATAATCTGCTAACCAATTACCTTCCCTTAGGTTATGACATAATGGATGTCCTAGATCATTGTTTGGGCGAACATGTGCTAACACAGCCATGAGCCCTATAATTGAATAATTCTTATATACTACATTCATGTACCCATCATAATTATCAACATCACTAAGTAGGATGCATTGTAAATGATAAATCAGAGACAATCAAAATTGCTTAACAATGTTATTTTAAGACAATATGGTAGGCCTTTACCTCTGAGTCCACAGTAAACCATGGGACCATAACCAGGGATGTCGTAAGCTCCAAATCCATTCCCATCAGCCCTCTCCTCAGAATCACACCGGTATAGCACATAATTCAGGTCAGATAAAGAGAGCTTACTGATAATGGCATGAAAATTACTCTTGTCAAATGTCTCATCAAACATGGTCTTTCCACTGTATGACCTCATTAAATATCCAAACTGACTAACTCCACGACGGATTTTTATTATGGCACTCTTAGCTTTTTGTGGAAGGGTCTGTCTACAAAAGAGAAGAATAGTCAGGATGAGGTTTCAACTTTGAGAAAATATAAGAGTGAAGCTAAGAGTATTCACAGATATGGGTCTGTTGGAATGTAAGAAAAATAAAGAGGCTCATGGGCATTTAACTTCAATCACTAATGACCATTAATCTGTACTTCATCAGTTTTTTTCTGTATATTACTATGTAAAACTTTGACAGCCCATTGTGATCCCTCCCTACTCCTCAGCATCATGCATGATTTGAAACAAATCTGATTTTTCAGAAATTCACTGAGAAATATTGACTTACTTGAAAACTATTACAGAACCAGGTGGAAAGGTATAGAAGTCCACTACGGAGACGTCTCCCTCTTTCCTGATTTTGATTAATCCACTCGCACTGGGCTCCACATTTTCTTTTACGTCCAAATAATAATTTGGCAGACCATTGATAAAATTGGGGTTCTTTTCGTACTTGAATCCCTTAGTTTCACCAAAAAGAGCCTCAAATTCTATCTCTATTATGTCTCCTGTAAATTATATTAAACATCGTTACAAATTTACAAAATGAACCAGAAGTCTCTGAAAAGAGTAGAACTCTTAGTGGTCTGTACTTAACCAGAAGTCTCTGTCGAGACTGAAGCTCTACTGGTTTGTACTTATAAAAAAGGAAGTGAAAAGTAGCAGTGGGACTTGGAACTTTCCAACAGCAATAAATAGAATAATGCTGCTTGATTAAGCTCTTTTTGTGGCAAGATATCGCAATAACACTACAGCTGTAGGAGTAGCTTTTAATAAACTTTTACAGTATTTTCAATTTTAGTAACCACGGCAACACCGTTCATCGAAATCAAAAACCGATATAAAGAATTAAGTATTTTAGTGTAGTCTACTTGTGTGCCAAGTTAAATTGAAATCAGACTAACACTGTAGGAGAAGTAGCATTTTGAAAGTATTTCATAGAAATTTCTATTTTTAGTAACCACCGCAACACTGTTCATCGATATCAAAAACCGATATATAGAATTATATATCTTAGTGTAGTCTACTTGTGTGCCAAGTTATATTGAAATCAGACCAAAACTGTTGGAGAAGTAGCATTTTGAAAGTATTTCACAGAAATTTCTATTTTTTAGTAACCACGGCAACACCGTTCATCGAAATCAAAAACCTATATCATTCTAGAATTATATATCTTATTGTAGTCTACTTGTGTGCCAAGTTATATTGAAATCAGACCAGAACTGTAGGAGGAGTAGCATTTTGAACAAAAATTTCTATTTTTAGTAACCATGGCAACACCGTTCATCGAAATCAAAAAGCGATAAACAGAATTATGTATCATAGTATAGTCTACTTGTGTGCCAAGTTACTGTAGACGTACTTTTTTCCACGGGGTCATAATTCCGCTGAATCTCAATTTCTGTTTAATCCGCGGGTAGAAAATTACGCGGGTTTTCTAGATTGTCACTATATGCCTTACATTTATGTTAAGTACGCTTGAAACATTGTGACCGCGTACATAGCGTAACTTAATACCACGCGGAAAAAAGTACTTCTACAGTATACTGAAATCAGGCCAAAACTGTAGGAAGAGTAGCATTTTGAAAAATTGTTTACAGACAGACAGACAGCTAGACGGATGGACGCCGGATGCATTAATATCGCATAAGCTCTTCTGGTCTCTGACCAGTAGAGCTAAAAATTAGCACTTGGTTGTGTAACTATGGCAACAGCAATAAATAAGATAATGCTCCTTGGTTTATACTTTTATTTAAGGCAAGTTTAACTTAAATTGGACAAACACTGTGGAAGGAGTATACTTTTGAAAGACTTTCATAGAAATTTCTAATTTTAGTTATAACTGCAAACCCTTTCATTTAATAAAATTAAATTGGTTTAGTCTTCTTGTGTACAAAATTTAATTGAAACCAGAGAATTTAAGCTTCTCTCAGATTGTAAACAAATAATTTAGTTTAGACAGGTTTTATATGAAACATGAACATTAACAGATTCTTTATGATTGAGACAAACTTATACATGAAATTTTGCGTGCACACCTAAAAATGTTTACACCTGATTAGACAATAAACATGCATTATCTAGAATAAATAGAACTGTACAAACCATGTATGTGTAAAGGGCGAATGTTCTGTGGATTCTGAAAGGCTGTCCTGGCTACCATAACAAACGACTCGTGATTCTGGGGATTGTGACGAGTTATAGCTACAGTATCATGTGTCAGCTGATCCACAAACACCTGAAAATAAAGGCGATTCAAGGTAAATAGGATTTAAGGGGAAAATCTCTCTCCACTTCATTGTGAAAAGATGATAAAATTATTTCATATTCTGAAGATGGTATTGCTATAAAGCCTATAATGCCACCTGTATACTGCACATTTTTTGGTTATTTTTTTAAAATAAATTTTTCTTTCTTAATTAAAGGGTCCCAATATGACATCTATTTTTCATTGTTTTGTACATGCTTCAATTCCAATTTACTGTACATACCACATTTGTCATACACAGTTAGCCAGTAGTTTTCAATTCTAAACAAACTTAAAAACCTTGTCTAGAACATTATTTGTTGCATAATCTAATGATGCAATATATGTGCTGGAACTACAATTTTCCTATGCAGGCACTTGATATTAATGACATCCAACAACCCAGAGTGAAAAAATACTCATCTATACATGTACTACACAATTTTATATATATTTTTTGAGGGTCAATTTTTTTGTCATAGTAAGATCATGGATAAGGAAAAGCAGATATTGCTTCAGATCTATTTCAAAAGGTAGCCATATATATATTGAACCATTTTGACACAAACTCTTCCATTCTCTAAAAGATACACTGTAGGTATTTAATGAAGTGTGTTTGAAAATGATATAAACTACTTTTCTCTTCTTTTAGCAAAAATATGTCAATCTTAAATTATTTACCAGAGCACATTATATATCCAAGACAAGGGCATACTAAGGAAGAAATTCCAAGATGTAAAATACAAACATGCATGGCTATGCCCTGTATAATTATTAAAATAATGTTTACTCAAATAAAAATATACCTCAGAATATCCTGCAAGACTAAGCTTATAATGGAGATTATTCAACATCTTTTTCCCAGCAGTGATTCCAAATTTTTCATTCATAAATGGTGGTTCTGGAAATTCCCATGTAGCCCATGACATGTACAGCCTCTTCTCATTTACAACATGTATCTGTATGTAGAACATTTACGGTTATTTTTGAGTTATCTTTCAAAAAAATTAAACAATTAAAGGATATACTTAACTTTGTAAAAGCTGTTGTGTTTTTAGAGATTATCCCTTGTCCTGATTTAAGATTCTACTACTTGAATTTTACTTATATTCTTACATGATGTGGAACCAGTTGGTCGTAACCACGGTTACTGCCTGTTGCACAGCAGGCCATGGAAACAATGGCTGAAGATGGAAACAGGTCGTAAGGACTTCTTTTCTAAAGGTAAAGCAGACATAGTCATTATTAATCTTAGCAATACAATTCTATCTTGGACATGTACAGTAGTTGTAATGCTTCAATAATTGATGACCTCATAGATAAACAACAAAAAGTTTACAAACCTCTACTGGGCTCTCGTTGTCATGAGTCTGATCAAAGAACAGGGCCTGTGCTGTGGTGGGCAGTAGAGGCTGCACACGAGGCTGGATGAAGGATCCACAAGCAGTACCTCCATATTTATATACCAGTCTACCAAGGTCACCGCAGTTTCCAGCACTCATAGCCTCTATGTAAGAAAACATTTACCTTAATGGCTTATATTTTTCAATGTCTATTTATCAAAAAAAATAGATATTTGTACAAGCCCTTTTCTTTCATATCTAATTCGATTTGTATAAAAATAACAATTTTTTTTTTTACCTCGTATCAGAGAATTGATTCCTAATTTGTTCATAAAGATGTTGTCTACACTCTCACTTCCAGTAAACAGTTCTGCCACTACATACAGGTCTGGTCTGATCTTACGGGCCACGTCCAGCATGTACTGCAATAGAAACAGTGTGGGTCACTACATACGTCAATAATTAATCCAATGAAAAACAGTGTCTTAAAAAAACAAAAATTATTAATGTTGACAAGTTTCAAAGTGAAACCCCAACCAGGAATCTGTTTACAAATTAAATTTTCTTTTCTGTCAGTGACCTTGAACTGGTCCCATAGACTACCAAGACCTTCTAAACAAGAAAAGGTCCTAACACACATATTTACCATTTAATTCTGCTAGTGACCTTGAACTAGGCCAAATTAACTTGGGTAAATTTATGCCATGCAGTGGTCTTCAGGTTTTTTTTTTTGCCAAATACATGTATTAGCTCCAAATCTCCTAGACACATCAGCAGAGAAAGACAGACAGACAGTTAAGGGGTATCCTATACATGTCTCCAAACCCTCAAAACAATTGCTTCTTACCTCTGCTACATGGATAGGTGTGCTGTGACAGTTGTCTAGTCTCACTCCATGAAAGATTCTAACAGTAGTTTCTGTGTACTCCTTCATATGTTGCCATAGATATGGGCAATCCTTGGGCTCTTTCCCATACCTAAGTTTACAGCTGTCACCCCATGGCACTAATTCTCGCCGCAAATAAACATATCTGTCTGAATTAAAAAAAAAAATTAAAACATTCACTTGAAAAATTAAAACCTTCTCAAGAAAAAATTGCTTTAAAATTTGCAGCTTACAGCAGTCTTGACTTCGAACATCTTGACTTGCCAAGGGTTTCTGATCCACTCCATTGGTTTCTGAGTAGTGAAGCAGATCTGAAACACTTGTCTGGCAGAGATGAACTAAGAATTTAAGGTTAAAGTTACCTGGATCAGCAAAATTCCTGAGAGGGTCATCTCCCATCACCCACCCATTGACTGCCATGATGAGCCTCCCCGAGTCCCCAGCCATGTTATCCTCCTCTGTTGCCAGCGTACCCTCATACTCCGTGGGTTGTACAAAGTAACTGAAAGTCAAAAGATAATGAGTAAAAGCTAACTTTTACCTATTGGAATCATATAAATATAATTCTAATCAGGGAAGTGAACTGGAAATGATGCACTTAATATGAAGCACAGATGCCCATTTTGCTACCGGGAACAAGATTAAGTTGTCTTATTCTGTGAATAGCTCATGACAGCATTTTTCCATAATGGTACATACTTAAACATAAGAGGTTCCTTTTCTGAGACCTTCCCTAATCTTGGACCATGGCCATCAACAAATCTGTACTTGGCATTGGCCACAAAGTTAGCAATAGCAGTATTTATATGGTCCTGAACTTCAGCTGTTTTGTTTCTGTTGAGCTCTTCTAGCTTTCCTCTGAATTCATCACAGCATCTTTTAATGCGTTCTGCTCTACTTGTTACCCCTGGCCTAAAAAGCAGACAAACCATTTTTTATTTATGCTTATACTGCCTCTTTCATCCTATGCTAACAGTGCACCTATTCTTTCATTTTCAATAAAAAAAAATATGACCATACGAATAAATATGGTAAAGTAAAAGTCAGAATGACAAAGCTGTAGCAAATGTTATTCCTTATATCCATCAAATCACAGTATGATATTGATACCTGTCTGTGTTGTAAAGATGGAGAGCTGTGTTCATATCCACTGTACTCTCATTCCTTCTGTACTGTGGGTCCTGGATCAAGTCTAGCTGTGGTCTGGATGAGGAGAGAGGTCTGGCCTCTATTGAAAGATAAATGATATCGCAAGTAACAATCTAACATGAATATGCCTATACAAAAAAATCTTCCAATTTTTATAGTGAGCATTTAGTGTTCATGAACATTCAAATAAACATACCTTCAACTGCTTTCTTGAATTCCTTCAACACAGCCTCAAGATTCATTATGAAAAACTCATGTATCTTGTAGTTTGGAAAAACAACTTCATGTAAAACTCTGCTAATTGCCTATTGTAGAGGGAAACAGCAGGATAAGCAAAGAAAAGAAATTAATGGTACAGTAAAACGCTCTAGTACAGAAAAGTATTCAAAGTAATGAATAAACCAGATTAGAAACTTTCCATATAACACTACAGTTGACTGTCATTTATAGTTTTTTCTTCCATGCAATTCTATGCAAGTACAAATAATAAGCAAAAATACTTTATACAAAAAAGAATTACCTCCAAATGACCAACACTGTCCACAATAGCAGGTACTCCTTTGGATTCATATTTGCCCTCCCCAACATCTTTGCTAAAGTGAAGAAGAATTCTATCCACTAGAAAAGCTGGCTTTAAATGTGGAGAGTTGACTAAATTGTACCCACATTCTGGGTGTTCAGTTAGCCAAGCTGAATCATTGGCTGTGTGATTCAAAACCAAATCAGTCATTGATAAAACCTTCCAATTTCCCACCATTTCATTCACAAGTCTTTCCACATCATCATATCCATATGTCTTGTCTTTAGAATTAAAAATTGGATTCAGTCTTAACTGATTTCTGATTGAGTAAGCAGAGTTAGATTGTCCTAGTTCTTGAATAGGGGTGAAATGGATCATGTTATACCCAGTCTCATAAGACACCTTGAGTCTACCCTCCCACTCGGGGAAGGGGCCCAGAAGCTTGGAAATGACAGATTGACACTGTATGCTGTCCAAATTAAGTTCCTCTGCTTCATCTTCATCATCCTCATCAGTAGCTTCAGCAGTAGCCAGAGACAGAACAGGGTCCACCAAGAAGTAACCTTGACCATCTGCATGTCGTCTGTCCCCACTGTCAAATGAAATAGAGCTGATTTACAGTTCATATGAAAAGACAAGGCAGTGATTAAAGACAATCTCCAAAAGTTTAATACAACTGCATCACTTAAATAAATGTTAAATTAATGTATGTCAAGATGATTTTTTTTTGTATACAAACAACAGTCTAACATACACCATAAATATTTACACCCAACACGTGTGTATAGTGTCTATTGCATCTACCGACTAAAAAAAGTTAGACTTAATAGCAGGTTGGGAGAAAGTTGTATAGTACGTTATTCAAGAAAAAGACCTAGATTAGTTAGAGATAGAGCAACAAACAACTATTTAAGGAGAAAAGCTTTAAGATGGGTTCAATGGCCCATGGGCCACAGTGCTTACCTGAGTCACCTTGGCACTGCTGTTCTCCATATGGTTTTCACCTTGTCATACATGTACATTAATTGATTCCCTACTGCTGCCCCACCCTACCCACGAGGCCATGCCTAAAACAATTTAGAATCTACACTTTCCCTGGAAGCTTCCATGTAAGTTTCACCTTTTCTGGCCCAGTGATTTATGAGAAGACTTTTTTAATGAATCCACTTCTATTTTACTTAATTATCTACCCTTGGAATAGGGTTTGGTTCTTCATTTTGACAATTTAGAATCTCCGTCAGCCAGGGATGCTTTGTGCTAAATTTGGTTAAAATTTGCCCAGTGGTTCCTGAGAAGAAGTTGAAAGTGCAAAACAAACAGACAGACACCAAGTGATCAGAAAAGCTTTCAGCTCAGGTGAGCTAAAAAAAAAATTGTTTGAGAAACGCTACCAATGGCAGCTCACTGCTAATTTTTTTTTCTCATTTTTTGGGTTTTTTTTTTTGTTTTGAAAAGAAGATCATATTTTAAGGTTATGAGATCATAAGAATTGGAACCCCCAAAAAGGTCATGTAACAAAGAATATACAGGTGAAAAAAAAGTCCTAATAGGCTAATACCACCTGTTTATATGTTAAAGTCATGGAAGGTTGACATTTTCCAAAAGTAGGTCCAACACCAAGGTTAAAAGTCAAAAGGTAAAAAAACTGTTGGTACTCAAGGTAAGGTCTTGTTACAAGAAAGAAATATGTCCATAGGACATGAATGCCCCGCCGAGGATATATTAGTAAAGCAACATGAAAATTTGTATGTGTATAAAATTTGATCAGTTTGGTTCAGGTAGGGCTTATAGTTACATGGGAATAAAAATATAGGTCAGATCCAGCATCCGAAGCAAGTCTGGTAGTGTCCATCCCTAGATGCATCATCCATGCAAGTTTGGTTCAAGTAGGAATTATAGTTACTTGGGAATGAAAATATAGGTCAGATCCAGCATCCACAAGTCTGTTTCCATATGCATCATCCATGCAAGTTTGGTTCAGGTAGGGCTTATAGTTACTTGGGAATGAAAATATAGGTTCCAATCCGAAAGTCTGGTATGTCCATCCCTAATGCATCATCCATGCAAGTTTGGTTCAGGTAATAGCTCAAAAAATATAGGTAAAAAAGCAAGTCTGGTATGTCCATCCCTAGATGCATCATCCATGCAAGTTTGGTTCAGGTCTTGTTATATAGAAGATCCAGCATCCGAAAAGTCTGGTCAAAAATCCATGCAAGTTTGAAAATCAATAAAATTAGGTTGCATCCGAAGCAAGTCTGGTAGTGTCCATCCCTAGATGCATCATCCATGCAAGTTTGGTTCAGGTAGGGCTTATAGTTACTTGGGAATGAAAATATAGGTCAGATCCAGCATCCGAAGCAAGTCTGGTATATTAGATGCATCATCCATGCAAGTTTGGTTCAGGTAGGAATTATAGTTACTTTATTGGTAGCATCCGAAGCAAGTCTTGTAGAGAGCAAGTTTGGTTCAGGTAGGACTGTTACTTGAACAGATCATGCAATCTTGCCATCCCTAGATGCATCATCCATGCAAGTTTGGTTCAGGTAGGATTTATAGTTACTTAATGAAACAGCCAAAGAAAGCATCTGGTAGTGTCCATCCCTAATGCAAATGCAAGTTTGGTTCAAGGGCTTATATACAATGAACAATATATTTACATTTGCAAGTTTGTGTTTTTTACTTGGGAATGAAAATATAGCCAACTGTGAAAGTTGATTTGAATACCATGCAAGTTTGTCCCAGTTGGGCTTATACTCCTTAGGAATGGACCTGCTTCAAAAACTTTAATCTGAAAAAATGTACATCCAGTATCGTGCAAGTCTGTGTGATTCACACCCAAGTTTGTATCCACATGTGAAGTTTGATAACACCATCTTGAATGGTATGTTTAAAACTGCACTATTTAAGAAAAGTGAGGTCAAGGTCATGTCAAGGTCAAAAAATGTTACACACTCTCATCAATATCTCACACAAAACTTAAGTTTCTTGGAAACTTATTTGAACTTGTGACGGAATGGAAGGATCACATGACAAACACAATATGCCTTTAAAATTTAAAAAATTAATAAAAATCAATAAAATTTTGAAAAAAAGGATGCCCAAAATAAAAACCGGTTATGTTATAATATATATGTACATATAAATTGTTTTAGCAACAAAGAGCCAAAGAAACAGATGGACAGACCAAAAATCTTTGCAAAATACAAAACAATATATTTACATTTGCTGTGTTTTTCTAGCAAGCCAACTGTGAAATTGATTTGAATACCATATTTGTGTATACTCAAGCTAGCGAGAAACACAAAAACACTTTAAGTTTATGCCTATGTGACAAGTCTGTGTGATTTACACACCAATACTCTCACAAAACTTAAAAACATTCCTTAAATAATGATCAGCACAGCCTTTAAAATTTGAAGCTGCAGAAATAACCTACGATATAGTATATATATATACACAAAAAACTTCATATTTCAATATACACAAAATATTAATATACATATAAATATACACAAAAGACAAAACATCTGAATATTATTGAAGTCAGCTTATAAAAACCTCCTTCACAACTCAAAAGAGTATATCCTGTTCTGACCAGATTTTCACACAAATGACAAGACAAATAAGTATCCAATCACAGGAAATATTTTACGTCATTTATTACGTGGTGAATTAGTGACTGTGATACATAGAGTGTGGTACATGTATGAGCAATATAGGAAGCAAGCTCAAAGAAAATGTTTAGTGATTAAGCATAGTAAAAAGAAGTACACACATACTCCATAAAATTTGTAATTTTTGAAATATTTTTGTCGAGTGGTACTTCTGAAGTAGCAGCTTGAAAATAATTGTCTCTTACAGACATGAAATCCCATATACAGTTTCAAAAACTTCCATATAAGCAAACATTACAAAGTTTGAGGAGGAAGTATATATTATTAATTTTTTGCCTCATATAATAATGACAAGGAAGAGCAGTTGACAACCTTATTAGTTCATGTACCGGTACATAGGTTACATACATAACACTGTTTGGCTCCTTTTACTTTACATGTAACTAATTAATCATTTTCATTTTTCTTAACTGATTTTCAAGTTTGACTAAAATATTTCCATGTATGTATAACATTAAGTAAGTGAAAATATTTTTCATTAAAAAAAAAAATATCAAGGAAAACAGAACTCTGGCTAATAATGTATTAAAACGTGTGATTCTTAAATCATTAAAGTTTAAAATAATATATTGTATACATTCAAATATAATGCTTTCCTTCACAACAGGAAATAAAAGAATAAAGGGGGAAAAGGAAAAATCCATCTACAAATAAATCTGATTGATTTATATGTCTACATGTGATTAAATTGACTTGATATATGTGTGTATGCACCTTAAAGTATCCTTTCAACACGTTCAATGAGAGATCAAAGCAACCAAGTCTTGCACTTGAAAAATTTAACTCTTAAACTGACACATAAAATCACCAAATAAAGTTTGTGTGAATGTTTATGTTGTCAATGCATAGAATCCAAAGTATTTTTTAGAGACCAAACATCTCCAGGTAAAACTGTGGATGATAAAATAAAGTGTGAAATGCTATGCAAATATACATGTCCAAAAATGGCCACAACTCAAACTGCTCTGTTTAAAACATATTTACACTTGAGAAATAAATTACATATGTAGCTTATATCTATTGTTGGTTCTTAGAAATGAATCAATCTCTATAAGTAAATTGAAAATTAATGCCAGCTGGGACACAAGAATGCATTTTTTAATTTTAAGATCAATACCATCTAGAAAGTTCTCACAAAAAAAGAAAATACACCATATTTCTTACATCCACAGCAAAAAAGCTACCAAAAAATCAATTTTAAGTCAAAAAAAACAAAACAAAACAAAAACACAGAGGGTGCTGAAGCTTAATATACAAACTGTAATTTGGTGTCAGCCAACATACAGGAACATTCACATTCTTTTGCATCAATGCATTCCCCACTTTCAGCACAAGGAAAATTAAGTATATAAAATATTGTAAAATCTTTACGTTATTTCTGACAACAATCAATAAAAAGTATATTAAATTGTTTTATTTCAGCAACTTATAAAGTTCATAATATGAAAGGAAAACTTGCATATAAATTATAGTAAAACTTGCATAAAAATCAACTTTCCCTAATTTTCTTGCTACAAAAATTTTCATGCAAAAATGCCTAAAATACAAATATGTACAAGGAATGAGCATGTTTTTCAGGCTGTCCAAAAATCTTAGTTAATCTTAATCATTGACAAATAACATGCTTGCCCCTTCTATTTTCCTTTTCTTTTTAAAACTGGGGTCGAATACAAAAATAGGAAAAAGGTGAACCCCAGATTTAAAAAGAAAAGAAAAATGGAAAAGGGGGGGGTCCATACCCCAAGTGCCTGTGCATTCAAGGTGTTAAAGTGAATAACATTTATAGCTTAATACCATTCCATGCAGGTTCATTGTTATCATTTTGTTTTTTCAAAGTACTTTCTAAATGATGTATTGTATGAAATAGTCAGCATTCAAAGAAAGAGCTTGATTTTAACTGCGTTATACAGTGTAAATGTTTGTCAGCTACAACTGCTTATTCCAAGTTAATATATTTTAAAAATTACTTTGTACAGTTTCTCAAACATTCTGCTTTGAAATACTTTAAAAGGGCTACATTGGGTATACCGGTAATATCTTTTAGCCCATTGCTTCATTTTCACTTGTATATTATCATTTGATTATGAAAACTAAACTTTTCTTGCATTTAAAATCATATCTGTGAAACTTATCGATGAGAAATAACACCCCCCTTCAGTCCTTTTCAGCCTTTTTTTAAGTCTTGGGCAAACTGACATCAGCTTATAGAGAGGTAATTGTACACTTCTGATGAATAATGTACTGGTAGATCACAAAATTCACAAATTACCTTATATTTGCTACAAAATTATTTGGTATTTACAAACATACATACTAATATATCCAGGTGACCCAAATTCCTATTTTTCCAGTCTCACATATTTATATGAAAACATAAAGTTTTCACACATAAAAATTGATTTACAGTATAAGAAGAGGCATTGTACCTTTTATCTGCTGTAAAGTAATAGTTGAAGGACCCTGCAGTGTTGATGTGAACTTCTGCGTAAACATCATGTCTGTCAACCTTGGAACCACTAGGGCTGATCCATTTCAGCTCTGTGTAGTTGGTTCTATCAAATGGTTCGCTTTTCTTTGTTGGGTGATTGCAAAATAATCGTACAGGGCTGACAAACAGTGAAGGTCCCAGATTAAATCTTAATATCCATCCTAAAAGGAATTCAAAACAAGTACAGTGTATTCAATATCATTTAATATTTTGAATGATGTTTAGTTAGTTTAGTACTTTTTAAAGGACATTAGATAAGTCCCTCTCTGATATATCTAGCTCATAACTTTATTTTCACTCCAAACTCAACAGAAAACACACAGACATAAATGAAAATCTTTTTGCCATGTTGAAGTACTTTTTCTTTGTACTTCAAGAAAAAGAAATTATTGATATACATTTTCTCTTATATAATTTGATTTTGTCATTTATGCATTGACCAAATCTAGATGCCAAGTGGAAAAAATCTCATTTTTGCCAAAATCTATTCCTGATCATTATTTACTGAGTGATGTACATGTACATGTATTATCATACTTTAAAAAAGGTTACTTTTATTTTTTCAGCTTCATGTGAAAATAAACTCTTTCACAATACATTTCTTCATAAAATGATTATGAAGGAAATTTACCAAATTACAAAAAGCTTTCTTCAGTTGGCTTGATTTCTATTTTTTCCCACCTTTTTGTAATCTATACAGAGTTGTCTCCCTGTTTTCTCCTCCATTCAGGGTCAGAACTCGGATCTGCTTGGTAAGCATGATTTCCCCTTCACTCTAAAACGGAAGAAAATATACATGAATGATTTTTATGGTAAAAATTCTCTTCAAGATCCACCTAAATCTCTGATATTGATCATTACCAATACAATCAAAAATTATATCATTAAAAATTCTTCTTCACTATCTGTCTGTGAGACAGTGGCAAAAACATTTAGTTCTATTTAAACTGTGCTGGAAAGGAGAAAATGTGTGTCTGGATTGGAAATCATACCTTGGGTCCATGCAATACTCAGTAAGGTGTTCTATAACCACTGATATAAAATCCAGGCTGATATCCACATTCCAAAACAAAATTAATATACCAGGTAGAGTAATTTGATACAAATCCATGTACCGGTAAGTGTTTTCCATTTTGAAATAGTTTTGTAATTTTTAATTCCTTTTGTCTGTTGAATATATATTGAAAATGTATAAAAGACATTCTGCCAAAGGAAAGACATTGTCTTTTTTTCAAGTAAATGGACAATTAGCATATACAAGAAGCAATTTTAAATAAACTTGGAGTCCTGATGCAATATTAACTTTAAGTACAGTTTAAGTTGCAGAGGGATGTGAGAAGTGGCATGCCCATATAGGAGGGAGCCAAAGGGATTAAAAAGGGGGTTTAACTTTGAATGTCAAGCACTTTGAAAATAGTTATCATAATGGATTAAAATCAGTTCTTTTCCCTTCAGTTGACATATATATTTATATTTTTTAGGGAAATTATAACTGTTCAAAGAGATATAGGTTCTGACTTCTGATTCATTATAAAAGCTATTAATTATGCCTCGTTATAATGATATTCATAAATTATACTCTCTCATTTGAATTTTATCATTCAAATCAAAGTATTTTTTTTCCCTGTATTTCATGTGACATCCAGTGAACAAGAGGTTTTGCAGCAGTTGACAGCTGTTTTTGAACTTTTTACCTTTGGTTCTTTGTATGCTCTAAATTTAAAGGACTTTGACCTAAAAAGTAGCTTACATGACAGAATATCTGTAAATTGTCAAGGTTGCATGATTTGCTCTAATATATGCATGCACATTAGTGACACCGACAGGCAGTACGCTTGATCCAGAATGAAGTTTGCCCACTTAAAGATAGTTTAACTGACTATAGTATAAAAAGTTAAAATTAAAAAACAAAAATATTAGTGCTCTAGAAATAGGAAAAACGTATACAATTATAGAACATGTGTTTTAGATCCACCACTTTGTGCATGCATCAAATATCCCGTTATTTCAATGATTTTGCAAGAAATAATGCACTTTTGAAGATAGTAGACATAAACAACTTAGTGTCTTGCACCCTAAAAAGCTATTGTTGTTACCTACCTATAATGCGATTGCATTGAAATTATGCCGTCTGCTACGCAGCTTCCACAACGGCCTTCAGAAAGGGCGACATTCATCAAGGACAATCGCAACTTCTCGGGCCTTTATCTAAAGCTTAGAGGATTCCGAAAAAATATACGATTTACGAATTTTTGTTTCTAAAAGGGCCTAAATGTTCAATTTTTATGTACTTTTTGTTGCTGTTGTTTGTTTCTTTTTTACTTAAAAGTTTTTATTTACGTTTTACACTTAAAAATGTACTGTTAGTTTCGAATAAAGAGTTGGGTAAAAGTGGAGCACTAGACGTATTGCCCACGTTATTCTTCAGTAACGTTCAGAGACATATAAGAGAGTGTAGTGTACAATGGCAGTTACATTACATACAGATTATGGAGACATTAAGATGGAATTGTTTTGTGAACATTAGGCGCACTTGTTTCATAAGCCGGGTCAAGCCGGTTAATATTCCGGAACCGGGCAAGTCACTTGTTTCAAATATATTTAGAGAGAAAGTAGCCCGGATCGCCCGAAAAATTTCGAGCGGCCAAATGAAAAGCAATATGGCGGAAAACGGAGGTAGAAATGTTCTTGATGGTGAAACATTCGATTTTTATCATTTGTCGTAGTCTCGGTGTCAATAAACAAACACTACTGAGATAATAAGAGACTTTTACAACATATTTGTTTGCATTTGCACGACAAATTTTTTTTTTCAATTTTAAAGCTGCTTTTCAGTTCTGTGGGTAACGAGACCCTATATGCTCTAAATTCACAAATTGTACATTGAATGGAACTAGTAAATATTAAAACGAAATATATCCACTAAATCGTTGTTCTCGTGCGTTCAGATAATTTTGATAATTTTTTTTTAAAGCAACAGCACCAAATACCAGCCATTCCGGCTTATTTTTCACTCGTTTCAGCGACACTAACCGGGTCAATATGCCATGTGATAAAAGTGAACCGGGTCATCGCCCGGCTGTCTGAAACAAGTGCGCCCAGTGTCCAAAGGCTTGTGAAAATTTCCTTGCTCTTTGTGCCAGTGACTATTACAACGGTTGTTTGTTCCATCGAAACATCAAGGGGTTTATGGTTCAAACAGGTGACCCCACGGGTACAGGAAAAGGTGGAAACAGCATATGGGGAGATAAATTTGAAGATGAACTCTCAGACACCTTAAAACACAACGTAAGGGGCGTGGTATCCATGGCAAACAATGGACCAGACTCGAATGGATCTCAGTTCTTCATAACCTATGCCAAACAGCCACATTTGGATTTGAAGTATACAATTTTTGGAAAGGTGATTGATGGATTTGAGACCCTTGATGAAATAGAAAAACAACCAGTTAATGAGAAAAACTATCGTCCTTTAAATGAAATACATCTACTGAATGTTACAATACATGCAAATCCATTGGCAGGGTAGTTAGAATAGATACTTTTTTGGAACAATTAATGTCTTATCATGAACTTTCATTTTGCTGAATTAGTTTGACAATAAGTGGCAGCTAGATCTGAAGAATATACATGTATTACTGTTTCTATTAATAAAACTTTTATATCTTAGAAATGTCTTGTATTTTGCAAAGAGTGAAATATATAGTATTTCAGTACAGTTTAGCAGTTTGGGTCGTGGATGCACCTGGCTGTTATACAAAGGTCCCTCTGGTTCCAGCTGAGCTCAGTGTAGATGAATAGAATATTTTGTTCAGTTCTTTTTCTGGAAGTCATCAAACTTGGTAAATAAATCTAAGGCCTAAATTTCCCTCTAGGAGTAGATGACCTCTGTTGAGTGTGAAGACAAAAGGGTCAAACTGAACATTGACAGACACCAAACTTGGTATACTGGTTCCCTTTATGGAAGAAACTGACAGTTTATTTTGAGGTTACAAGTTCAAAATGACAAATGTCAAGGGTAAAAAACAGCACTTAACACAATACAAGATAATACAAACAGGAAGAAAAATGTTTTAATGCAGAGGGGCAAAAATGTCCCTGGTTAGCTTTGTGGCCCATGGACTTTTTGACAGTCTAATATTTGTAAGGATCAAACTTTTGACAGGTAATAAAAATAAAAGATATCCAGAAGTCTCTAAAGGTTTGAACTTAAATCAAAGAAAGATGCTTGGCCTTGAAGCTATGCAACAGCAATAAGCAGAAAAATGATCCTTGGTTAAAGGTCATATTGTGGCAAATTTTATTGCATTCAGAGTAAAACTGAAGGAAGAGTAGCACGATGAAAATGATTTTTCAGAAATTTCTAATTTTAGTTACATGGCAACACCATTCATCAATGATTTTCAATTCTTAAAAACCCACAAGTTAGAATTTTGAATCTCACAGTAGTAATTGCATGGCAAGTTATTCTGTATACAGGGAAATTTTCACCCCCGTTTTATTTTTGCACCTTTTGCCCTCATCGTAAATGGGCGAATATAAAACGGGGCGAATTCAAAGTAAATAATATTATATCTTTAACAAAAATTTTTCTGGGAGAATTAAAAAGGGGCAAACTTGTTTCCAAATGTAAAAGGGCGAAAATAACCCTGTATACAGTATTGAAAATCAGACCATAACTGTAGAAGGGTATTGAAAGGAACTCACAAAAATTTTTATTTTTGGTAACCAAGGCAATGCGGTTAAAACTAATAAATATATTTAAGTTTCTTAATGTAGTCTAAGAAATACATTTAATCAGACCAGAGCTGTAGGAGGAATAACATTTTTGAAAATTGATCTCAGATGAACAGACACCTAGATGGACAGATGGGTGGGAGACACCACCTTACCATCTCAAAGTCTGTTCAGAGGCCTGTTCAATAGATCGAGTGTTAATTTGCAAAGATTTCTATTGGAAGTAAAACGAATTCTGGCAAGTGCTCGCGAATATTCCGTCTGTTGAACAGGCCTCTGGTCTCTGATCAGGAGAGCAAAAAACTAACACAGAGTTTGATTAAATGAATTTATTTATGAATTATAAAATATAAATAAACAATAACAAAATTGACCACACAGGTTTACAGGCTTTAGAGCACATTGTTTATTGTGCATCTTGAAGATACCTATTTTGATTCCTTTTGTTTAAAAAAAGTAACTGAAGTTTGAAAAGCATGTGGAGAACCATTAAAATGTCTTACTTGTTTTCCATGAAACAAAAAAGGGACTCAGTCACTGATTCAGACTCCTGGACTATTGTAATACAGTGGAACTATTTTGTAAATTATAGACATGTATATAAACATTTCATTTATCTGGCTCACAAAACATTGCATCATTTCACTTCAATTCTTACATTTCACTTATCTAGCCCAATAATTACATTGTATGTAACATTTCATATATCTACCTAACATTATACATGTATTGTAACATTTGACTATTCCTACAACTTGATTTTGACAACAGTGATTAAAATGGGTAGCTATATTTTTCTTCATTAAAGACAGGCCCATGCAGTGTCTCATTTTTAACCCAACAATCATCTTGTAATCAGAGATTGTACGAAATGTAGATCGAAGTAATTTTGGTACAATGTATATGACACTGAGAATATTTACTTGAATAACATTTTATTTGGAGTCTTTTTTTTAGGAAAGGAAAGGAAATTTATGCTAAGATTTTTCTATCTCCTAACTAATCAAATAAGACTGGGGAACATTAACTGGCAAGATTGGAAATATGCCATTTACGTCATCTCTATCTGTTACAATCAAAACATTCAATGATAGACAATGAAATGGGTGGGTACAATTCAACGTGGACGTGGGGAAAACATTGGATTGAAATTCGAGTTTGAAATTCATTTTCAATCCACCTGAGCTGTTTTCAAAAGCAAAGTGTGAATGTATGATCCAAAAGACATATATTTCAATACCCAAATGCATGTTGGTTGAAATTTATATTGATATGAGTTTATTATCCTATAATATAATCTTAGGACACTGGCAAAAGTCATAGAAGACATTTTTTTCAGGAGATGGCCATTTGATTCTAGAAAGGGGGGGGGGGGATTGTCCAGTCGGATCATGCTTTGTATATACCAATTAATTTTTAGGATGACAAGAGCTTTTTCAGTTTTGTCTTCAATGAATTTTAAAAATGTTTGATAGCTTTCTTATTTATTTCCAAGATCATTAACCCCCCCCCCCTCCAACACACATACAAAATTATACCAAACAGAAATCAAATATCTGTCCATTCATATATTGTTTTAAAACGGTGGACAGAAAATTCTGATTTATATATTATTTTCAAACTATACCAAAATTGGAATTGTCTTCTGGGTCAATCAGTAATAATGTGCCTTTCCGTTCTAGCGTAGCTCAGGTGGATTGAAAATGAATTTCAAACTCGAATTTCAATCCAATGTTTTCCCCATGTCCACATCGAAATTGTACCCGCCCATTTCATTGTCTATCATTAAATGTTTTGATTGTAACAGAGAGAAATGACGTAAGCTGCATATTTCCAATCTTGCCAGTTAATGTTCCGCAGTCTTATAAAGACTTGCAATGTTTAAAAGTGGCAAATAAAATGGCCACTGTTCTCACTTCAGCAGCCATGTTTTAAACATGTATCTAGTAACACTGTCCTTAGCCTGATTGATAAATCACATCTCTTTTTAATTTTAAAGTGATTATTTTTTTTGTTCTTGATGTTGGTTAAAATTCTAGCCTTAAATAGTAGAACTTAATGAAACAAATACCCAGCAACAATAACCATGCAATCTCGATAAAACAACATCCTACTCCTTTAATTATTTTCCGTGGAGTAATATAGCCATATATAATAAACACATTGAAAACATGCATAAATGTGTATCATTTTGTGGTGAAAATTTTCTATATGACTATAAACATTGTTTTTCTTCTCTAATTTTTGTCAGAAAGACAGTCCATGATTGTATAACTTCTCCAGCTATTGGCACACATACACTATAAATACACACTTTGTCATTTCCACACCAACACATTTATCACTGATTCAACCAATATAAGAGACAGATATGTATCAAAATTATTACACAGATAAACCTACATTACAAACCGCAACAGCTTCTTCACTTGGAAGTACACATATACATACAGATTTTTAAAAAAGTTTGCAATAACTAAATTATAATCTGGACTAATGAATCAATTAATGCTCAAATCTATTTTTCTGCCATTTTCTTTTTCTTGACTAAGGCAATGAGTTCTGTAGCTACATTGTTGTAGCCTATCATAGTGCTGACAGCAGCAACATTCATTATGCCCTGAAACAAACAAAACACAGATATATATACAGTTTATCGGTAGCATTTTTAAGATAGCATGAGATTGTTACTTACAAAGGATCATTTCAAGTTACAGTTCTATTGGTTTATGTCTTGTACTGAGATTCCTTGTTCTTAAATCAGTTTATGATATTCAATGCATTTAAATATAGCAATTTCTTAGATAAAGAATCTTGATATCCAGCAAGGAGGAGCGTAAGAATTTTTAACAAAGAACTGATTGTTTTGATTCCTATAGAATAATCTTACCTGGCGGACAGCTAGTTTCAATTCATCAACATCCTGTATCGCTAAAAGATACTCCTGAGTCATTCCCCAGTTCTGTAATTAAGAAATATAAAGCAAATATATATCACAGAAGTAAATCACAAAATCATCTGAAAAGCAAATCTTTATGTGAGAAATTTCCATGTTGCAATTATGAAGTGGTGCTTTGAAAGTCACTCAAAATATTAAAAAAAAAAAGAAGCAGAATGACATCCTTCCAGAATTGATGCTCCCTTCCCCCAAAGGGCCCAAGCAAAGCATGAATCTCAAGAAATATCCACTGATGCACCACAACTTCAAGTTTGCTTAGGATACTCCCTTTAGATAAACTGCAGTGACCTCAACACCTAGCATGACCCTAAATCTAGCCAAACACAATGAGAGACAAACAGATTAACACAGTGATGCTTGTTTAACATCCCATCCCCACCCTTTTGGAAATTCCACACTGGGGCATAATTAATTTTCAATTCAAAGATATACTTACCATTGCAGTAGCCTCCACCTGAAGGAAGAGTTCTGTCAGAGCTCGTATCACAGGAGGCACCACGGCACCGCTGTCCACCTGCTCTTTAGACGAGCTGTCATACAGCTGCCACAGTGGCTTCAGACAGCTCAGGTCTAACTTCAGCTTACCAACACGGGGGCACCTGCCAACATAGCTTGTACAATGATTCATCATTTCTTTTTCACAGAAAAAAAACAACAAAATGACTGAAGTGCATATTACTATGGAAATAATTATATCATCATGATATACAGATATTTTATCTTCACACATTGGTATTTATTTCCAATATGCTCAAATACCTGTTTTGTGTTTCTAGAATCTTCAACAAGAGCTGAATAGCCTTCAATCTCTGTTCTCCCGTTTGCTTGGTGGCAACATACACCAGTATTAACCACAGTTCACTGATATGGAGATTTCTGGAATAAAAAAAAAAAACATATACATGTACATGTATTATTGTGCTTTCCTGGAAATAATCTTTTTATGTGCTTTTTTAAAATATGTCCTCTGTATATACAATTCCACTGCAGTGAGATGCTTACAGAGCGAGATCAGTGGATAGGACATTGCTGAGGATAACATATCCTGTCTGGAAACTATCCCTGGTTCCCGCTGTTACTGTAAATTTGTATCCCCATGATGTGTTGCCTCCTCCAGAATTCACCGTAAACTCAAAGTACACCACGTCACCTGTATCAAAATATTAAAACTTCAGATCTTCAGTGTATTGAAATATAAACAAGAAAATGCACAACCAATCAAACATAAAGTTACTTGAACTTTGATTAATCCACTGAGAAAGTGTAGAGTGGATAAGATTTTCATTATCTCCATGACTGACCTGGTACTTGGAAACTTGTCCAGTTGGCCCCAGCACTTCCTGTGAACTCGTGTGTATTTTGCTGAAGATTTGAAGAAGTTGAAAAGACTATCTTATCTCCCTCTTTCAATGAACATCTGGAAACAAAGGCATTTACATGTTAATATAGGCATGATTAAAATTGACCAATGCCAAAACATAGATACATTCTGAAAAACAACACTTGTATATAATCACTCCTATTACTGTAAATGTATTTTATTTGGTGTGTATGATATTTGGCATAAATTGATCTTTAAACAAGATAGCTTAAATTTAAATTAGTGCTTACATTAAGACAATTAATGATGTACTTGATTTAGCGGAAGATGCTTATCTTTGAAGGGTGCTAAATAGAATACACAGCCAAATGTAAAACATTTACAGTATTTTAAATGTGCAATTTGAAAAAAAAATCTTACCGTCCATCAAATGAAATCCTGAGACAAGAGGCCCCTGGTAATCGTATGGTGTCTTTACAGGCGGACGATTCCTTGTAATGGTGGTCACTCTCCTTAAGTACTGAAGACAAAGTGACCTCCTCCATAAACTGACCAGCAGTCTTAGCTATGGGGATCAGGCTGTTTGGCTCACAGTATAAAATTATCTTCTCCACAACCTACAACGAGAATTTCATAATCACATCTGAAATGTACAGTTAAAACTCCTCTTCCCCTCTCCCTTTAACAAGTTTAATGGAAAAGTGATACTTGTATAAGATTAATTCTATAATACAAATTTCAAGTCTATAGAGTGAAGATTTAACAAAAGCCAAGTAATGCCACACAATAAAAATTAAAATATTCTATAAATGTAAACACTGTATTTCAAAAACTGTATGTATGTACTTTGGATTTTCATGTTATACCTTCAGGTAGCTGCAGATCTGTAGCTCTCCAAAAAAATATATATTGATAGAACAAATTGAAAAAACTGTATATTTATTGCGCACAAAAAATGCGCTGCTTCTCGATTTATTTCTCCATGTTTTTAAAGCTGTAATTTGTGTTCCTAACATATTCTTTGACTCTTTCCACAACAAAACATTCCTCATAATTGTTGTTAATAGTCCTTATGACCCTGATATTGCAATCATCGGACATTTCGCTTATTTATACTGCCATTTTGGTTTCAAAGATAATTCGGTCCAATATGCTTCGTTCAGATGTCAACTACGAGAGAACTTGATAGAGGAGAAAGTAATTTTTTGAAATCTTCCATTTTTTGCAATTGAGGTAAGAATTTGGAAAAATTAACCAAGAATCGAGCGCACTTTTTTGTGCGCAATAAATATACAGTTTTTTCAATGGGTGGCTCTGTAGCTCTCCGGTCTATCAATATATATTTTTTCGGAGAGCTACAGATCTGCAGCTAACCTTCAGGATGTCAAATCTACAAAAAGACCTTCAAAAATCAAACATGCTAGAATTTTTTACAACAAGTAGCTGAAATACTTACACACTGGAATCTGCTCCTACTTTCTGTTTTGTTCAGTAGATCTAACACACAGGGGATCTGCTGGGGATCCTTACATCCCAGTAACTCTGCTGTAATGACCGGACCCTGCTGCTCCGGCCACTGAGCTAGCAGACTGGCCAGCACCTGCCGAGCATACAGGACAGACATGGCCAGGTTCACTTTTAGGATGTAGTCCCGACAGCACGTTCGGCCGTGTTTTTCCAGTTCCTGTTTCAGGAGTTCACTGCTCTTGCTGCGTTCCTTCTTCTGCATGTCACTGTCTGCGTCGTTGTCGGGAGTTGGGATCAGTTTCTGGGATTCTATGTGATCCTCAGCTGTAGCCTTCTCCAACACTCTGTTAAAACAAAATTCAAATAACTTCATATTGACCCTTTTCAGAATATTCATATCTCATTATTTTCAAATCTTTAAAATTGATTAAAGTGAAATCAGAATTATATTGACCAAGTTTTGAAATCTCAAATACTGAAGAAATAATAGCATTCAAGAATAGTAAAGTTCTAATATCTGAAGCTTTTACCTGTTGACTTGATTGAGAGCTGGATGATAATGTATACCAGTGTCTATAACTTTATCAGAGGCAGCAGTTTCAATGGCAGCCTCAGGGCTCTTGGCATGTGCTATTGACTCCCTGAAAACAAAATAATCAAAAATATATTTAACTTCTATGTCTAAAACATGTTTGCTCATAATAGTGATCACATGGCAGTAAACAATGTACACTGTACACGTATATGCATTATATTTGTATTGTTTCATGTAATACTTGCCATTTTTCGCTGAGTCTCTTAAGATCTTCTTTGGCAGTTACTGGGGAAGTCTCCAAGCTAAAAGTACATAACATGCAAACTTGCAATACTTCATTGACAATAAAGTAACCCAAAGCTAAATTTGTAAGCACCTGCAGAATTTTCTGATAAGAAATAGAGCTTACTTTTCTACTATGGCTTTAACTACATCATCAGGACTCTTGTCATTCATTTCATAAATGGCTCTCAGGACATCTAAAGGCAACTTCAGATCATTGTGCAGTGTCTGAAAGTAAAGAAACGGTTTTGCTACTTTGGCAAAATCAATTTCAAATATCCTGGTTCAAAAATACAATCACATACTGTTATTTTGAGCTCAATGGGGCTGACATAATAGGGTTTAAAGTTCATAAAATACATATCACATATTTAGAAAATACATGTATGATGAAGTTGAAACTTCCAATAATATGATATATCCATGGTATTAAAATATCAATGTTGAGAAAATGAAGTTATTTGTAGATGTAATTTCATAATACCTCAAACATAACCCTGGTCTTCTCATCAATATCCTCAAACACCTTGTTGATGTCGGTTTCTCCCTTCTTTAAGGCCCCTGAGGTCACTGTGACATCATCAGAATCCTCGTCATCAGAATCAGTCGAGGATTCAGATGAAGATGAAGATGACATGAAGATATCATCTGATTCATCATCCAACAATCCACTGTAAGTGGCACCCCTGGACTGTGACCGTTTTTCCAGGGCCGCCGCCAACCTCTCAGAGAGAGACAGACTCTGGGTCTTAATACCTGGGGTCGCGGAACCACCCTGATTAGTGTACAGCATAAGGGATAAAACCTGGGAAGCAAAAAAGTTCAAAATAATAAACTGAATACATGAACATCAAGGATAAATACTTTATGTAAATTAACATTATTTATGACTCACTTCCAGGTCTTTTAGAAGCCACTGTTGACTGAATTCCGTCCCTTTGCTGGCTATGAACACCAGACACTGTATAAAGCTGGACTGGTATAGCTCCGGTATGACTGCTTGGTTGGAATTCTTCAAACTGTTACTAAGAACCTTGAGACAAAGGGAGAGAACCCAGGCTGTTTCCACTGTCACTTCAGAGTCTACAAGAGAAAGAAATATTAAAATGTTTCTCAGCCTTGTGGAACACTTTCCCTGCTTGACTTTTTTATCAACAGTCCAATTTAATTTCAAATGCATATTTTTAAGAGGATGAAATATAAATACATTATAAACATAATTTCATTCTATAAATATGTTATACATACATGTATAAATGTAATCTTATTCTTCCATCTTAAATCTACACTGAAGTCCTACCTTCTCTGATGCTCTCAATGATAGTCTTGGTTGTTCTGTAGAAGACAGAGATGTACATGGAGTCCCAGATCTGTTCACTACTCGTCACACAGTCCACATACTTGTCCATTATCTACAATATACAGAAATACAACTTTAAAAAAAGCATCAATAATGGAAGTTCTATCAAACATAAATTTGTGAGTAGAAACAAAAATAAAATCTTCGATGTAATATTAAGCGAGGTGCTTACTGTGTGCCTTTTCCTGGTCTTGATTTCTATGACCAGAGTCTGGTTTTTATCTGGGAAATGTTTGAGGACCACTCCTGTCTTCCTCTCCAGACCTGCATACTGTGTGAAGCTAACCAGAGTCCCTATGGTTAACACCTGTATAGGTATAAGATCAAAACTTTAAAATTCTGGCTCCTACAGAACATCATTATAGGTACTGAGTGCACATTAAAAATAACCAATTCTACACTTTCTTAGACATGAACACATAGTCTTTTTTTTTTGAAATATAGAGAATTATTGTAAGAAGGGTATTGTACATTTCAGTCACCAAAATTCAAACAGAAAATCAAAATTTGTTGTAAGTGTTTCAATGATAAATTAGATTACTGTGGTATCATGAAAATTCAATACTATATTGGGGGAAAATAACTCGCGGTGTTAATATTTGCTATATTCACGATGTTAATGGATCCGTGAATTCAAGAAACAGTGAATATGTTTTCAATAGGTATAGATAAGGGAGGAAACTTTTATCACATACCAATTCCGCGAATTCAAGAAACCGTGATTGTGTCAAAGAAGAGAAAAACGTGAAAATTACAACCCGTATTAATCCCCCATAGATTACTTAATTTCACAGGTACAAGGGAACATAATTCAAATACAGAAGTTTTTACCTCAGGAAATCCTGCCATTACAAAGAGAGCAAATATAGAGGGAAGATCTGGTTTACTGGTCAGCATCTGTACACAGTCATTGAGATGGTGATGGATGACAGCCTTCCACTCAGGTGAGCTGTACAGGCTCTGTAATATACGGGACACTGAACATGCCCACTCTAAACCACACCTATAACAAAAGGTCAGAAATTGTTTAATTTACACTCGGTTGAGCTGTACAGGCTCTGTAATATACGGGACACTGAACATGCCCACTCCAAACCACACCTACATAACAAAAAGTCAGAAATGTGTAAATTACACTCGGGTGAGCTGTACAGGCTCTGTAATATACGGGACACTGAACACACCCACTCCAAACCAAACCTATAACAAAGGGTCAGAAATTGTTTAATTTACACTCGGTTGAGCTGTACAGGCTCTGCAAGATATGGGATACTAAACACGGCCACTCCAAACCAAACCTATAACAAAAGGTCAGAAAAGTCTCATTCAGGCCATGAATACTCTTCATTTTTACAATTATGAGAGACCATCACACTGAACATAAAATACCACTTCAAAATCACAATATATTTTACAACTCAAAATTTATAGTCCTTAGTGGAAGCTTCAATCCTAGTGGCACCTACTTTTGTAAACAGTCTGCTCCAAAGGTAAATAAATAGTTGATGCAGTGTTGTCCTGAAAATTTTCCTTCCATGTCTTCTTTTGAAATGACAGCTTGGTCAGCAACCTACAAATATTACAGAATCCAGTTGGTACTAGAGGTCTAAGTTTACTACAGTACAATAAACATCCCAATAAATTACATTCTTTACATTCTTTAGATACTTCTTATTTACATGCATCACAGTATTTTCTCTTTTTGTGATACTTACTTGAGTCTCACATCTATTGAGCAATGGTCCCAGCAGTCCCATGGCTAGATGTCTAGTGTTCACTTCATGGCCACTTTCCCCTCTGTCATGTGATAAAAAGATGCAATCAAATTTTCATATTTACCAAATTTCTAAAGAGACATTTTTCACTTTGAAGAGAAGCTGTCTTACCTTGCTATCCTGAACAATAACTGGATGAAATCTTGAGTTGTAAAGTTAAAATTTCCAGAAGACATGACCTTTAAAAAGAAAAACAAGAAATCTGTGAGCCAATGCTCACTAGTAATACCCCCGCTTTGATGTAAATAAGCACTATCATGTTAATATACTGTTTACTCAAGTTCAATTACAGGCAGATGAAGTTGACATCAGATTCATATCAAAATTAATCCCACCATATGGCATGCCTGAACAAAGTCTGTAATAAAATTTCAAGCATCTGCTATGAATAGCTAATGAGAAAACTGCTACGAAGATTTGTCATGTACGAAACAGACAGACGCACAGACAAACAATAAGTTGATATCAGATTTAAACAAAAATGTATCCCACCATATGGCATGCCTTAGAGAAGATTGTATTAAAATTTCTAGCATCTACAATGAGTAGTTGCTGAGGAAACTGCGACAAAAATTTGTTATGTATGAAACGGACAGATGCACAGACAAACGGGAAGTTGACAATGGATTTGAACAAAAATATATCCCACCGTATGACATGCGTCAGAGAAGATTGTGTTAAAATTTCAAGCATCTACGTTCAGTAGTTGCTGAGAAAACTGCTACGAAGATTTGTCATGTATGAAACGGACAGATGCACAGACAAACAGGAAGTTGATATCAGATTTACACAAAAATGTATCCCACCATATGCATGCGTCAGAGAAGATTGTGTTAAAATTTCAAGCATCTACGTTCAGTAGTTGCTGAGAAAACTGCTACGAAGATTTGTCATGTATGAAACAGACAGACGCACAGACAAAGAGGAAGTTGACATCGGATTTAAACAAAAATGTATCCCACCATATGACATGCCTTAGAGAAGATTGTGTTAAAATTTCAAGCATCTACGTTGAGTAGTTGCTGAGAAAACTGTGACGAAAATTTGTTTCGGCCACACGGACACACGGACACACAGACAGACGGACATGACGGAACAAACTTGACAGACACACAAGGGTAAAACAGGATGATCTCCACTTCGGAGCGGGGGTATAAAAAGGTCTTTTTTACACTGGACATCATCATTCAGTCTGACGAATTTTTCTTAGAAAATTTGATATGCTGCTAATGCTTCTCCTCACGATGCACATTATGTCACAGTGCAATGCAAAACAAGAGGCCCAGGGGCCACAGTGCTCACCTGAGCACATCGAGCTTGAATTTAACCCACCCCCAGGCGTTCAACATTTGAACAAAATAGAATCAACACTACCTGAGGATGATTCCATATAAATATCACTAATCATAGCTTTGAAGTACTTGAAAAGAAGATTTTAAAAGGTCTCCCTATATATCCCTATGTAAAACTTGGGTCGGCCATTTTGGCCCCATCCTAGCCCCGGGGATCATGATTTGAACAAACTTGAATCTACACTACCTGAGGATGATTCCACATGAGTTTCATCTTTCCTGGCCCAGTGGTTCTTAAGAAGGATTTTTAAAGATTTTTCCTAAATATTCTTATGTAAAACTTGGGTCGGCCATTTTGGCCCCGCCCTTGCCCCAGGGGTCATGATTTGAACAAACTTGAATCTACACTACCTGAGGATGATTCCACATGAGTTTCATCTTTCCTGGCCCAGTGGTTCTTGAGAAGAAGATTTTTAAAGATTTTTCCTATATATTCTTATGTAAAACTTGTGTCAGCCATTTTGGCCCTGCCCTAGCCCCGGGGGTTCATTTGAACAAACTTGAATCTACACTACCTGAGGATGATTCCACATGAGTTTCATCTTTCCTTGGCCAGTGGTTCTTCAGAAGAAGATTTTTAAAAGATTTTTCCTATATATTCTTATGTAAAACTTAGGGTCAATTCGGCCCCAACCTACAACGGGGTCATGATTTGAACAAACTTGAATTTACACTACCTGAGGATGATTCCACATGAGTTTCATCTTTCCTGGCCTAGTGGTTCTGGAGAAGAATATTTTTTAAAGATTTTTCCTATATATTCCTATGTAAATTTGTGAGTAGGAAAAAACCCTATCTCCAATGTAATATGAACAAACTTGAATCTATGCTACCTGAGGATGCTTCCACTTTCATCTTTCCCTGCCCAATGGTTCTGAAGAAGAAGATTTTTAAATATTTTTCGTACATATTCCTATGTAAAACTTTGATGAGCCATTGTGGCCCCACCCCACCCCCAGAGGTCATGATTTGAACAAATTTGAATCTACACAACCTGAGGATGCTTCCACATGAGTTTCATCTTTCCTGGCCCAGTGGTTCTTGACAAGAAGATTTTTTAAAAATGCCATTATTTTTTAACAAATTCATGATTATATATTTTGGAAAAGGGCACATCAACATTTTCTGTAATGTTTGGATGAAAAACTAAATACATGTACATTGGAACACTTTGTGCCAAGTTTTTTACCTTCAAATGTAAACAATTTTAGAAACTGTATAAAAGAAAGTCACTGTGTCTTACATTCTTTTTTCATACTATGAACATTCAGATCCACATATAATTTTTGTCCACATGCTCACCAGCACTGTGGCAGGAAAAAGTAAAAATTATGAAAAGTTTTAATCCAGAAGTGTGTCCCATGACCAATCATGGCTTTACTAAGAGAGAAGATTTTTGAAAGAATTTTTACTATATATTTCTATGTACACATCTTTGAGATGGTGATGGATGACAGCCTTCCACTCAGGTGAGCTGTACAAACTCTGTAATCTACACTACCTGAGGATGCTTCCATATAAACACCTATGACAAAAGGTCATGGCTTTGTATTTCTTACACAGGATTTTCAAAATTTTCCTATATATTACATGTATATATATGAGAGACTGTAAAACCAAACACTAAAATGTAACTCTTAATTTGGAAATAAACTTGAAATTTACACTACCTGTATGCTTCCATATAAATGCATATCCAATCATGGCTTTGTTCTTCTGTAAGAAGATTTTTCAAGAATTTTCCTATATATTTGATGTAAAACTTTGTCCTGAAAATTTTCCTTCCATGTCTTCTTTTGAAATGACACTACCTGGAATGCTTCCTATAAATATTACAAAGTGCTTTGTATTTCTTGCCAGCATTACAAGTTTAAATGTAAACATTTTCCTATATATTTCTATTCTGTAAAACTATGTGTTGGCATTGTGCTCTCTCTCTCTCTCTCTCTCTCTCTCTCTCTGAACAAACTTGAATCTACACTACCTGAGGATGATTCCACATGAGTTTCATCTTTCCTGGCAAAGTGGTTCTTGAGAAGAAGATTTTTTAAAAATGCCAATAATTTTTCACTAATTTTAACATCTCCCCTTTCTGAAAGGGCGTGGCCCTTTTCATACTTTGAAGAGAAAATGTCCTACCTTGCTATCCTAAACAATAACTGGATGAAATCTTGAGTTGTAAAGTTAAAATTTCCAGAAGACATGACCTTTAAAAAGAAAAAAGTCTTCTTTAAATTGGACATCATAATTTAGTCAGAAAAGTTTTGCCTAGAAATTTATATACTGCTAATGCTCCTTCTTATGATGCACTCTATGACACAATGCAATGCAAACAACTGAATTTTTGATAAATTATATTGATTTGTCATTGTGAGCATACGAACCACATTATCCCTGGGAATCATGGCCCCGAGCAATCCCATAATCCTCTCCTGTGTGTGGATGGCAAAGGCCTCCATCTGTCTGCTCTCTATGGCCTGGAGGCTCTTATCACTCTGCTGTAGAACCTTACCACTGTCTGTAAACGGGGAACATTTAATCAAACAACAAAAAATAAATCACATTTACCTGCTGATCATAGAATACAAGTAATTGTGAACATCACCAAACTTATCTTCAAATTGATGCTTTTTAATAATGAATCTTATTTAATGGTATAATTACTAAATCACCAAAATCTATCACACTCCTATAATAATTTGAATACACATGTGCTGTTTCTATTAACATATCCAAAAACATGATTAAAAATTTTTCAAAAAATTGGACTTGAAGACTTTACTTTTGTACATAGCAGAGAACACCTTAAGATGACATTCTTCTATTAATTTTTTTTTAAATTATAACACCGTTCTGCCCCAAAAAAAATTTGATTCCAAAGTCTACTTGCCTTCAGCATCATCTGGGACTTGTTTGAGACAGTGAGTGATGATCTGCATACACTGACTCTGTAGCTGGGCTGCCAGCTTCACGTAATCCAGATCCACATGAGATGACATCATGATCTCCCCCGCCGACATGGAGAGGATCGTAAACAGGAGCCAAACATGCTGGTGAATGTAGCCCTGGATCAGCGAATCTGAGTCTTGAGATGTGCGTACTGCGAAAAATAACAAAATGTTAAGTTATCACTTATTTGATTACACATATCACTACCAGATTAAAGCTACAATCAAAATTCTATTTCAAAACCATTTCAAAACTTGAATTTATTATCAAGTATCCAATGATCCAAAGAAGTTTTTTTTAGTTTAAAATGAATCAGGTTATTGTATTGAATAAGGTGAGAAAAATAAAATGGAAATGTTGAATCAATTCTTTTGAAGTCTACTTACATTTTACTAGAGGAAATTTGGTGATGTCATGAGAGGCATTATGCCTGAAAATAGGAGGCATTCAAATTAAAAAAAAAATAAAATTATACAGCAACATTTTAGCAAAAGTAAATGTATGTAGTTTATAATCAAGACTTACTCTGAAGGAAAGTTTCCCTTCTCATGACATCCATAACACAGATCAAAATCATCACAGACATTACAGTGGATTCTTGTTCCCACAATAAAAGCTTGGCACTTATTACATTTATACCTGAAATCAAATACAGAATTCCAAATGATTCACAATGCAAAGAATACATGCAAATCTTAAACTGCAATTCACTGTTTTTTTTTGAAAATGTATATGAAAAATCCCACTTGTGCAGATATTAATTTCAAATCTTAGATCAGTAGTAACAAAGAAAACATTAGAGAGGATAATAAACAATCATTCAGTTTAAAACATCATTTCCCAGAATCAAATTTACTAACACTAAGTGTACAATATATATTTTACTTTACTTACACTAGGTGTACAATATCATGATCATCAGTGTGCTCCCCTTCAGGTTTAACTCCCCCAGCATAACATGTAGCACACAGGTCCATATCTACACACTGTAAACATCTGAACCTCCGCCCTGGGAGGGTCACGTTACACCCATCACAGGTGATCTCCACCTCTAAGAGGTCACAGAATCGGGCCACAAACATCTGCACAGCCTTCTTCTCTTCTTTGTCCGATTCGTCTTTCTTGGCATTCTCATACCACTTGTCAAAACCCTCTGAGCACTCATTGAACCATTTCATGAATTTATTGTACTCCATGAGTTCTTCTTTCTCCTCCTCCTGGCCAAATGTGCACTCCCTCATCTTAACTGTCTCTGTTTAGGATGGATACAAGAGTTGGACATAACATTGTAATGAATTTTCTTCACTGATAATTTTAAATCATCATCAAATACCCATATAATCTTGATAGCTAACAGCAGAGAGTTAAAAAATAAACATTTGCTGGTTTCGACAGAAAACAATATCATGTACTCCTGAAATTTTAATGAATACATGTAGTATGTGATTCATATCAAAATATGTCAAACCTTTGGCAATTCCTAGATAGAGGGCTGGCAAATTAACCTCTTGTACAAATGACAGGTCATAGGGATGCCATTCTACATCCATCAAATGGAGTAAACAGGCCTGGATGTATTCATACGCTGGTACTGCACTTCTGTAAATGGGAAAATCAAAAAGGGGTCAAAACAACCAACCAGTTTAGATTGCAAGGAAATTAATTCAATTAAAAGATGAAAAAAAGAAATAAAATAATCCATACTTTTCCATCTGTATCCTGCGTTTTTGATGATAGGGGTCAGTAAGTTTTCGGATCAGACAGTAGAATGACTCCCTGACCACAGATTCCTGCTGTAGGCCACACCCATCTAAGCTGTCAGCGTAGTGCTTACAGAATCCATCCTGATACCATAGCAACTCTTGGAAAAACAACACATTGGGAATCTGTAAAAATCAAAGTGTTATTTCAACATTCTTAGAAATATCAATTTTTATATTTGTTATTTTACCTAGTATGAATTAGGTATCTTTAGTATGTCTCAGATAATTTTTCATGGTTGATAAATTCCACTTCTACAGTAATAATTACATCACTGTATTTTACTCATCTTTATTTTAACATACACAAAATTTCCCAACTTAAGGTAAAAAGCTACAGCAACTCTTAAGTTATTTGATATTCAGTACATGTAATTGACAGTAGACAGACTAACCTGGAAGATGTCTGGATTGTTGTGAATTTGCAGGAACTGGACACAGAAGGAGTAGACCTCAGCCACGGCCCGAGCATGCTGGGATCTCTGTTGTAACATACTGTTTACTCTGTCAAAAGAACCACAAATCAACCATCAATAATAATACTCAGATGACTTAATTCTGCACCCTCTTTTAATAAATACAGAGTATTTAAGATATGCAATGTAAATTAAATGAATTGAAGGAAACAGAGTTAATTCATTCTTGTCATCTGACTAACCTTTCAGTGATCCAAGCTGGGTCCTGTACGAAGTCTATCACAAGTCGAAAAGAGGGGTATTTTTCTAAGGCATCAAACTGCAATGATAAACAAATAAAGGACTAGAATGAAGTTGATAAAGAGTATGTAATTGTTTTAACATGGAAACCAATACCTATCTTAGTCAATACAATGATGTCTTACTCATATTGCTTCATACAAGAATCTCTTACCCTTCCTTGCTTGTCTTTTCTGTGTAACAGTTTCTTCCACTGTTTAGATGCTTTATTACGCATCTGAAATTGAATAATAAAACCCAATATTACAAGGTGATCAACACCTCCCCATAAGAAACAGTGCCTGCAAAAATGTTCTGTGTGTTTCTACATACCTCATTCTTTAATTGCACTTTAGTCAATCCAGCAAACTTCAGAAGGAACAAAGCTTTCTCTTTACATGCCAAAGCTGAAAGACGATTTAAAGTTACCAAAATTACATTGAAGATCATTTTAGATAAATTATAAGTATTTTATTACAATTCTTTTTATTCTTCAATAACCCTTCAAGAAATGCATTATGATAATCAAACAGAAGTTCTAGTTTTACCTGGATCCTGTATTTCTTCATTCTCTTCTTTTTCTGCAGCCAATTTCTGCTTTTGGGACAACTAAAAGAAAGATGAATATTCTGTAATCAATATTTTCATTGCATTTCACTACATATAAAATAACAATCAATGAATTTCATGAGTATTAAAAAGCCAGCAGTCAAGCTCTAGAAGTCTTTCTGTAAAATCTCTTGAACATTTAAGGGAATTCATATTCTGTCTGCATTATCTGTCTTTTATTCATGATATATTTAATCAAGTTTTTTTTAGGCTATACCAGTTGAGTCTTTAAGGAATGTGCTGTGGAGTATGCTAAAAGTAGTCCCTCTGACAGAGGCAGTTCTGGATTCTGGGCTGTAGAATAAATGTCCACAAGATTAAACACGTTGACATATCAGTTTTCCATTTTACAGGATAAGGAGATTTTTAAACTTTGAACTAATGCTCTGTGATATTACACCTGTAAATATTGAGAAAGCTGACCTAATTTTTGGAGATCCTCTCTTAACTGCTGGGTGTGCCACACCAAGGCTGCAAAAACAGCCAGGATGGCTTCGTCTGTATCCCCTCGCTCTATCAAGACTCCTTTCTGTTGCTCCTTACATCTGAATTCATTAAATACAAAGTCATATGTGATACATCTTAGCATTCTTGATCTAATTCAGCTAAAAGACACAAGTGCATGTGGTTGTAGTTTAATCATTCATAAGATTCAACATCTCTTACTTTTCAATAAGTTTAGTTGGCAGTCCCTCCTTTTTGTTGAGGATATTCCAGAGGAATTCTAAGACACTGCTATCAGCTGTGGCCAGTTTTCCAGACAGGGATCTCTCTAACCTCCCGATCATGTACCCCCCACGGAACAGTGACGTCCACAACTCACTCCTGAGGACATCCTGTTCTGAGGACACGCCTCCTAACACAGGGTCTGTCACAGCAACTAGTGGGAACAGAGAATAAGATACAGCCCCATTAATATAGACACCAATAATCCAGATATTTTACCTTCCAGATGATAATTTATATCTACATGAACATTTATATCTACCAATTTTAAGAAATTTGTTTCATTAATCCAGTTGAAATGCTTAAAAACACAAGCACCTACCCAGATTACCTGTATTTCATTTGCATGTATGACATTGGCAGTATCAAGCATTTATATTTGAAATATGCTCTGAACTTTAAAAAACCCTTTTGACCAATGCTTTTGTTTCAAGCATTATCAACCATATTCACTAAGCATCATAAGAAGGACAACTTACAAGGGTTAGCTTTGAGAGTTGCCCCACAGAGTCTCCCCATCAGCTTAGTCAGACTGAGCTGTAGGTCAAATGGCCAGGATAAAGGGATGTCTGGACTTCCTCGAGCGGTCACCTATAACAAAGAGGAAACGTCTTCATTAAGTTTATATATCCTCATATTATGAGAGAAGTAGTCATTTCTAAATGTAAAAGATCAAAGAAATTATACAATATAAATCGTATGGTACTTTGAATTCAACTGATATCAGTTGATAAAGGGTAAACTTATGAAAAACTAGAAAATTACAAAAACTAGAAAATTACAAACATTCATTCTGTACGATTAATGCTGGTAAAGCAAAGTTCATTTAATGATTATAATATTATTTTAATAATATGTAACAGGACAGGAGAAAATGTATGGCTGGACCAGGAGTCGAACCCAGGACCCCTGCATCTCCAGTCAGGTGCTGTACCAACTGAGCTATCAAGGCTGATATCAACAGCCCAAACCATTACAAATATAAGAAAAAACTGAACTTTTGAAGCACAACCCCTCCCCTCATGATAATGATGCAAATTGGGGGTGACATACTTTGAACTTATATCCCCACTCTGTATTGCTGCTGTCAGAGTGGAACAGGAAGTGTAGGTGAGGCCCGCTGAAATTGACCTGTTTCGGCCATTTAGAGGTTCCTACTTTCTGATCAAATCTCATCTGGACTCCTTTGGCATCATTAAAGGTAAGGTAGTCATACCTGTAACAAAAATATTGACCATCATTTATTTCCTTGTCTTCAACTTAAGAACTGTTTGCTCTCATGTTTATGTATAATGATAACAATTAATTTAGCACAAATTTAGCATAAATATCTAATAATTATAGATTGTCTCAACTTGAAATGTCTTACACATCATGACATGGCTTTAACTTTATAGTCCTAGCAGAGTATCTTTTGTTAAAGACATACCTTCTCTCTGTTTCACACCTTGGATCAAAATCCACGACAAATTTGTTAGCACCTGGACAGGTAAACACCTGAGTCTGGTGTTGATTGTTCTCGTAATTATGTGAGGACTCAACTTCCCAGGTCCTGAGAACGATGTCCTCGGTCTGAATACTGGCCCAGTGTTCACTACTGATCTGATACAGATAAAGAATAACTTGGAAATTTAAATGAACCTTTGTCAAAGGAAATGTGCACAAATTCAACAGCTCATAGAAAATGGGGACCTTCTTGTCTATTATTCATCATTGAAACATTTCAAGTAAAGGGAAACAAATACACAATGGAATAAAGACAGATGGTTTTCCTCTACAGTAACTACCATTATTCTTGTGCTTTAAAACAGAAACCTTTTATTTTAAGGTGTATTTTCAATTTAAGTTATTTGTGACTTACTGGAGGGAATACTTTGGGTAATTTTTCTGAAAGACATTGTAGATCTTCACACAGGGACTGGAAACTCCTGATGAGCTGAATCCTGGTGTCTGAGCAGCAGCTGTCACACAGGAAGTTAAGGATCAGCACCTACAGTGTAATTATCTCACAGTTATCATGGGGCAAAAAACTAAATACACAATTGCATTGAAAACTATACAACATCTGATATTGATACTATAGTCTTACTAGTTGCCGGACAGTGCTTCCTAGAAATGAATTTTCCAGCAGTTCAATTGAGGAAAACTGAAACATAAAAACATGTATATATGTAAATCATAAGAATAAAACAAAATAATGTTTTCCAGTCTTTTTCTCATTATACCAACTGTTTATCAGCAGACTTTACTCACTTTGCTATCACAGGACTGAAGTAATTTACAAGTTTCTGATGCTTTCCTTGCCACAAATACAGAATCTACAACAAGGAGAAATACATGTATTTTAGAAACATACAATCCTCCATGTTACTAAACTGAAAAAGATTAACCTTAAGCTTAAAATGTCTGCAATGTGACTTGCAAACTGACTGGTACTCCTCCATGGGGCTAATGTAGAAAGTTTAATGTCTGTCATGCAAAGGGATCACAAAGTGATTATCGTAACAGCATTACATGTACAAATTTTAAAATCAAAGCAATTAATAAATTAATTTTCATATTCTTTTTTAACTTTTTTTTTTCAAATCTATGCACTAACATTTGGATATCACTTGAAGGGCATTCTCCCTCCACATGTTGCTGAGTTCTTTCTTCCCATCATCCTCTGGTACAATCTGAGCCCAGCACCAGCTGAGTAGACTCGTTTGTAGAGCACTCACAAGCTGTAGGAGGGGCTCGATCTGAACCTGACTCTGCCCAGTCTTGAGTGTGGATGTAAACTCGTGACTAGATACTGATATCATGGTCTCCATAATTCTCAACACCTTGCCAACATCATAATTCTGTAGGCAGCAATGGAAAAAAAAATTATAGGCTTTTGATTAGGGTAGCTGTGAACTGCAGAACAATTATTCAAGTGTCTCAGTTTTCTTTACTCATGTAGTTGAATGGAACAAGTTTTGCTGTGAATATTACACAAAACCAAATAAGAACTTTCTTTAGCATAAAAGTAAGGAAAATAATTTGATGAAGACAAACCTGAGTATTTGGTTTGGGTAAATCCAGTAGACCACTAGGATCCACGGAACTAAAGAATTGACACAGGGACTGGAAGACCAACATCACAGATGGCGCCTTGGACAGGATCTACAAATGAAATGTTAGAAAATGTCAAAAGATTCTTGACAAGGATCAGTAAGGCTTTATCTGTTTAAAAGTGAAAATTAATATCAGCTTGCTTGCCTCCACATTCCGCATCATTGTAAACAACTGTTCTCTTCTTGCCTCCTTATCTGGGAAAAATACTGCAGCACCTGACAAGTAAAGTAAGTAAAGTTCCTTGATCTTTGATCTCTCTATAACAGCTAAATCAGAATAATTTTGATTTAACTTATACATTTAAATCTATATTGCATATTAAGAATACTCACCATCGATGATCAAATGACGACACAATTCATACAATGTTGATGATTGTTCTTTATTTTCTGGTTTATCGATTAAGTTACATATATGGTCAAAAAATTCTGCTGAGGAATTCTGTCATATAAAAAGCGTATTGTCAATTGATATACAGATATACATATATATAATGTACCAATAAATGACATTCAAGGTACATGTACAATGTTCAAATTACTGTGTCTTAATTTTTAAAATAAAGATATTTGCATGTTTATTCAACAAAAATATTTTTTTTCTCAGTATTTCACTCCTCATCTATCAGTTCACATCTGCATTATACATACAGATTCTGACAGAGACCCTGACCTTGCGTTCCTCTGTCATGGTGGTAAAGACAGGCAGGAGACAATGAAGGAGCTTCAGGGTCAGCAGGGCACACGACTGCCATTTCTCTGTCTCACTGAAATCAAACAGGTTTCATTGAAATGTGAATCATACATTAAGTTTTTACTAATAGCTTATTTTAAAAACATGATTATCTGATGCAGTTTTAAATTTGGCTTACTTGAATGCTCTGTACAAGCTCCATATGACCTCCAGTGGAGTGTCAGAGAACTCTAGATACTCTGTCTTCCCTCCAGTAATCCCATGCTTCAGTTTTGTTGCCTACAGATAATACATCAATACAGAAATAAATTATCATTAACTACCACTAACATTCGTTAAAATACAATAACCAGAGTTCTATATAGCTGTGTTGATTTTACCTGGTCCTGTGACAGATCAATCAGAAACTGTAAAGTAGTCTGGATTATTTCTAGACTGCTACAATCAGATTTCTTCTCTTGTAAAAGTGGATAAGTCTAAAACAGAAAAGGAAATTCACAGAATTAACAAAATAGTGACTTCTCCCTTTTTCATCTGCACATTTACTACCAGATTTACAAGTAACTCACCCTAGATTCTTCTCCAGTCAAAATCAGTTTGCGATTGAAGCCATAAAACTTTATTCCAACAATGCCCATCTTTGTGGCTTCCTGTCTGGTGTCCACAAACTTGACCAACACATACTGAAAAAGATGACACATTAAACAGCACTATCCTTTTTTTTGAAAAGATTCATGTATAATTTTGCAATGTTCAACAAAATTTCTTGGTGATAATTCAGTTTTAAAATTGATTCATTTAGATTCCAGGGAATCACTCACCTCTCCCGTGGGATGCCAGCTAACAGGTACATCCAGCTCATCACTAATAAATAAACACATACCAATTACCAAGCATTAGTACTAGCTGTTTGTATGAATACAGGCAGAAACTTATTTCAATAAATCAAACTTTTGACTGAAAAGCAAGGGTTTAAACTTTACAAATAATGTATGTATCACATTTTAAACAGCAATGTCTACAATACCAGTCATCCTCAAAAGAGAAAAATGCTACTGGGTCATCTTCTTTTCCAGCCAAACCAGTATTTCTAAAATGCAAATTAACATTTACACTATATAAAAAATACCCCCAATTCTTGGTTGTAAGTTCATATCTTACTTTACAATCTCAGTGGTACATGTATTTGATAAAAACTAACCAATGTAAGAAATAGATCCGACACAAAAATTAATTGTCTCTTTAGTACAGTACAGAAATCATGACTCACCGAACCTGTACACTGTAATCATACTCTTGTCTTCCCCAGGAATCGTACGATTTAAATCGCTCTGTTAGCTTGGCCATCTCAAACTTTGAACTGAAATAAAATAACATGAACAAGCCTTCACAACCTCAGATCCATTATCATTTATGAAATGTCTATTGAAGGATCATCTGAATTCAAAATCTAGCATCTTCAAGGTTCAAGCTTAGCCTTAAAATTGAGCATTTAAAATGCACAAAGACTCTACTGTCTAAAAGTCTCTGATTTCAAATTTAATATGCACTCTCTTTATGAAGTAATATTGTCACTATAGAGACAAGCCATAATTACCCATCATCTTTGAATACAAACACCATCCCTCGTCTTGCTCCTTTTCCACCAGATGTAACCTATAAACATATCAATCAATTTACATTTTAAATAAAGTCATCTAAAATAAATGTATTAAAGAAAGAGGCAATGAAATTAAACTTCCTCTATGCCTTACATATAGATTGAAATAAAAAACAATCTGATATTACAACAGATATTCAAAATCTGATTCATTATAAATTGTTCACTTTACAAGATTTGACCAATATTGGAATATGTCCGGAAAACTAAACCCTCACAAAATATGATTCCATATACCGGGTACACAAGACCTTACTGGCCATTCCCTTCATACTGTGTGTACAATACATGTACAGTTCTATATATCACAGTGAGGGGTTTCATATTTTGACAACACCAAGTATTCATCATTATTTCCAATCTACATGTTGAATGTCATTCCTTTTTCAATACATACCTACATGTATATACCATATACAGCCTTATTTTCACATCAATTCTATTTGCTTTATTCATTTTTTAATATATTTTTTTAGGACAAACTCAAATCACAAAGCCAATATGACTGGAATATAAAGTAAATGCAATTCAACAAAATAAAATTCAAAATTTGACAACTTATCAAAATTCAACTTCTGTTTTGAACAATCAAAGCTGCATTAGTATACAGTAATTCCACCTTCCTAACAAACACATGCAAATCTTACAATATTAACACCATCACCCATAACTTTTGTAACAAATTGCATGCACAAACTAGTTCATCATCAATCTAATTCCATAACCACCCATCATGCAAAAACAGCCACTACCTGATTTACAATCAAATCTCCATATGATAAATCCAGAAACATGCTCAAAACCTTACTTTTATGTAATCCAATAAACTCAAAATCACAGTATTTTTTCTGACAACTAAAACTTGTAATTATTCAATTTCTATGTTAACAATAACCCTCCTGACTTCTTTCAAAACCTACCTACTTTCAAAGCATCTAAGAACTCATTTGGAAAACAAAAATAAATTTCTTACTCGTATTCGCAGTTTAGACAGTTGTATGGTTTCAGTGGATTTGAAGACCATGTTGACTTTGGTATTGCCATCACTTGTTAAGTATGAGGCTGTAAAAACTAAAGCATATTAATGCACAAAACATTGATAGTTTGTTATCTACCACACTCTGGCTGGAAGCATTCTGATTATATACAAACTTAAAGAACTTTTCAGCTTTGTTGTCAGACATGAGGAGTCCTTGACATTCAACCGAAACAAGTCCTGAAAAAACTTCACTTTTAAAAATATTTGTTCATATTGTTCTACAACTGGGGAATGACTTTAAGAGCAAATGTTAATAATTTTACAGGAAATTAGATGGTCAAAGAAAATACTAATAATGTAAGAAGGAATCTACATACACTGAACAGGCATCGTCCAGGAATGGTTGAGGACATTTTCTGGTCCTGTGTTCTCATCACTCTGTCCTCCATCTGAACCACTTAAGGTCAAGGTTAACTGGTGACCAGTCTTTTCCCAGCATGCATCTCTTGCCTGCTGCATCTGCCTTAGCAAATCTGCACATGGCAGGGAAACCTCAGGATTTTCTACAAGAGACAGATAGCATACTTAATACATTATTAATATTGTCAATTAGAATTCATTTTCTTCTCATTCAAAAGCTTTCATTAATTAAATCTTTCTTCAATTTTATGATACAATTACTACATAGGTGATAATGCCATTTGAACCTCTTATTTTATTTGTATGTTACCTTGGAGCAGCTTGACTGTGCGCAATAGAGCTCCCACATTTCCTCTGGCCAGGTTAAATGACAATAAAACCTGCAAACCTTCAGTGAGGACCTCTCCTTCATATCTGTATTATAAAAAATCTTAACAGTGCCATGTAAGCTAAGTTCACACGACAACTGTACCTGCATTTTTTCATACAATGAACAATAATGTCAATTAACAAATTAGTTTACATGACTGATGACTATTCTAAATACTTTAAATATATCATCTCTACTTTCATATTATAAGTACAAGTGTATTTTATTTACAGCACATTAATTAATGTCGTAAATAGAAAGTGAAAGTAGTGACTCACAAGGCAATATCAGTAACAAACTTCTCCACCTCCTGTAACACATGCTTGGTGAGGAATTTAGGTCTATCTCCACTGACTGGACACAGAGACAAGGGAGGGATATGACCTAAGGCTTTCCTAAAATACAATAATCATTCAATATAATTCATTCTTATTCCTTGTCACAAGTAATCTGATATTCAAAACTTTCTGAAGTAAATACTTTGTGTGATCCAGAATGCCTGTCCTTAAATGTGGAGCCAGAGGTATCGTCATGGTTACGGTGGTGGCTAACACTTGTAGATACCACATGGCAGAAGCATCGGCTACACTAATACCTGCCTCTTTTATCACTCTATAAATTTAAATTACGGTAGTGAGTAACATGTTCAAAAAATTGTTTAGTCTACAAACTTTCGCGGTCATGTATATCATCCTTAGATTACTTACTTATAACCAACAGTTTTGATTCCGTGGATTCTTGTATCACAGCCATCATTTCTACATCTCTTGATGTTTATCTGGATAACTGTAGATAAAAAGAAAAACAGGTCTCTTATTGCTTTGACTGTTTTAATACAGTTATGTTTTTTTTTTTCAAACATGACTCAAGATAATCACATAAATAAACTTGAAATGACTCACTTGGATAATAGTGCTTTGTGTTCTGTAGCAGTGTAACATCACCCGTAATGTAACTGAAAGTAAATTTTTTTTTATGTACATGTAAGTTGGAGATACAAATTTGTCTCTTGTTTTCTTTGAAAATCAACTTCACAACTTTTTTTCTCTTCTCAGGAATTAATGTTTAAGTTTTATGATGCAGATTTAAGTAATTTTCCATCAGTTAAGTTTATACAAGTATAGGTGTAAGTTTGTTAGATATGAGCATTACGTCAATATGAACACCAGCTTCCTACCTTGGAATGGTTACCTCCTTTATGGACCGAAGTGTACGGAAATTCTTCCCAGCCGAGACAGAAATGAGCTCTGGCATGTAGCTAGAATCTGAAGAAGCCACTGTGACACTCAGATTCTTTATCACTACATTGTTTTTTATATGCAGTCTGAAATGCAACATTTTATTTAAGCTCTGGCATTTATAATCCGCGAAGCGGATTATAGCTATGGCCAAGAATAATTTAATTTTAAAACAATTAAACAACTTTTGATGTAAAGTTGTGTTGTTTTTTAAGCCACTGATTTGAAGCACTCAGATTCTTTATCACTACATTGTTTTTTATATGCAGTCTGAAATGCAACATTTTATCATCAAATAAATAAATTCAAGTAAACTCTAAAAGCAAAATCTTTGTAGTAGTACAATTCTCTTCGCCTTTTTCCAAAGAAAAATTAGTTTTACCTAATCCAGTGGGACCTCGCTGAGCCATCAGACTGCCAAAACGTGTTGGGATCTCCATTTGTTAACCTGAAAGAAAAAGTGATTAGAATAAGTTAAAACTACAAATGAATGATCATAATGTGCAGTTTCCTGCAAAAAACTTTCCTTGGTTTTATTTTTGAATGAGAAGACAAAGAAGTTTTGGTACCTGTAGGCATCTGAAGTGTTGGAGGAGACCTCTATGTTACTGTAGCATGGGTTGATGGTCCTGACCTCCTCCCCGGTCTCCAGGGTCCCCTGACCATGACCATAACCTTGTTTAACAAGTAAAAAATACAACTAGGAAAAGTCAACAATTCCTATAATATACGTAGATAAATGTACTAAATTTGAGCAAAGGCAACTGAAAAATGAAAGAGTATCCCTTTTATCAGCCAAAATATACATGTAGTACAATGGAAATAACTGGAATCTATTCTTACAGCAAGATGAAAAATAAAATGGACTGTACTTCAGACTTTTACCTTTGTCTTTCATTTGTTGGAAGATGGACTTCAGTACCAAGTTCCTCATGCTTGCAGTGTTGTTGAAACCATTCAAATAAGGGAAAGGTAAACTAAGACTAGGTGATCTGTTTCGTATAAGATACTGAAAATCAAGCAGATTTTAATTAATAAATTGTATAATTTACCCTTGCACATTTATCACATACAGGTAAGCATATCACTCTCACTTAAAATACAAGTAATCATGAATTCTTCAATAAACAATGTCTACCTTCAGTATTTTTTCTGCATGTTGTTGTACAGCATCATGGTCTCTTGCATACACATCAACAAACCCTACAAAGGTTTAAAGTAATACACCATCATACAACTAATCTAATTGAAATTAGACCATTTGATCTGTTTTCATGTTGACTGCTATATCCTTTAAAATTTGATCTTTCGATCCTCTTGACATAGACTGCTTTTTTTGCTTTATCTACATTCACTCACTGTATCTTGCATGGTACTGCATTTTGTACAACCAGTTCATCTTGATGTCAAATACGAAAAATTTACTGATCTATGAATTTTTCAGACACACAGAAAGTGACCTTTACCTGGGGTGAGTGAGCATGCCTGAAGCATCCTGATACTCCTCCCTAGTTCTCCCATCACATTCTGACCATTCATGGACTTTACGATGGTCAGCATGGTATTGACCTCCACCACTCCACTGCCATCAGTGTCAAACTGCTGGAAAGTCTGGAAATATGAAGTGTTTATACGAAATCATGTCTGTTAATTCATCTCCAGCATACACAAGAATATAAGTAAAGTCTACATTTCAACTACTGTAGTTAAAGCTATATAAATGAAAGCAAATTTAGAAGTCAAGAAGCACTTTATTTAATTAAAACAAAAATAATCATTTTCAGAAAACCTCAGTATAAATATTCATACATGTGCTATTTTCTCAACATAATGGTAAACCCAAAGGTCTCATGTTTTCACTATTTTACCTTGAATACATATACATTCCAGACTCTTACTGACTTGCTGAGATATCGAGTCACATGTGATACTTACTCTGGCTGCCTCCTCTCTAGACACTCCCTTGTTCTGCAGCCAATCACAAAACTGAGATATCGTCAAAGTTTCCTGAAATGATATTAAAGGCATGGCCTTGTAATCTCAGACAAAGGTATCATCAAACAAACTTATCCATTTATACATAGCAATTTGAATTATACTGTGTTTGCATCTTTCTTTTATTACTGGGTTCTATATTCACAAGTTCAGCAGTGATAAACAATTAAGTGAAAATACTGTCAAGTATCTATACACTGTACCTCAAGTTTGTTTTCCCTGTCCTCCAGCCATCGTAAAATCTGAAATCTGTACTGCTGTAGCACATTCTCTGGAACCTCCTCCCTATACAAAATGATTGTCATTTTAAAATGGAAACATAAAAATAAAACTTTGTTTTGATAAAAAAAAATCCTCTAAAATATTATAAGCTTTAAATGAATGAAAATAAGATAATTAAAATTTTCTTAAATAAATTAGGTTTTCGTGTTACATTTCTTCAAGTTGTTGCATCTTACAATCTTTGAAATAAAGTCACAGAGTCCATTTATTAATGAGCTTACTTGATGTTGGCAGCCAGTGTACGGAGGCTCGTGTGATTAAATAATCCTGACAAATCTGTCAGATTAAGGCTACTGTTATCATCTACAAAAAAGATACATCAATCAATCAGTATTGTACATAAATTTACTTTATGAATTTACCAACTTATTATACAAGTTCACTGAAATCTGAGTTTTTTTTCTTAAGTTGCTTTTTTTTTTATGAATTTGAGTCCTGTTAGGCAACAAATCCATTTTTCAGATTTAATCAGCTAAAGAACTGACCTGCATCATCACCATCAGAGCTATTTCCATCCATCTGCAAACAAAGAAAACCAAATTTATGACAACTTCAGCAATGAGAATGATTTCAATGGAGGGGGGATTTAACTTAAAATCTTGATATTTTGGTATTGATATTTCTACCAATAACAAAGTTGTATCTGTACCAAAACTGAATAGAAAAAAATTGACCCAAACATCTTTCTTTTTAAGTCTGCCTCTTATGTGTCATTTTCTTTCCTTAGCAACTGGTAGCTGCAGATCTGTAGCATTATGGTTTTATATATTTGTCTTTGACCATAACGCTACAGATCCCGTAATGCAAAAAAGTTTACGGCGCAATATTTTTAACGCACTTTTGGGGAGAATTTCTCCACTTTCCAACATCGGTCAATTAATTACCTTTCACTCCCTAATTCTAGGCACACTCTGTAGCCAATATGGTATGTATATTTTATCCACCTCCCAACCATTTATAGTAGTCTCTTAGCGCGATAAACTTGCTTGAAGTGAATTTTCAGCAATCTAACATATAATTTTAATTAAGCGAGTTTATCACTTGTAGAGACAGCTATAAAGGGTAGGTAGATGGATAAAATATTCAGATTAGTTAAATAAGGTGCCTAAGATTGGGCAGTGAAAAGTAGTTAATTGACCGATGCTGGAAAGTAGAGAAATTGTCCCCAAAAGTACGCAAAAAAAAGTTGTGCCGTAAATTGCACCTTTTTTGCATTACGGGATCTATAGATGGTCAAAGACAAATATATAAAACCATAACGCTACAGATCTGCAGCTAACCAACTGGTATATAAGTACTGGTTCTGTCCAATGAATGGTACTACGAGGTATTAACAATTGACTGAATTTGGTTATAAACTATGAAAAACTTTGTTTTTTGAACTATTAAATGCTAATTGAATAAAAAGACATATTTGGAAGGTAAAATTTTGTGTTTAATCCTTCATTTATTGTTCTTTCTTCAAATAGAGGTATAGTTTTTAAATACATTTCTGCAAGAAAGTTTGAAGCTATGCTCTAAAATTACTAAACAGTGGCTTTTTAATCTATAAACCATCATTTTGAAGGAAAACCATCCTCACAAGCCAACAGTCAACACGTTGCCGTTTGACCCCTGGCCTATTTCATTCACGGCAATGTGTTGACTCAGGACCCTTGCGACGATGGTTTTCCTTCCTTTGAGAGGATGAAGTCTTGTTACAGATGTATCCAAAAAGTACATAATAAAATGGCATTATGTTAACTTTTTGTAAAGTGGCTGCATGCTTTGGGTATGGATATCACTTGATGTGATGCGAGTTTTTATTTTTTGCATTTAGTATAATAAGTTCTGACAATTAATAATGATGTAATGTAGTTACATTTATAATAATATAATACGCATAGCTGAATAAACGATTGGTTGAAGTGAGAAAAAGTTAAGAATGGAAAAAAACAAGCATTCTTTAAATACTGTAAGAAAATTTTATAAGGCTTAAAACATGTTCGTTTATGGTTCACCTTGTGGACTTTAGTTTTCTGTGCCCCAAAAGAATATTGTAGAATACAGAAATTGTTTTTCAGTTTGTTCTGCCTAGAACTGTTAAATAGGATGTGCCTGGCAATAATCGCTTTTGTGCCTCTACGCAAATCTTACCTCATTAATATAGAATATATAAAAAATCAAGTTCACGGCTAATAACAACTTATGCAATACTTTGAACTATTGAAAAGAATTAAGAGAATTAACAATTTCATCGATATTTGACGAGATGCCAAACGCCCAGAGCGCACAAGAGCGTCATCCAAAACAACGCGTTTTATTCTTGCATATATTTAAAAGAAGAAAAAGTAATACTTCTCTAAGTTCCTTGTCGTCTTCGTCGTCGCTATTACTGGGACTGTTGCCCATCAGATCGCACTAACATCAAATATTTTACCACAAATTTCGTGGAACTGTATTTTGTGCGACTTGAAACCGAAACTAAACAGAACATAACAACTCGTACGGCAAATAATTCGCTTATTCGTATTTGATAAGTTTATTCTTCTTTTAGGAATTTTAATACCCAAAAAAAATGCTAGATCCGTGAGTGACTTTCCAATGATTTTTTAATCAACATAAGAGGAAATGTCAAGAATTAAGCCTTACTTTGAAATAAAGAGACTTGTACTTTCTTGCCATAAAGAGCAATTACCTGGTATTACTATTACTTCTACAAAAATAAGGTCTCAAAGCTTTTCCCCCATCATGTACTTACACTAAACTGAATATCAAAACTGCATGGATATGAAAGAGATCAACACCCAAAGGAACACTGCAGCGAAAATCTTACAGACAGTTGAGATGGACACTGGTCTGAGTGATCATGCAGATTAAAGGTCAGAGATTTTTCAGCTCAATAGAGCAAAAAATTCAATATAGCTCAAAATGTTTTATGCTTAGTTTATTCTTTACGGACAAGGTTTATATCTTCTTTTTTGTGCCCTTCTTATCTAAGATTTGGGGGTATATAGTTTTTCCCCTGTCTATAACTGCATGTCTCGATCATTTGTCCGCAAAAAGGTTAACTTTTGAATGGTTGGAACTTTGGCTTTAATTAATATTTTACATGTGCAGTCTTTGAGATAAGACCTTTCTTTAAGTACCAACAAATTTGACCTCTTGACCTTAACCTTTGGTCCAATTTGCAAACCATAACCTTGACCTGAACAGTAATTTGACCTGACCTGAACAGTTGATGCAAAGGCTTTCTTACTTCACATGTGTATAAATTGTGACAAGACCATTCCTTGGGTATAATTTTTTTTCCTTCACCTTAGAGTTCGAAAACCAACTTGAAGAAACTTTTGACCTTGAAAGTTCACCAAAATACTGTAAAAGCCACCACAATAGGGCATTAGTTTTTCATAAAGACATCTTACTTTTTCTACACCAGGCATATACATGTATCTAAGTTTGTAGATTAACCATCTACATTCAAATTCTTCAAATCTGTTCAATTTTTGAAGAACCTTGTAATCGTATTTTTCATAGGTTAAATGGTGGGTACTATTAATGCAACAAAGAAAAGAGACTAAAATGAGATTCTATATACTTTTATTGAAAATACTTGCATTAAAGCAACACCCTGTACAAGTTTAAACTGGTACATAGCATTATTGTAGAACATAATCTTGCAATTAAAATTGTGTGCAGGCCTTAATTACTGGATAAATTGATCTCTTCCATGCAAATCACAGGCTACTTCAAAATACATTGAGTACATGCTTACATTTCCAAACCCCTTTAAGTGTTGATTTAACATGGTAAAGTAAGAGTTACCTTTCTATAACTGGAATATTCATATTCTTTGTTCAATAGGTTTGACTACATCCCCCAGAAATCATTGCCTACTAAGCTGACAATGATGCCAAACATAATGTTAACAAAACTGCACATAATCAATATATACATAATAAAATATAATTGTATCACAATTTGCTATAATAAATAGATGATTTGCAACCCACTGAAGCATCTTTCAGTGGAAGATATTGTGAAAATTTAATGAATGTATGGGGGAACTTTAAACCTATGAAACACTGAATGTGTTAATTAACGTCTTTCCATTCTAAGATGGCAATAGAACAAACTAAAACTAAATGCCTACTTCTTCTCATTTTTGTAACTAAATAAAACTTTACTAAATGTAAAACAACAACACATGTCTTGCAGAAAGTAATCCACACAAATCAGCATAATATCATTTCTTGATATTTTTTTGTACTGAAAAAAGTCTACACTGAACAGATTTACTCTGAAAACTGATGCTTAAAAATTTCTACTTCAGCTTTCCTTTGCAAATATATTTCAAATTATTCAAAATTTGCAACAAAAAATATCTCCATTCTTTTGCTAAATGTTTCTATGATAAATATAGCACATGTAGTACAGCACAATATTAAAAAAAATGCCTCAAAAATGATATGTGTTGCTTTCCTTCATAATGGAATTACAAGTGATTGAAAAAAAATCACAAAAAAATCTATGGCAACACATAAAAACATATAAAACTTAATAATGCAGTAAGTAGATAACAAAGGTACTGAAATTAACAGAGCTCTAATGTAGAATTAAGAAAATATCTAAAGAATGGAACTCAACACTAAAATGGTTGACTCAACAACCATGTGTACACAAACACATTGTTGGAAGGCAGATACTAATTCAATTCACACATAAATGCATGACAAAATAATTTTGTACATTAAATTTCAATGATGTACATAATTAACAAAAAATGCAGAATACTTGAGTATAATACATATTCTGGCATTTCTAAAAATGAGGTCAGGTATTAAAGCTTTTCCATACACGTTTGACATATTGATTATAAGCACAGCACCATATTAGCATTACATACGTGTAATTAAGAGCAGTATAAGCCAGTGTAATCAGCTGTTTGATTATCATGAGTATATCACCGATTGTCTTGTCATTTTAAACCTAGGTGACTGAGGTGAGGAATGTTTCAGTAAATCACACGATCTCTAACGGTCACTTTTTCCGTGCTGACGAGGGCTTTGGTATTTTCGATCCTTTGGCAGAGGAGGGTGTTCCTACAGTCTTTGTTTTGACTACGTGAGTTTGATAAGTCACTACAGTTTGTTTACGTCCACCAGCTGATTTTGTTTCGTGCTGGACTGTCGTGTACATCTCGGGCTCGCTGACCTCTGAACATTCGCTATCTGCTCGACTTGGTGGACGACTGCCACCCCCTGTGCTCGCTCGACTTGATCTCCCACTTCCAGGAACAGCTAAAGAATTTATAATTAAAAAATTAAAACTTGGTTCATTTTTCTCATTCAAAAATGACATTTCCTAATCCACAATCTAAGAAAAAATTAAAGATTTTCCATTTCTATGTACTGAATTGGATACATTAATTCAATACTGTGATAAGCACATTACTCGAGTTAAAATTCAACTAGGTCATTCAAAAGTAGAAATTCATATCAACATTTTTACAAAGTTTATGCAGAAAGTTCTCACCGGGACTGAAAACATTACGTGGAGATGGAATATGTCGGGGTCTTTTTGGTGTGCCGTCCACACCAGTATGGGACATGATCTGTCTGACCTCACCGTCGGGGCCAGGGGTCAACCGCCCACCATTCTGTCGCCATGGTGTTGAGTGAACTGTCTTTTCTCGTACCTAAAATTAACAATTTTCATATAAATAACCAAATTAATGAAAAAAACAACAGACCACCAAAAGTCTGCACAAATGATCTAATAAAACATGGACAAACAAGTAGGAAAGGGTAGAGAGTAGAAAGCAAGTCTCTATTTCTTCAGAATATACTGTATCAAAATTCAGTTTGGATAGAAGTAATTCTTCTCTAACTTTTATTTTTTTGTGCATATCTTTAAAGATACATGTAACATATTTAAAATTGATAGTTCAAGAATAGTTAAGCTGATGAAGTATGTCCCATACTTTGGTAATGGGTCCTGTAGCTGAACTAGGTGATCTCGTGCTCCATGAGGCTCCAGAGTATGTGGAGCTTCCTGAATGTGAACTACCGCTCGGACTCTTGGAGACAAACGGACTCATGGACTGACTGACCCCCTGAGCCAGGATGAACTGTTCTCTCAGCTCCACGTTAGTACGGCCCTTAGCTGTAGCAGAAAAATAAATAAAGTTTTTATGAATTATTGTTCAAACTATGTATATACTATCTCTTAAAAAAAATTTTTTACAAACTATTATTCAAACTATATGGATTTACTAGCGATTATACTCATATTCCAAGTTTACAGTGATTAAGTAGCTATATTTCAAAAGCAATATATATCTTTGATATTGTGTTACATTTGTTCTAAGCATACACTTCTCAAGACTTTCAACAACTTTGTGATTTTTTAGGTATTAAAAGTTATAAGGTCCTGTCTTAGTACAATGGGACTGGGATAATATTAATTTTTCAAGTCATTTATAAATTACAGGATCATGCACTTGTAAACAATATCATTCAAAATGGCATTTCTGCAATAACACCCTAGATGTTCAATATCAACCAAGTCCTGAATAGGGCTGTATGGTGCAATTCTTAGCTAAAGCTATCATTAAATCAAAATCTAGTAATCAGTCTCTTTTGGAAAATGACATGCCAGCTGAAAGTACATTAAACTGAAATTTTCAAGTGTGTTCTTGTAAGATATCCCACTTAAGTGCAAAATATGTCACTAATACACAAAAAAGACTTTTTTAACTTAAACTAGTATAATGGGTTTGTGTGCATTTTAAAAATATCTTTAAAGAATCTATTCATAAATCAGAGGAAACTTATTAAAAGGTGGACTAAAAACCTCAATTAAGGATACTATACATGTAACAAAATTGTTTAAACTAAGTGTTCACAAAGTGTGCAGCCCCTTTTTAACAGATAAACATGTACTACCTATGAACTTACCAGTAATCTTAATTTTTCATATAGAATGTTAATCACATTTTTCTAAAGCATAGTAAGTTTATGATTTAACACTTTTATAAGGTAAAGAGGGTAAAGGTTAATATCAAATTTTAGAAAAGTTATCCAAGTCCATGCACAGTTTTTGTGGTCTTCAAAAATTTGTTAATTATAATAATCACAATGGAATTCACACCTTAACTGTAGTTCAAATTCTATAAATATACATGATGCAAGAACAACAACATAAGGCTTCATTTAAACCTGGGATAAAAACACAACAGTAAAAATAAACCAACAACGAATAAAGCATCATTGGGTAGCTATGGCAACAGTTGCATTTCATACTTAGTTGTTCTGGTGTCAGGACAACTTTAAACTGAAAACGGTTTCTTCTTCGTAGGCCTACTGGAGCAAAAAAAGACAGACACATGGAAAAACTAAAACACAGAACCAATGAAGAACATGACAATGTATGAAAAAATGAATGAATGGAAAATAAAAATGAAAGCCACAAAATCCTCCCAAAGTAGCAAAAATATTTGTATATAATTCAAATTGAAAAAAATTAATCAACATATATATGAATAAAAAAACAATACTCTGCCTGCTCACCTGAGTTATAATAGCAGTAATGATTTCGATATTTGCAAAATGAATGAACAACTAAAACAACTGTCATATTGGACAGTACTGTAAGTAATAGGTTTAAGAAAATTAAGGGTTGGGTCATTTTGATAAGAAATTCTTTTTCTCAGGTGAGCCACTATACTGTGTATATGGATGCAAAAAATCCCATTTCCATGAACCAAAAAAACAACTCGGCTCCACATTATGGAATACATTGGAAAAGGAACAAAATTTGACTGCAACGGAAACTTGTGTGTACTCACATGCTGGGCACGTCTCAAAATGTTTACTTAAATCTGACAAAATTAATTCACCATTATTATAAACAAAAGATTGGCACAATTTGATGGCATACACCAACTCAGCAGCCATGTAAACTCAAGATATAGCCTTCACAAAATCTTGCTTTTATGTGGCATTGTTTCATTCACAGAAACTTAAGATAAAGAAGCATTTCAAAAAGTTTCTTTTTAATAAAAATATACTGTGCTTGAAAGTTGAGACACTTCAATTGGTTAGCGAAAATTTAGCAGTTTTTATAATCAATACTAAGAAGGCTGTGAAAATTATTTTAAAATATTTATTTTTTAAAATAAAAATTGTTAAGCTTGTACTGTACATGTAACTTTATGCTGTCGTGAAACCGTGACTAAATGAATGATGAGCAAAAATGTACATATACAGTGTAGCTTGTATGCTGAATTCAATAAATAGCATTTAATTAAAATACACATGGATGTAGCTGTATGCTAAATCTAATAAATATAGCATTTAAAATCTCACTAGCACATATACTTCCAACTTACTAATGTGATATTTCAGATACTTTGCTGAAAGATTACCAGGTATGTTAAATGCTTAATTTTCAGAGAACACTGCAAATTAATCGAGTGAAGTTCTTCCATAATAAAATATTTAATTTATAAACATGTGTTTAATAATAAAATAATGTTTTATGGGAATACTGTACCTCTACATGGATCGTTCTTGACAAGGAATTCGTCGAGGGCCACCCATCCACCCCCGACTCTGACCATCACAGTGCTGCGGAGAATCCTCACCAGGCGGAGCTTCTGGGAATCTCCAAACTGTCAAGAGAGATAACTCATAATCATACATGTACAAACATTATAAATCTATCACAAAGCATACACAACCCCTACACTTATCAATTTAAGCCTACATGTATTGCATGCTATCACATAATGTGTATTTGTTGGTTGTCCCAAAACAGTATCCAATGTACTTTATGGTAAAACATTTTGATAAGATTTACTACAAAGTACTTTTTTTTTTAATTTATACACACCCTGTATTTTCCTTCCCCAATCTTGTGAATTTTGAATTGTTTGACACATGTACACTTGGAGACTTGATTTTTGACTTCGTCTGTAATTTTCTCAGCATCTGTGATTGGCTTCTGGGGCTCCCTATCAGGTTTGAGGGCATTAACAAAGTCTTTATAGTCAATCAATCCACTCCCATCCCTATCAAACATGTTGGCAACTGTTTCCATTTCCAGCTGACTTGTCGGGAATTCTGGGAAGATAGGAGTAACAAAACTTAGCTTTTTTCTTAAAGAAATTTTACCAGTACTAATCTTATTCATTAGCTATAACAGAGGTCTCCTTACTGGTAGCGGTGATGCCGTCAATGAATTCCTTCCTCGTGACCCTTCCGTCCCTGTCCTGGTCTTGCCGACGGAACATGTCCATAATTCGGGATTTATTGTGTCTCATAAATTGTAGATATCGCCTCCTCCAGTCATCAAACTTAAAGTCCTTAAGTCTTTCAACCTTAAAATAAATCAAGGGCAATTTAAATGTATATTAAATAATAATGATTAAGTGAAAATACAGGCCAGATAAATAGTATTGTAAAACTTGAAGGAGCTTCTAAGAATTATGAATTTTCTGGAGCTGCAATAAGAGAAAAATCCATTACAAACCTCTTTGAGGTAGTCAAGTGCATCCTGAAGTTTTCTGTGTCTGTCCATGGCCATTAACCAAACAGTCCTCCATTTCATAAAGAGGGCTCCAACCCTGGGGTTCCTGAACACAGGCTCTGGGGTCTTCCTTCCACTGGGGTCTTTCCTACAAAGGTATTGCAGATGTAACATGAAATAAAATCTAATTGGGTGAAAGCACCAAATCAATACAGGAAGCAATTCTTTTACATACAGCAATATTAAAAGTTCTTTATATATTGACATCTGACAATATCTTTAAGTGCTGACCTTGGGGTCCTGATTGGCGTGTGTCTCCCTGAGGGTGAGGCCTTCAGTACAGGGATCTGTGACACAGGCTCTGACATTGAAGTCCCCCTTCTGCGGTCCCCTTTTGTCAGTTTATCAACATCAGGCTGTTTGGAGGACATGTCATTTTGGAAATCCTACAGAGAGAGAAATTCAGCATGAAAAGAAAATAACTTGAATCCTCTACACTTAATAGCCAGACACATAATATTATGAAAAGGTGCATATTTCTACCCAATATCATGTACCCCCTTTTAATGTTCATTCTTTTCAATGTTGGGAATCTCACCTGGTGGTCTTTGAGGAGATCCATGATGACCTGGATGTCACCTGGAATGGGCTCCTGATCCAGACCCATCAGTGTGGCTTCTGCTCCATTCAGCCAGGCCAACAGATCATCCAGAATGGCATTATTCTGTCTCATTGTCTGGAGGCCTTCTGCCAACTTGATGCCACGCTGTTTACACATGGCTGTCACCTAAAACAGACAGGAAATCATGGTTACCACTCCTTGTGTTCATTTTTTTTATTCAAATTGAAAATTCAGATTTTTTTAATCTTACTAGAGAAGAATAATTATTGATTAAATTTTGTTTATTCATTCTAAAAATCAGTTGGTATACAAACCTCTTCCCAGCGAGCTCGTAGAACAGAGAGCCAGTGTTTCAGGGTGGTTAGAGCATCTGGGTGACATCTCTTTAGGATATCCTGTCCGATACTGAGAGTCTCTCTTAACTTGGCTTCTTGTCTCATCAAGTCCTCCTCAAATTTCTAAAGTAGAAACAGATTTAGATAATATAAATACATTCTATATAAAATGCTAAGAAAAGGCAAGAATGGATTAAAATTTTTCAACTTTTGATACAAAATTAAAGAGGACTAGTATCTATGTATATTTTCCTTTTCTACAAAATGAAACCCAGTCACTTTAAAATCAGTTTGAAGGGCACCTTGTGTTCCTCGATTTGTTTGAGGAGTGGCAGTTCCTCCTCAGGCAGGGCTCCTCGGTACCTCAGTTGTCTCTCAGCAGAGGACAGCCAATCCAACAGGGCCTGCCCCTTCTGGTGGAAGTCTTCAGCCTGTAAACAAATGTACACTTAAAATATAATTCCAATAACAGAGAGCAGTTTCTAATCTTTTACTAAAAAGTAAACAATAGCCATTTCAGATTACTTCACTTGAATGAAATATGATTTTTATTCATGTTCATACCAGCTTGTGAGCTTGTTCCAGCTTCTCTTGCTTATTCACACTCAGCTTGCACATCCTGTCCCACATTGTGGTGAGCTCGATAAGCTCGGCTTGCTGTTGGGTTGTGTCATGCTCTGATTTGTCCAGCATCTCCTTGGCTCTTTTTCTGACAAAGGCCACTGTGTTGGAACGAGCTCCCAATTCATGTTGGAATGCCTGAGAAACAAAAATACATATCCTATCAAAAGATGTACATAATCAATGATGTATTGTTTGACATAACTCCAATTCCTTCTAACATAATTCGGGTTTAATTTTAAAGACATATGATTTTGCTTAGTTTTTCTTCTGGTACCCATCAATATGTCTAGTATATATTTTCACCGACCTTGTGGATTTCCATCAGGTTGTTGACAGTGAAGATGTCTCCGTACACAGGCTGATCCTCCCCCAGGGTGGGTTCGACCTTGGACAGCCAGTCTAGAAGGGCCTGCAGAGCCTCCGAGAACTGACCCGCAAACAGTAAAGCTTCCTCCAACTTACGCTGTCTGTGATGGCAAACATCAAATGAGTACAAATTACAAAAGCAAATTTCTAATACAGTTGAACTTTGTAACTTAAAATTTGATTTACAAGTAAAAAAATTTCATTGCATATCAAACTTTTCTTAAACTAGATACACCTATTCAATCTACATGTATGTATAAGTTCAATGTTTACGATAATGTTCCCCATACCTGTCCACTGATTTAGCACAGAGTGAGTTCCACTTGGCCTTCATGGTGCCGACTTTCTCTACTTTTAATGTGAACTCTTGTACAATTAAAGTATTTGTTTACACTGTCATATATAGGCTAGCTACACCTATTCAATTTATATATTCAATTTAACAAAGTATACATTTATATAAAACTCATACCTGTCCACAGATTTAGCACACAGTTTATTATATACAAAACACATATTGGCCTTCATGGTGCAACCAGTCTCTTCTCAAAACTGGGGTATCTCCAGGACAATTGGAGATAGTCAAAGTCCTTAACACATAAGAAGCAAACAAGTCTGAATTACACTGTTATATATATACAAATGTAGTAAACAAACATACATATAGAAAACACACACATCCCCCAGAGAAAACTTCTTATGGTTAAAATTCCTAAAATTTTAACAAATTTGCAAACATAATGTCATATTTGTATAAGTAGTAAAGGCACACAGAACTGAGCATATCTACAAGATATATTCCAAAGAAAATTTAAAAGTAATAGTTCTTGATCCTATGAATATCAGTACAGATGTACTTTAAATTATCCATCAATTTCAGTATTTTAAATGGATACACATAAAATTTCCCCAAAAATTCCATATTTAGATTTTAAAGTGATCCTGACAAGTAAATTTATTATGTTGATTTTTACCCTGTGTTTGGCGATCTGTGCCTTGATGGTAGCGTGATCATTACTGACAGAAGTGTCCGTATCCAACAAAGTCTCTGCCTGCTGCATCCACTCCATCATGTCTTTCCACATCACAAAGAACTGAAAACACAAAGAAGAATCTCGTCTCAAAATACAAATTAAAAAACAACCGTGTCTCATTAATCATGAGCATCTGAATTAACGAAGCACAACTGTAACATCTATCATCAGCTCACTTACTCCTTAGGCTACTTTTCACTTACTGTATATTCCATATTAGTTTACCTTGCAAGGGTTGAAAATTTTACTCATTTGAAGTAAATAGATTTATCACATGAGCATTACCAAAATTTTCCCCAAATATCAAAATAGTTTTAAGTTTTGATGATTTCCAAAGAATTGTCAAATGGCCCCATGAAAATGCCACTGATAATCAGTCATTATATAAAGACTCTTACCTGCTTGGCCTCCTTGTAGCCTCGTTCTAGGTGCCTGGTGCGCTCAGCACTACGAGACACGATCTTCTCCCAGCGATGTTGAATGCTGGATAGAAGGTTTCTGATAAGGATGACATCCTGTTTCTGACTGAAGTACTTGAGGTGGGTACCAGTCTTATCCAGGGCTATCATCTTCTCTCTGTTGTGACTGATATCTTTCTGGAGAATCTGAAAAAATACAGTATTGGTATAATTAAAGGAATAGTACTCCTATTTATAGATAATGTTGGGAATGTCAAGGGCCATAAATCTTAAAAAATTGAAATGAATTTCCATTTTTTGTCACTGGATATACCTTTCAAGAAAGTATCAAATGAAACAAATAAACATTAAACCAACTTTTATATACTGAATAGACATACTTTTTTCCATGGGGTCATAATTCCGCGGAATCTCAATTTCTGTTTAATCCGCGGGTAGAAAATTACACGGATTTTCTTGATTGTCACTATATGCCTTACACTTATATTAAGTACGCTCGGACAAAAGTCCGCGGAAAATGTGTGACCGCGTACATAGTTACCATGCAGAAAAAAGTACTTTTACAGCATGTGAAAGAAATATCTGCAACCTTGTTTTGCTAGCAAATCTTGCTATAAACCAATTAATTAATTGTATTTTTGTTTAATGTTTTCTCACTATTTTTGATATCAATAAAAATTGTCACATATAATAGTTGAGTTACAGTAACTGTTACAAAGTTAAACCTAAATGCATTTGTATTACATGAATTAACGGAATGGTTTCACCTTTTGGTCCTCGATCTGTTGTGTGACATGTTCCAGCAGACGACTGACAGGCTCCAGGTTGTTCAATGTCTTCTCAGTCTCTGTCAGCCACTGGATGAAGCTGTTCAGATCCTCATGGAAATTGTCTGCCTGCTTCAAGGCATCCTCCAATTTTTTCTACAAAAGAAAATAAGATAGATATATGAAAAGCTCAATCAGCACTTTTCCAAACAAAATTGAACATCAGAAGATATTATTGCATTACAAGTACGTTTTGAAGTACAGGTCTGAACAGTGATAAGGGTTTACCTTCTTGTCTGCAGCTCTCATTTTAATGTTCTGCCATCTATTCTGCAGCAGTTCCATGTTTTGTTTGATGTGGTTGGCTGAGATGTCCTTACTTTTGCTGATCAGGTTTTCACCGTCTGCTACAGTTTTCTGGACTTTGGGATCTGTCTCATTCAACTCCTCATACAGATTCTGAAGACACATGTACATTTTATAAACCGTTCAATGCAAGTCAAAATACTGATAAGCTAAGACTGAATGTAAAATCAGTTTAAGGTCTTGATTTGTCTTACCATGAATCTCTCTAGTTGTTCTTTAGCAGTCTCTGGCAATCCACCGATCTGATTGGATGAAATGAGGTTTCCCTCCAAATCAGAAATATGTAACAGAAGATCCTGTAGCTCCCCTGTAAAGGTCTTAGCCTCTCTCAGGGCATCCTTCATCTGTTTGAATTTGTTGGCTGATTTCTTCTGAACCTTCTCCCAAAGTTCATCAACATCGCCGAGTTTTCTTTTAATTGCTGTATCACCACCGTGTTCTGTTGCCAGGACTCTTTTTCCTGCTTCCTTTACTGAGTCCACGCTGTCACGATGAGCATCCACATCATTTTGAATAACCTGAGAAGAAGGGTGACATTTTCAAATTCTGTACATACTTGTATGTTAATATCATACCTGTCTATGTTCAAGCCATACGAGTGCTTTGAAAACCTACTTCTAATCAGAATTCAGAAAGAATAAATTCTTTAAACTGTAACAGTTTTCACGTGAATAATGTACTTGTTTAGTCAAGGAATAAGTGATGTTGGAATTTCAAAAATTTCTTTAGGAATTTATAATTAATACCTTAAGTTTAGCCAGTTCAATTTCAATTTGTTTGGGTTCTCCAAAAGATGAGGACATATCATCCAAAGTCTCATCAGTTTTGTCCAGCCAAGCTAACAGCTCATTCAGTGCATGTTCAAACTGTCCTACATTCAGCATGGCCATTTGTAGATTTCGCTAGAAAAGAAAATTGATATTATAATGTACATTTAATAATTTCCAAAGAAGAAAGCTCTTTTGCTTTCATTTTCATATAAAATCAATGAAACAGTTCATTTTTCTGGCATATTTTAAATAATAAGACTCAAAGCTGAAGATGAAAACTTTATCAAAATTTACACAGCAGATTTCAACAACATCGCAGGTGAAGATTATACCTCCTTCTCTCAGACAGAACAGTACTCTACAACCCTGTCAACATCTTACCTGTCTTTCTCCTATTCCCTCCAGCAAGTTGTCCCATCTTCTGTTGACAGAGGAGAGAGGCTCCTTCACCACCATCTGGTCAGAGGACTGGGCATCCTTGGCCATCTCCTGACCTTTCTGGTTCAGTGACTCTATGTCCACCTGCTTAGGTTCCACTTCTGATTTCAGTTCCTATATGTTAAACAACCAGAAAAAATTAGACAATGAATTTAAAACCTGTTACATACCTGTTGTGAGCTAATACAAAATATTCAAATTTATGTTCTTTCATTTCTATTTTTGAAAGGAAAAAACTCTCTTCTAGGTACAACTATATACAATTAAGTACCTTGACTTGGTTCCACTGGACTTTGATGGTGTCAAAATCGGAGCCGACTGGAGTGAACTCCCTTAATCGCACTTCTCTCTTCTGAAGCCACACAAGGATTTTCTGAAGAAAAAATCAGAACACGATATGCTTGAAATCATGAATGAAATAAATTGTAAGATTTCAATGTCTTCTCTACATTTCCTCAAGAGATCTGAGAATAAACCACTTCTGTAGGGAGTGTTAACTTACCATGAGTTCATCTTGGAAGTGCACTGCTTTCTCCAGAGCTGCTTCCAGAGTTCTTGCCCTTTGCTCATATTTCTCTGTCACACTGCCAACCTGAGAGGTGACATCCTCCATGTTCTTCTGAACTTCTGGTCGTTCTGGTTCACCGACCATGGTCATCAGCTGTTCTCCCGTCATGTTGAAGTCATCCAGGTCAACCTGGGTTGCTTCAATCTCTTCTTTGAGAGTCTGGAAAATCAATTTTTATGCAAAGTTCATCTTTCATTTCCATAAATTTTCTCCTCAAAATGTGTTCCTTTCAAAGACCCTAGCTCAGTAAACACAAAAAAAACTATCTTAGAAATGTTTAACTCTTGGAGAACAAGTTTTAGTCAGTCGAAGCATTTCTACATAACAAGATTTTACCCCCCTGAACTGCTGATTCTTAGTTGTTAAAAGCATTTCAAAATGACAAGAATGGCCTCTATGGATTTGTATAACATACCTCTAGAAGGTCCTGCTGCTCCCTGATGATGGCCGGCTCCAGTGCCGGGGGTTCCTGGGAGGTAATCTGATCCTGTAGGTCCTTCACTGTGGTACACAGATTGTTGTAGTCCTCCCAGAACTTCTCTGACACCTCCAGAGTGTCCTCCAGGTCCTTACTGCGAGTGGTGGACAGCTGACAGATGTTGTCATAGAGGTCAGTCAGCTCCGACAGCTTAGTCTTCACATCTATGACACATAATATAAAACTCCCTATTTTTCACATTTTTTTTCCTAGCAGGCTAAAATAATTTTGTTTAGAAACAGGTTGAAGTATGTGGTAACATGTATACTTTTAGGCCACATCAAACAATCCTACGCCTACATATGCAGAGACATTACCTTGTACAGCACTGTCCTCTTTGTCTCCGGCCTGTCGGATCAGTTCCTCTGCCTTGTTCTTGATTGAAGCCAGAGCAGCCTGTCTGGAGTCCACATCCTCCATAAATGCCTATATGAAGTCAACATTTCAATCAGATTCAATTTCTCTCAATATAGAAAATTACACAATCTTATAATGTATGTTGAGATGCATTTCTTTTGTAAGAGGTAAGTACCTTGACTTCAGCCAGTTGGTCCTTAATTTTGTCTGCATGGGCAGAGATCGGCTCAGCGTTCTCCACCATCTCATGAGTAGAGGTCAGGGTCTCCAGAATATCCTCCAACTTATCAGTGAACTGAGGAAAGGAAAATGTCCAGTTACAACAACACTTATGTTAAACTAACTGAAAACTAGCTTTGATTAAATATTCATTTTACTAATTGTTAACTTGGATATTAACAAGATTTACGGGTACATTTACTAGAATAAAGTACGGAGATATTGGACTTCTCTGATCATGTATTAAAAATTTGATAAACAAATGTAAGCAAAGATATCTACATATGGAACCTACTTCAGCAGATTGCTGGAGAGCTTCATCAATGGACAATGACCTGTCCTTGAGGTAGTTTTTGACATCTTCCATTTTTGTGTTCTGGTCGTCAATGATTTTCTGGACCTGAGTACTCTCTCGTTCTCCACACATCTTGATGAGAGCACTTCCAGTTTTGTTTAATCTGTCAATGTCTGGTTTATGGTCCTGGACTTCTTGCTTCAAAACCTTGACCTGTTCTTGCTGTTTTTTGACCTGTTCTGCATCAATGGACATCACTTTTAAATCTGCCACAATGACAGCAGCCTCTGCCAACCAATCAGACAAGTCCTTATTTGTCTCCCAGAAGTGTTTAGCCAATGGGAAAGCTTGTTCTAAAGTTCTCTGTCTTTCCTGACCCATCTTCCACACCAGGTCAGACTTATTTTTTAGATCCTCCACTGCCTCTCTGAGTCTGGGGTCATGCTCTAGTGAACTCTCCCTCATCATTTTCTTACCACGGGTGATTACGTCTCGTGCATTTCCTTTCTGTTCAGCTATTTCTTCATTCAACACCTGATGAAAAATATTTACATGTAGAACAATACATAGAAGAAACAATATAAAAGTGGACAGGATTTTTTTATCATAGATGTTAACCTACCTTGGCATCAGCGAGTTGTTTGTCCAGTGTGTCAAGCTCAGTACTGATTGGTGGAGAGTTGGTCAGAATCTTCTCCTTTTCATCAAACCAGTCAAGCAAATCAGTGATGTTACCAACAATCTGAAAATGTTTACACATGCATGTATTTCAAGAAAATCAGATAACAGAGAAAAAAATGAATTACTGAATACTTTTGTAAGAGGTTAAAGTTTAGGAATTCTATAACATACCTCTGATGATCTCTGCTTGGATTTTGAGACTTTCTGTGACCTGCGCTGAATTTGATCACTGACTGCATCATAACGCTGGAGGTCCTTCTTCATGGTTTCCTCCACTTTCAGACCTGCATCCCCTGGGGCCAGGTCTGCCAGGCTACCCCCATCTTCTCTCAGGACCTCAAGGACTGGCTGAATTTCTTGTAGTTTTTCCATGAATTTCTAGAGACAAGATTAACATTTATAAATATTTTACAAGATTTTTAAAAGCATCAGTCAATCATCAGTATTTTTTCTTAATTTTTAAATCTATGCATTCATACAGTAATCATCGTCAGTGTTATTTTCTTAAATGGTTTGGTATGACCTTTGACCTACCTGCACTTGTTCCTCTGCCTCTTGACCTGTGGCCTCTTTGGTACGAAGCTGCGACTCTGTTTTTAACACCCAGTCTAGGAAATCTGCATGAGCTTCATTGAAATTTTTGGCCAATGGCAGAGCTTCCTCCATTTGTTCTGTGGAATCCAGCACCTTCTCTCTCAGTTCTGTAAATCTTGCCTGTACTGAGTCAATTTTCTTCTGCACAGCCTTAACATCATTGCCTATGCATGAAAACAAATCTTATTGTGTCATTAAAATAAATAAGTTTCAAAGAAATTATTTCTTTTTCCATTAATACACTTTTGTTTCTCTCACAGTAATTGAAGGTATACCTTTGCAGAAATCCTGGAGGTCTTTCCCTCTGAGTGCAAGATCTTTAACTTCATCTGCCTTTGATAGAATCTCCTTTTCCATGTCCTATGTCAAAACAGTCACATCCATGTACACAAGAATTCATAAATACACACAAAATTTTCTATTTGTCTAGTTTTAAGTGAAGAGAAATGTAACTACCTTGAGAGAAACAACTATATTTTCTATTCCCTCTGTATCCATCGCTGACGGCTCCAGTGAGGCAAACTTTTTCTCTGCGGACTCTAACCAGGCTGTCAGGGGTTCGTGCAGATCCTGGAAGTCTTTGGAGAGCCCCAGCATCTCCTCCAGTACGTCCAGTCTGTCCCGCGATGTGGAGCAGACAGCCTCCCAGCGGCGCTCTAGCTGAGCCACCTGGTTCTGGATTCCTTTCTGTTCCTGGGGGTTCAGGCCTCTCATCAGGGACTCCGCAGAATTTTTGGCAGATTTGACACTAGGACTTCTGTCTTCTAACATGGTCATCAAAAACTGGAAAAGCAGAGAAGCAGTATAATTACTATATACATGTATATATGCATTAACAATGTCAACAAATACAGGTATTTTGTATTAAGGAGACTGTACCTTTTGTTCCTGCAGCTGTGTTTTACAGATTTTGTAGTCTGGAGATGGGGACTTTTGATTGGCTATCATTTCCTCTGTGTCCTTCAGCCAAACCAGTAACTGGTCTAGAGCATCGTGGAATTTTCCAGCCTGTAGTAAATTATTTTCCAGGTTGTGCTTCCTGTCAGACACCTTAAAGTATTCAAGAAAATTGTAAATACAATGTATCACTGATACTTTGGATTTTTTGGTCTTCCTGATTAACAACTAAAGGCAGTAAGCATCTAGTCAAAGGAACCACCTTACTAATCTCTAACTACCAAAACAAGCTCTGATGTAAAGCATACAGCATATTTTACTGATGTTCACTTGACTACTATTTTATGAAATCCTATTCTGTGAACACTGTCAATGTCTTCAATTCTTAATTATCACTGACCTTTTTCTTGAGGTCGGTCCATTTGTCGTTCAGACTCTCTAGCTCCTGTTCCAGCTGTTCCGTGTTGACCCCCGGTGCTGCTGTCTGTATCAGGTTCTCAGCCTTGGAACTTCCGTCCTCCACCCTCTTCTGTAGGGGCTCCAGAACAGAGCCTTCAAACATCTACAAAGACATACCAATATCAAAAACTGAAAAAGCCTGACATTATCAATTAAACAAAATAGACCTTACAGATTCGTCTAGCAACTTCTAAAATTGTAAAGATTTAATAGAAAATAATTTTTTTTAATTACTCTTTACTGATATGTACATATTTATGCCTGAATTTTATTTATATACTTCTTCCACAAACAAACAAGGGTATGAATTCTACCTGAAGTTCATCTTGTTGTCGTTTGATGGCAGCAACATCAGTTCCCACCGGTTCATGCATGTCCAGTTCATCTGAGGCTCTGTCAATACTTGTTCTGGTTCGCCGGAGATCATCAGTGACTCGGTCAAGCAAATCAATCATGTCTTCAATGTCTTTTCTGCTGGCCTCAGCTTTAGACTTGAGTTTACCAAACTGAGTTTTCAGTGCATCAACCTGAAATTACACCATTACATATTCCAATGAAATTTGAAATTTTCACAAGATACAAAATCAGTTGTGGATTTTTCAGACAATATTTTTACTGTTATACAGAAACCTAACTTACTGGGACTTCCACCAGCTGAGGATCAGTGATAAAGCCAGAGGATTCCAAATTCTTCCCTTTCTCTTCTGTATCTGAAATTCTGTCTTCCAGGGAATTTAGCTGGGACAAAAATTCCTGCAATAACATGGCAAAAATGAAAATCAATTACAAAAAACTTTCCTACAAATAATTCTAAATGAGGGCACCTGCTGATAATCTAGATATGGATTTACATGTGTAAGGCCTCACCTCTGCTTCTCTGAGCTGAGCCCTAAGTCCATTCTCATCTCTCTTAGCAGGTCCAATGGAACCAAAGTCTGCCTCAAGGCCAGAAAGAGAGGTGCCAAGAGAGGACAATTCATCCTGTAATATATGAAATAAATATTTCAATCAAGGATATACTGATGCTTAGCATGATTATAAATTGGTAAAGACATAATAAAAATACAGTTTATTTTCTTGATTTACAAGAATGATTCTGAAACACTTAAAATTCTACTGATTATCTTGTAACTTTATGATATAAACATTGTTGAAATTATTTTGGCTTACTTTGAATTCATTGACCACTTGATTTCCCTCGTCCAGTTCAGTGAGGAGGTCAGTAATATCACTCTGTAGATTCCCCTGCTTCTGTTTCTGATTCTGGAGGTCTCTCTCCAGATCTCTCGTACCATGTCCTGTGTTACTCAGATCTTCAATCACAGCCTCTAGGTAATCCATCTGCGGTGTAAGTCCATCCACTTCATCTTGAAGAGCCTGGAAAACAAAATCCAAAACTTTTTAGGGGTTATGCAAAGAAATATAGTGTAACCAAGATGGTAGGTAAGAAGATCAGAAATTTTGAGAGAGAAATATTCTCTACCCAAAAAGTTTTTCCTAAGTTAAACCTATTCATTTAAATATTAACTCAGTTTTTAGAAAATGGTTTTCAACACATGTATACAATTGATTCATTTTGTCAACAATACTTAGAAATCTTTATGGTATAGATATTTCCAGAAATTTACCAATACAAATTTAAATTACCTTGATTTTATCTGCATGCTTGGGGTCCTTTGCAGCAGGTCCCATTTTGCTGTGGGATGTCAGTGAGTCTTCACATTTTGCCAAATTAGATCTGTAATCCTTCATGTTATACTGGAAGTCATCCAGTTTCTGCATCAGGTCCTCCAAGCTCTTCACCCTGTCCGTCACTCCTTGGTCCAGCACCTGCCATTTTTCTGACACCTTTTGAATGGCCTCCTTAGCAATGTCACCATCTTGTTCCACAAGGTCAGCTAGAGTTTCTCCTTCTGTCTGTAATTTCTGTAGCTCTGGAGCATTGGCACTGACCTCGGCCTTCAGGCTCTGTAACAGATGTACATTATAAACTAGTACTGATCTCTAAGTAACTTATGTTCTTACTTATGAATTTTACAAACAAGAGTCTTCTATCTTTTAACCAAGAGTAATCATATCTTTTAATCAAAAGGTATGCGTAAAGTCAGATCACAATGCATAAATTTCTACCCAAGAAAGACTAAGATGTGCTTAATTAAAATATATAATTTAAAAATATATGCAATATACAAAGAACAATTTAAATCTCTTATCAAATACCTGTGCATCACTGAGTTTCTTAGCAATAACATCCCTCTGGAGTTCCGTTGTTTGGAATCCCTCTAGTTTATCCTGACTGAACTGTAACCAAAGCAACTGCTTATCAAGCATGTCCTGGAAGCACTGAGCATGCTTTATGCTGGCCTCAAGTTTTTGGTCATGCTCCAGTGCAGTTAGTTTCAGCTCTTCAAATTCTGCCCGAATTTCCTCTGCCGTGTCCTCCAGATCTTGAGTTTCCTTACAGGGTGGTATGGATTGTAATAAACCTTCACATCTCTGTAGGAGGTCCTTGATTTCTGGCTCATGGTCAATCAAATCTTTATGCAGAATCTGAAAAATAAGTTGAGGAAAATTGTTAACAACAGCAAGTTTGTGCCATCATAATAAAATAACCTATCATAAATTGGAAATGTATTTTTTAAAGTTTGTATTATTTAAAGACTTAATCAGAGAACAAGAAGATAAGTAGCTCCTCACCCTTTGTTGCTGTGCCTGTTCTTTGAGAATATCAAGATTTCCTGACACAGGCTGTTGTTGATCCTGTCTACTCCTGATGTCCGATAACCAGTCAAGCATGTCGTGACATTTGTCTGTCAGCTCATGGCCCTCAGAACTGGTTTTGACAACAGCTGCCCTCTTAGCACCTGCAGGCCAAGTAAACATTTTCAAATTGTTAAAAAGTTGTAATGTGGTTTCATTCCCGATAAATAAAAATGACAAATCTTTAAAACTTACCAATTTGTTTTTCTGCATCACTAAGTTGCTTTTCAAGGTTAGCTATTCTGTGTTTCAATTCTGTTTTAGTGCTGGGGTCTTTTGTTACATCACATAATTTTTTATGGAGGTCTTTAGTTTTCTGTGCTAGAAGTTTCTGGTTGTTCAACTCTGAATCCAATGCCTATAACATATATTAAAACCTTTAAATCCTTGCTCTGGTAATGCTTTTAATTCTGTTATTATTTCTCTGTCAACAATGGAGACACATTGTTTTTTCACAACAGTCATTTAGATACATTAATATATAACAAAATATTGATAGAGAGACCATGTCTCTTTACCTGGAGTTCCTGCAGGTATGCTTCCCTATCCTCTGGTGACAACATCCCTGGGGTGATACTCCCCACCCTGTCTGAGAAATCATCCACCCAGTCCTGAACAGTCTTCATGATGTCGTTGAATTCTAGACTGAGCCCTTCTACCGACTTCAGAGCCTTGCCTCTCTCCTGTAGGCGAGACTCTAACCTGCTCCAGTCCTTGCTGATGATGTCCATTTTCTCGCTGATGTGACTGGCGTCTTTAGTATCTGCTTCACACAGATCCAGGATTGTGTGTCCAGATTGGATGAATTTCTCATAAAGAGGAGCTTGACCTTTGAATTCTTCTGTCAGTAACTGTAAAAATCAAAACAAATTCTGAAGAATTGCATTTATTTCAGCCTTATCACAAATACTGAAAGCTATCCTAGTAAAATTTACGAAGTAAATACTAAAGAAGAAAACTTTTATTGGTTCACTTTCTGTCTTACCAAGTAAAATAGTCAAAGTATGGATGATAGATTTTTAACAATGGCACTGCAAAATTGAGTATAACTAGTGTATTCTGATACATATGGAAATTCAATATATTAACCAGTCACCATATATTCTTAAAACTTTGTTGCAAGAAAATTATATATGAACTCATTAATAATTGTGGTAAATAATCAGATCTATATATATCTGACTGACCTTGACCTGCTCCACTTGGTTCTGGTTCATCTCTTTCTCTGTGGAGATAGGGCCCAGAACTGCCATCATCTTCTCCTTCTGAGCAATCCATTTCTGGAGATGAACTCCGGCGTCTTTGAAGGCGGAGATGTTCTTCACCATTTCCTCCAGGGATTTCCTTCTCTGTTCAGACAGGACTTTAATGTCCAGCCACTTATTGTCTAAAGGAAAACAAATCAATCAACAATGGAGATCATATAATCTCTACATGAAGGAAAAACCATTAAAGTGCATGGAGTAATTAAGATTCAGTTCAACAATTTACCTAGCTCTGATAGTTGTTGATGGCACACTTCTAGTCCAGGTACTCCCTGTTTGGTTTTGAGAAGTTCTTGTCCTTTATTTCTAATGTCAGATACTAGATTCTCCTTTCCGAGAAGTTCTGCATGGAATTCCTATAATGAGAAATATGAAATAATTGCTGAATACATTTTGTATTACATCACTAAGCAAACTTTCACAAAAATTAAAATAAACCTAAAATGTTTGGAGAACATAAACAATTGATTGTCAGCAGACAAAGACAAAACACAAGTAACAAAATTTCATGTAATATTTGTCATTCAACAGTTACATATATTTAATAGTATAAGAAATGTGAAACATTAATAAATACATAGTAAAAATAAACTGGTTCCCTGACCTGGTGCTCTTTGAGCTGCTTCTTTGCCTCTCTTTCACTGGTGGGGAGTCCCCCCTGTATGTTTAGGTCCAGTTCCTTGAGGTCTATCCAGGTCAGGAGTTCCTGCATGTTCTGTAGGTAACTCTTCATACTCTCCACAATATTCCTCAGCTCCTGGTGTCTGTCTGCTAGCCGCTCTCCCAGGATGTCATACCTCTGATTAATGTCTACCAACTCTTGCTGGATCTCTGATAGGTCTACAGGACAAAAAAGTTATTCAAATTATAATATGATAATATTTCCTATGCAAAACACCTTACATGAAATTGAAAGAAAAATAATCTCAGCTTTACAGACAGTTTTAGAACTGTAAAATTATTCAGAACTTTACTGGTTATTTTGATAACTTGTCTTATCAAATCAATTGTTCTAAATATTTTATCCTTCAAAGGTTAAGCAAAAATAGTGTTTTGAATTTAAAATGATTATCAAATAAAAAAATATTACTGATTTGAAGATTTTTGAGATTGTATATTGAAGGGATGGGAAACCTACCATCCAGCTGGAAGTTGTCAAAAGAGCTCTTCTTGCTGCTGATACCACTGGAATCACTGGAGGGGCTCAGGATGTTTGTAGGAGAGGAAGGGTAGGGGAAGGTTGGAGAGGTACTTCCCAGTCTTGGTGAGAGCAAACCTTGGTATCTCCTTCCTCCTGTAATATAAAGGAAAGTTATTTTGAAATCTCCAATTAATAAAAGAAATTATTTTGGAAAGGTGAATCTGATTTCTTTCTCAATTTAATTAGCTGATCACAATCTTTTTAACCTTAAAAAAAAGATCTTGTAATGAAGTTTACTTGACAAAGGTAATTGTACAACATAAAGAAATGTACAATAAAGTCTCTCAACATTAAAAAATCTAGTAATGACTCACTCATCATCCTCCTGAATGGACTCTGAGGTCTAGATCCCTCACTCTGTGTGGCATCAAAGGCAAAGCCAGCATCATTAACATCCTCCAGGATTGGTCCATACTCCTGATACTCCTCAAGGAGAGGCTAAAAAAATGGAGCATGCGGTTAATCTTACGTTATCATCAAAGAGACATGTAACTTAAATTTTAAGTGAAAGTAAATTCCTATCACCTCCAGCTCCTCTATCTGTTTTTCGGCCACCTCTATGTCCACTGCTACAGGTTCAAAGCCATCCACGGTGTTCTCCATTTTTGTCAGCCACTCCACAATGGCTTTCTTACTGTCTGTGTACTCATTCCTCTGTTTCTCTTTCTCCTGGGTTTCTTGCTGTCTTTCCTCTAGAATCTCCAAGAAATCTGTCCAGTGTCTCTGTAAATCTGCTAGAGATTCTTTCACTGCAGAAACTTCTCCAGTTCTGGGGTCTTCTATCAAAAGCTGACCCAGCTGAGTGAGTTCTTCTACCACTTTTTCTTTGCTCTTCCTCTGTTTGGTTAAGTCTTCAATCTTTTCCTTTGTGTCTTCACTGGATTTCTTGCCCCATTCTCTGCTTTCTAACTCCTCTGAATTCCTACCCAACCACTGTTTGCAGTTATCCATGGTTTCTTGGAAATTTGAAAGTGTTTCAGATATTTCATCCATGTCTTTATTCCTGTTTTGACACTTCTTGTTCACATTTGAGAACTTATCATCCAAGTCCTCTAATTTTGACTCCAAAGATTTAGCCATGTCCAATTCACAGGTTTTGATCAATTCATGGGCATCATGTTTCATGGCCTCGATGCTAGGCTTATGACTGACAATGTCTGATTGGATAAGTTTGATTTCTTGGTATTGTTCATTCAGGTTATCCCTGCTGAGGCTTACAGGCCTCTGATTATCCAGGGCTGATTCTGTGTCTCTCAACCACACCAGCAGGTTGTCAAGGGCATCCTCTACATCCTGGGACTTAGTAAGCGCGGTCTGCAAGCTGTTGGATCTGTCGTTGATTTCTTTCGTGACCTCTTTATGTCTATCCTCAATGTCTTGAATAATTTCTTGGAATTTTGTGATATGAGCTGGAATGACACTCAGGTTATGTAAATTGGATACAAGTTCTTTTGCCAGCTTTTCTAATTCTTCTAAATGAACACCTTGTGACAAGGCATCACTTCCAAGAGATTTCATCAAATCTAATTGTTCTCGTAATATGTCTGGATCAGTAGTATTTGACTCTTGTTTAGAAGTTGACAGTTTTTCTTCTGTTGCAGTTAACCAGGACAGAAGTTTAAATGTATTGTCATTGAATTCCCTTTGTTTGGTGTTGAGATTTCCAAGCTTTTCACCAAAGTCGGCACACTGGGAGCTAAGTTCATCGTACTTAGCCACCTCTGCCCTCAGCTTATTTCCTACCATTTCTGCATCCATGCCTTCCATTCCAATCCAGCTCAACCTTGATGTCTTCTTTCTGTTTGCTTTGAATGCATCTACCTCCAATTTATGCAGCTGAAAGAAGAAAAAAACATTATCTTAGATAGTCAGTCACTAAATTGGGTGAAAAACAAACAAATTACTTTTTATTCTCATTAAAACATACCTTTGCCTCTTCCATGTACTTTTGAACTGACATTGTCATAAATCTGGTGTCAGCTTGATGGGAAATAATGTCATTCATCAGTGCCTAAAAATAACGATGATGAAACACATTAGCTCATAAAAGTCCAAGAAGTACACTGTTTATATTCCAAATTTTAAGGTACAAAGGACCTTTACCTTTTGTTGTTCCATGACCCGGCTGAAGTTATCTAGGTCGCGGATGAGTTCCTCTTGTCTGTCCAGTTCTTTGGTGGACTGTTTCAACCACTCATCAAATTTGGTCAGTTCCTCCTCAAACTTGGTCACTTCATCCGATGCTGTTGATAGGTGTTTCAAGCGAATTTCACTTGTCTTTTGAACCTACACACATAAATACAACCAGTGTTAATATGGTTTCTTCAATGTGTAACAACATCTGTACCAATTCCAAATATATTCACTAATTTTGGTGAAAATATCATAAATTCACAAAATATATATTAAGAAAAAAAAAAGAATGAACATATTTTCCTTTTGTTGATATTCTTGAGGCTTGGTTCTAAAGAACAATTTCTCCAAAATCAAAAAAATATTAAAATGACTACACAACAGACCTTGGACATGTTAGATTTAAGGTTGTCTGCCAGCTGCTGGAGTTGTGTGACCTGTTCTGGAGTTAGCTCCTCTTGATGATGTTCCAGTAGCTGTTCTGTCTGGTATACCAATGCCAGGATAGGCTGCTGATGTTTCTGTATGTCATTGTGGAAAGCCTTAAAGGAGAAGACTTATTACTGGTTTCCTCCTTGTAAATTTAAATGCATGCAAAACCAAGAAATCAGTATTTTAAAACATTTTTCTACATGATATTTGTAAACTAATTCACTTTAAAATCTTCAATTATTAAGCAAAATGTAAACTTCTACATGGCATTAAATGGTCCTGAATGAGGTATTTAATTGCATTCTGGTGCATTAAAAATACAATTCACAATTCATCAATGTTGCAAATAACAGAAAACACCCATTAAATACTGCAAATAAATCATGGGATTCAACAAACACTGACATACCCTTTGAGCTTCAAGTTGACTTTTGACCTTATAAGCCTCATCACTGATTGGCTGATCATCTCGCAGAAGCTGTTCTGTGTCTGATAACCAGTTGAGTTCATTGTTCAAGTCTTGAATGAGTTTGTCACAGGAATCTACTAAATGCCCCTGAAACATTGGCACAAACTACATTGAAAAACTTGATAGGTGAGCCAATACATAAACAATATTCTAGAAATTTCTACATGCAAAGAGCATGAGCAATAAATAAAACTTGAAAGAAAATCAAATCAAATTAAAACTTCTGGCAAGCAACTAGCACTTACATACAAAGCTAATTAATGCAACAATCTATTAAGCTCTTCATTATTATAATTATTAATTTTTTTTGTCTTTCAAATAAAAAGGGATACAAATATCAGAAATCAAAGTAAAAAGTATAGATAATTCATAAAAACAATAAAATACAAAATAAATGGGTTATATTTTAATACACATTCAGGCTGTTCTCAGTCACACTTCATTCTCACAACAAAACACATATAGGATATAAAAGTCTCGTATATTGAAGGTTAAAAGGTTACATGCAGAAAGATGCACAGGGGCACAGAGAGATGAGAAATAGGTACAATATAACATAGGAAAATGAAGGGTTAGTGCTTGGAGTTGATTAATGCATTCCATATGTAAAAAATGGGAGTTGAAAAATGCCCCAACAGGCCTTGCATCTTGACTAACACCAAACCAAACTGAAAAATAGGCGAGAAAGCATCCAATGAGATGACAATAAACAAACAAGCAATGTTTGCATTCAGTCAAATAAGCAGTACAATGTATATTTTGTAGAAAACATGGGGGTAAGCTCAGAAAAAGATCTTGTATAATATTTTATCATATTAATACTTTAATGTCATTCTTGTTTATTTTGAGATACGATCTTAAGCAGCTTTAAGTTTGAACTTGGTCTGGTCTGGAGAAGTTGTGCATGCATTTAATGGATTTGGGAGAGGTACCATACACAGTCACTGTGATCTGTGTACTACAAGTGGAGAGAGAGTGAGTAGATTTCTATCTAAGGTGTGTGTCAATCCTTGTGTTATTATTAAAGGTTTACATCTCTCATTTATCCATACCAGCTAAACACAGAAAGACAATTCTTTCCTATCTGGTGGTCACAAACTTAAAACAGCAATACATTCTATGCATACACATTTTGCAAAATATAAAAACTCAAATTTGTCATTCTGAGTGTCAATCATAACAAAAATTGTACCTTTTTAACACAAAGTGTTTAAAGTGTTTGTGATGTGCTTTGGCAATAAAAAATGCCCCCCCCCCCAATAATAAAACTAATATATAATTTTTCATTTTTATTTATGTATTTTATTATGTATGTTGGTAAAAAAAAGGACTAAAAATAAAAAAAATTTGAAGAAAACACTTTGTGTTAAAATGCAATGAATAACTAAGTCTTTAAGGGGATGAAGGACCTTTAGCTGAAAAAATACCTGTCATTTAATTTTTTTCATATTTTGTATATATCTTATTTAGTATGTCCCACATACTATAAAGCAGACATATCAATAGGTTTCTTGACTTATTTCTGAGATATTGAGTGATAATTACCATATAAGTGTTTACCGGAGTTTTTATTCTCCGTGTTTTATTATCGATAATTGAATTTTTTCAGCATAGATAAAAAATATGCCAGAGGAAATGTGTCTTTTAAAATATTTTATAGTATGAATAGGGTTAAAAATTCGAAACAGCAAGATTCTTTTGTAACACTGCATGTGGAGACCGAAATTTACGAACTTTTTAAGACAACTTAAACAACAAAAAAATTAATTTGCAAAAAATCCTATCATTCAATATTTGAAAATTTACGTCGAAGTTTAAGTTCGTCATTGTATTGATTAACTGTAAAAATATCGATTGGTGAAGCTGAACTCAATATTGCACGGGGCAAAGTTAAACGAGACATGATCATGAGAAAAACGTGTCTTGTTTACATTTCTCGAGTACGGGAAAACCCAACTATGACGTCACACATTTCTTAAATAAGCGAAATTAGCTATACCCACAAAACATTTCCATCAACAACCATGTAAAAATAGTTTTTGCAGTCTGAATTTCACAAAATACCCAACAATTTACAGATCATGGCCCGTTTTTATGATTTTATACTACCCGTTTTAACCATGTATGATCTTACTGTACTAAGACATCCACTATGACGTCAACGGCGCGCTGGACGCGCAGTGTAGGTAAACGGAAGAGTGGATTAATCATTTCCGTAATTTGATAATATTTACAATAAATTTTTTATGTTTTCAGATATTTTTATACTAGATGGTGAACGCAAACAAACAGTCAAAAAATTATACTAGTACTGTAGTTTCAATCTCGTTTTGTAAATATTTTATCAGAGATTATGACGTAATTCAACTGAGTCACATGACCATATATCCTTCATCCCCTTAAATACTCTGGCATGCAATATAGAAACACTGTGATTACAAAAAATTATCACATTTATCATAGATCATAATTTCTTTCTTAATAACTGAGGTACTACTCATTTGCAGGACAAATGAATATAGTTTGTCAAAGTTTTAGTAGACAAATAATTTTAAAATTACCCATAATAAACAATTACTGTTACTTCAAATTTCTGCTAACTTTTTTAAATTTGTTCTTATTAAGAGAATACCTCAATTATTATGAAAGTATCTGTTACATAGCCATGATAAAATGTATCAATAACAATTGAGGGTTTCCAAGTAATTTTTGAGCATATCACAAATAAGCAGACCGAAATTTGATTTAAATTTGTAAGAAACAAAAGTTCATGTTCCTGACTTGTGAGTTTGATCAGATTGCCTTGTATCCGTGATGCAGAGAACCTTTGGCTTTATGTAACTGAATCATGTTGGATATGACCTTTCCTGTTTAAGAAATATACTGGAATAAAACTCAGTGTCCTGAACTGAAATTTTACCATTTGAAAACAGTAACCTTGATTTAAAAATGACCTTGGTTCAGGGTCAATCACCCACCCAACACACAATGGGTAAGGTATAAAAATGTTATCAATAATGTTGACCATTTTTCTCCAAAATTGGAAATAATCAGTGAGAATAATAAAATGGATATTTCTTTCTCTACTTTCAATGACAGTACGTACAAATATTGGAATTAATGTATTTTCTTTCTGCCTTAAATAAAATGACCCAATTAACATTCTGAACATGGCAAGAATACTTTGTGCTAAAGTCAAAGAAACATGCTTCTAAATATTTCATGAACAGGACTTCAATGAAAACATTTCTTTCAAAAACATGCAGAAATCAAACAATGTATATTTGTACTATTTGACTGAACAACTACTTTAAAAAAAAGCAGGTTTCTATAAGAATACATATTGAGGAAAATCTTAGCAGTCTTTTCAATTAGTAAAAAAATGTTAATATCTAAAATAATTAAAGATACAGTACTTGCAGACGACTTTCATGATAAGCAACATAAAATGGACTAATACACACAAAAATGGTCAGAAACTTGCAGTATGTTAAATACTTCAGTCTACAGGTAAATGCATCCTGAAAAACAGTTTCATATAAAATAGAAGTCTTGAATATGCGGACTCAATGCAGCATGATGTAATCATGTAATCACACAGAGAAAATCAAGAGTCAAAGTTGGCATTCCTTTGGCAGAGACAAGGAAGAAGTCATGCTTGGGAATCCATGCCAAAATATAATCCAAACTGAATACCTTGTGCATCCAACCTCTCACTGGCCATCTCTTCCCCTTGTCTGCTGTTTTCCCATGATTCTCTGGGGCAACATTTTTCCCAGCATTCTCTGGACCTCCACCTTCCATGACCCTACTATTATCAGTACTGAACACTTCATCACTTGGAGATTCTTTTGGTTTCAAAGAGTCTTTCCTCAGTTTGCCTGTAGCAATGATGTTGCGAATCATTTCTGAAGTCAGAGGAATGGTGAACACAGGGTTGTCTTTTTTATCTGTACTAGAAGAATCCGTCGTGGATAAATCTGATGAACTACCACCTCCTGATGGATTTCCAAGTGTGAATGATCGTGTCATTATGGGTCCAAATGGAGTTTCAGCCTGGTACCTGAATCGCATCTGTTCTAGACTTTTTGCATTTTGAAGGGTAATGTCTGCAAATGCATGATCACTCTCTCTTAATCCCTCCCTTGGACTGTTGCTTATAATTAGACCTGCTGCTATTGCATCATTAAAATCATACACTTGGTCCGTTAGCAAATTCACATACACATTCTGGTCTTTTTCTATTATTTTTCTATCTATGGCTGTCTGCAGGGTGACAATAATTCCGTCATGTAATAGGTCTTTAATTTCCTGACACAGTGGTGTAACAATTTCCATATCAATCATCTCTCTGAGATTGTGTTCCTTTCCTGTTGCAGGGTCAACAAATTTTCTGATTTCAACTTTATAAAGTCCCTGATTAACTGCACTGTACAAACTTAATCCTTTTGGACTTTGGATATATCCCTTGTTCATTGCATCAGAAATAGTCATAGACTCACCAGATTGGGGATTCTTGAATTCCCCAGTGCTCAGATCTATCAATCCCAGACTTGCTGCTTTCTTTAATGTGATTGGTTGGATGGTGTCTGGATCTATGACATGTGACTTGGCCTGGTTCAGAACACCAGATGAGAAGGCCTTGTGTAGTTTATCTCTTCCTCTGGAAGAGTCACCAAGAAAGATTTCTTGCACATAATTTTCAACAGAGTTTGCCATTTCTTTATCAGTATCCTGTCTCTCAATGATGAGACCTTTATCATAAGCCTCAATTAGTGACATCTTGGCTTTATAAGTCCCATGTACACCATCAAGGATGCCCACCGATATTGCTTCTTCAAGGGAGAAAATATCCCCTGTACTGTCATCGACTACTTCTTTGGCTTCTCCATCTATCAGACTATTATGTATTCCTTCCATCAAAGATAATTGTTTTCCTGTCACAGTGTCTATGATCTTCCCTGTATCTTTATCCACTAGATTGTTTAACAGAGCACAGTAAAGTGTTCCTAGTCGAAATTTGTTCCCAGTGGATTTTATTGATTGGAGAATTGAATCCAGTGAAGATGAAAGACTTTTGGAACTTGCCAAAAGATCCTTGTCTGGGTCATTCTCCACATCATGCACTTTAATGGTGATGCCTGGGGATGCACTGTATTGTGTGCAGTTAAAAAGTTTTCCTTTTTGTATTGCTTCATTTAGAGTCAAGCACTTTGACTTCAAAGTATTCACACCATTCAGAGATATAAGACCCTTCTGAATAGCATCTTGTAGTGGAATGTTTTCATTTTCACGTTCATCATGGAATAACTGAGAGGATATGTCAAGAAGACCTATATCAATAGCATTTGTCAATGGAATGTTTTGTGATTTGGAAACATCATTAAACATACATCTTTCAATATCCACAAGACCCCTCTGGAGGGCCTCTTTAAAGGTAACTGCCCTTTTTCTTTGTTCTTTATCATCACTGCTTGCTTTTCTGGAATCTGTCATTCTTGTCTGGAAATCCAAGGGAGCTGAAGATGTGATTGGGTGTGAACGAATCGGCAATTGTTCACAGAAACTTCTACCATTTAAAATGTATCCTTGTTGCAGAGCCTCCAGAATATTGTAGGACTGATTATCTGTTGATGTCAGCTTCCCCGTCTGTAGGTTAAATACCTTCATTTCTACTGCTCTGCTCAGGGTCATGACTGTTCCAGTGGTGGGGTCTTTAATCAGAGTATTGGTGACATCCAGGAGCTCATTTTCAAATGCTTCTTTCAGAGTGAACCTATCATCACTGTAGAAGCTCTGAACACGAAGGGTGGTCAAATTCAAGAGTCCATAATGCACTGCCTCATCTAATGTAACTTTGGAGAAAAGAACATCTACAACCATGCCTTCCTCTACAGCTTTTTCCAGTGGATAGCTCTTCATATGAATTCTGTCTAGAATTGAACCAGTCTTTCCACTGATAATCCCTCTTTCCAGTGCCTCTGATAATGAAATGAACTTTTTTGTCTCAGGATTCAGTATTCTGGACCTTGTCTTGTGGATGAGAGAAGTTTTCACAGCTTCAGACAAAGTCACTGAAGATCCAATCCTTGGATCAAACATCTTACAGCAATGCTTTTCAAACACCCCTTCCTCAACAGCTCTTTGTAACCCAAGTAATGGCTTTGAAATTCCTCTTCTTTTTAAGATATCTGAATCAGAATCAAGGATATATCTTGCTCTGGCAGATGAATTGGCATTTGTTTCCTTCAGTAAATCTTGCACAACAGAAATAATAGACTGAACAGTTCTTTGACCAACCTTGAATACAAGTCCCTTAGAAATGGCTTCAGGAAGTGTGAAACGTTTTTGATACATGCAAGTCTGTTTATCTAATATGCCTTGCTCTACAGCCTCAGCTACTGTCAGAATTCCTTTGTCCACTACAAGGACTTGAGGCTGTTTTTCATCAATAAGACCCCAGGAGATAGCATCCTGCAGACTACAACACTTCTCTGTCCATGGATTGTAAAATAAATTAGAACTTTGTTGAAATAATCCTAACTGAACTGCATCAACAAGACAGAAACCTTGAGCAGGCATTTCCACCATAAGTCTCTGGGATATTGCTGTTGAAAAGTCCACTTTTGTTTGAGATTTCACATCTAATACTGAGCACTCTGAATCATTAACAATGCCCTCCTGAATAGCAACATTAACAGGTTTATAGAGATCAAATTTAGAGTCTTTTACTAGAGTCCTTTGAGGATCTATCACATTTGTTTCAATGGCATCGGTCAGTGACAAATACACTTGTGATACAGGGTCCAAAAACTGTTTTAAATCTCTGTTAAACATTCCTTTTTCCAGAGCTGTAGACAGATTTACTGGTTCATTAGGTGACTTTTGCTGTATATATCCCTGACTAAGAGCTGTTTTCAGATCAATAAAATTATCATCGTTATCACGGATCTCGCTTGTTCCTAGTTTTAGGATTCTTAATGACACAGCTTCTTCAACACTTGAAAATTTCTGATATCTGGCATTCTTTATGACAATGTCACTACAGTTAATCAATTTGTTTCCTATAGCTTGTTTCATTCCTAAAAGTTCTCCATTTCTAGGATCCATGAATTTACCAGTTTCATTGTTGTACACTCCTTCATGAATAGCATCAACAAGGTTCAAGTCTGAGCTTCCCAAGTTTTGAATCAGAAGTCCCTTATTTACTGCTTCACTGAATGAGATCCTTCTCCCATCAGGATAAATGTACTCGCCAGACAAAGGATCAACCAAATTTTCAAAGATTGATCCATCCAATGTGAGCAGGTGCTTTGTTTTTAAATCCCTCACAAGAACTCCATCTCGATCTAAAATACAAGCATCCATGGCACCTTGGAGAGACATGCTGTATTGAGAGGAGGGATCAACAAACACTCCTTCATTCACACATTCTTCCTCAAATTCCAGCAGCCCATACTTTGGCTGGTTGGTTGTATCAAGGAGAATCCCTCTTTCAACACAGTCAATAAGTGGAACCCATTCTCCACTTTTACAGTTCATACACTCATCTGCAATGAGGTTTATAAGATTGTTGTCAATAGCTGACTCAAAGCTATGGATTTCTCCTGTGTTTGTGTTCCTCACTTTCATGGAGTTTGTGTCTACCATCCCAGTTACAACAGCTGTTGATAGTGAAATCTGTTCCTCTGTGTCTGGTTGGATGAACATTCCAGTGGATTCATCAAAAAGTCCCTCTTCAATGATTTCAGAAAGAGTCAGAAAGAAAGGATTTTTACATCTCACAATGAGCCCTTTGACAATTGCAAAATTTAAAGCAATTGGAAGACCTGAAGACAACAGCATTCTTCCAGATAATGGGTCTATAATTCGTTTATCAATGGCCTCCTCCAGAGTCAAAATGTCTCGGCTGACAGGGTCTCTGACAGGAGAATCCTTATGAACCAGACCTCTCTGAATTGCATCCAGAAAAGGCACAGACTCTGAGGTGTCTATGTCTTTCACAGTATTATTGGATGGATCATAGAGTCCACTTTCTATCACATCCACAAGCATCACTGGTAAATCTGCTGAGGCACACAGGTCTATGGAATGTTTCCTTTTACTCTTGGCTCTCATCTCCATTTTTCTTCTCTCCTCATCAAAGAATTTCACATGCTTTGTGTGCTTGCTCAATTTTGGCCTGCTGTCCTTATTCTGTACTAGACCCCTATCACAGGCATGATCAAAAGACAACCATTTCTGTGTTTCACTGTCTTTAACAAAACATCCTTGAATATGTAAATGATTTCCATCTTTCTGGTCCATGCTAAAAACTTTCACTATTCCCATAGTTTGAGCTTCACTAAAAGACATATATTTTCCACTTTTTTTATCCAAGAAATTAACTTGATGAAATTCGTGAGACTTAGGCGTATAGGACAATTTTCTTTTTGAATTTTGTTGTTTGAGCAGGGAATCACCAAATGAGTCCATTCCAACTTCTAAAATCAAGCTTTCCTGAATAGCATTTTCAAATGTGATCCATTTTTGAATATCCTCATTAAATATCGAACAGTTCTTTGTGTCAACACTACCCTTACTTACAGCATCATCAAAGTCCATTATTTCTCCATTTTTGGAAGTTCTCACAAGAGTTCTATCAACACTGATAAGTCCATGTTTAACTGCAGCCCCCAACGAAAATTCAGTACCTGAACTAGGGTCATGGAAGTGTCCAGACTTAGAATTTAACATATTGCTTTTGATTGACTGAATCAGGGACATAGGTGAGGTGGCACGTTGTCCATTGGTTAAAGTGGAGTCACTGGGAATACAATTGCTGGTCTACAAAAAAGTTTTACAGATTAAGTTCTCCTGAAAAAAGATTTTTTGAACACCATTGCCTTGAAATTAAAGTTGTGTCAATTGGCTGTACCCCTAAATTACAATGAATACTCATTAAAGTTTTTTAAGAACTTTAAAAATAGCCATTGAAGCAACTTTTTTGTCTCTCTGTTTTCCCATTCTGACAACCAACCTTTCCCCAAACTCATTTGAAACACACAAATATCAACATTCATATCTTATAGACTTTCATGCTTTGTATCTACTCTACACCATTATGAAAGCGTCAAGTTAGTATATTCTTGACACTTTGTCTTTCATTTTTATCAAATGTAAGTGGGTATAAAGAGGCATTAAGGTTTGTTTTAGGGAATTAGAGTAGTGTATGCACTCTCATAGCAAACCATTTTAATGCATGCACAACCTGCCTACATAGGTGGATATGGTGACCACTGCAAATCTCCCGATGACATTGTTACTATGGGTATCACTTACCTCATCATCCAAGCAGGGCAGAGTTGAGGATGAAAAGGAGGAAGATATGTCACCATCCACCGAGGAAGAGGAGGGAGGGAGTGCCCCCACTACCTGAATATCAGAAAACCCATCTACAGAATCCACCTCCACCAAGCCAGCAGACGCAGCCTGCTCCATTGTCATGGTTTTTCCTGATGTCACATCCACCACTTGACCTGAGGAATCCACAATGAAGCCAGGAGGAACACTGTAGGTTGCAGATCCAGATGTGGTGATCACTTCTGTGTGTGTTCTAGATATACTTTTACCATCCTTGTCTAACAAAATACTTGCCTCAGGTTTAAAAGGGGAACCCTCTTTACTTATCACAAGAGTCTTATCAGAATATTTTTCACTCTCTATATCATAATCAGGACTAATTTTTGCCTGAATGTAACCAAGCTGTAAAGCTGTTTGCAAAGGAAGCACAAGATTTGTTTTTAAGTTTGTGAATTCTGCTGTTTTCATATTGAGACTACCACTACAAATGGATTCAGAGATAGAAATGGGAGAGTCAGGATTAGGAACACAATAATCTTCTAAAGGTTCTGGTTCACTGAGCAGTAAAAACCCACAGATGACAGCTTCATCCACAGACATGTCTCCAGAAGATTTGTCATGGAAGATTCCAGTCACTTTATCTACAAATCCTTGTTTGATAGCATCTTCCAGGAACAGTGGAGATGGGGATGTTATGCTACTCTCTGATGATTTTATTCTCTTTTTTGCCTTTTCTTTGAATGTGTCATCTGGCATAGTGCTATCTGAGGAAAATTGTTCATTCACCAACATGGGTTGAACTTCTGCACCTTTGACAATAATAACAGAGCTCTTCTGCAATGGAATGATCCTTTCTTTTGGGTACCTGTCTAAAGAGCTTTGGAGGCTGTCATCAGAATGCCCATTGGCAAACCTTGTTTTCTTCTTTTTCTCCTCTTTATGTGGCGATTTTAGGGATTGGATTGACAACGGGGACAGAACTTGTCTGGCTAGGGCTTCCTCAACAGAAAGTTCCCTCGAAGCCCTGTCCCCCAACATCCCGTTTTTTGAATTGATTTTCCCAGTTTGAATTGCATTTTGGAACGTCATAGAAGATCCATCAGTCTTTGGTGGAAGGTACTTGTAGGACTCTCCTTTGTCATCTGATAGAAGGCCCATGCAAATGGCTTCATCAACTGTGTACATCTTACTGGTGTTAGGATCTGTGTAAATTCCAGTTTGAGTATGAATGTATCCCTTTTGCAATGCCTCTTTAAATCTAACACTTTTCTTTGTTGATGTGATTTCATCTCCTACCACAAGACCACGCCTCATTGCACTGGCAACAGAGCTGATTTCTCCAGTTTTTCGATCCATGAAATTCCCTTGATTATCCAAGATCCCCAACTTGATTGCCTCGGGTACACTAAGAAATCTATGAGTCAGTGTATCTACTACTCCTGTGATATTATACTTGGCATCAGGTTTGCTAGTTTTTGACTCAGATTTGGTTGTGGTGACTCTTTTAAGGTTCCCTGATACGAGACCTTTTTGAAATCCCTCTTCAATAGTCATGATCTCTCCTGTTTTTAAGTTGGTATAGGTCGTCATTTCTGGATTTAGAATTCCTCGCTGTATGGCATCGTTCACTGGAATTTCCAATCCTGTCAAAGTGTCCAGCACAAGACCAATGTTCAGTTGTCTCTGATCCTTGGTAGTCTTTTCAGAAGTACCAGGTATACCACCTTTGCATTTAACTAAATCACTTTTCATGGCATCAGTCAATGACATTGATACTCCAGTTTTGGGATCATAATAAAGTCCCCTCTCTACATCTATAATACCTTTCCTGAGGGCTTCACTACATGATATATTTTTTCCAGAAATAGGATCTTTCACACTTTCAAGCACCTGTCCTTTAACAACCAGTGAATCACTAAATGATTTATTTGAAGAATCAGTCTTTGCTATTCCCATACTAATGGCCTCTTCTACAGTCATGGTCTGACCAGTTCTGATATTCAACACCTGTTCCTTGTCTGGCATAAATATCCCTCTTCTTATAGCTTCCTCTATGGGAATATCTGTTTTTGTAACAGGGTCTTGGATTGACTTCAGTGAGAACACATCTTGGAATGTTGATGTTACAAGGGGAACCTGAGAGTGACTTCCACCTTCAAGAATAATGAAGCCTTTGTCAACAGCCTCAGCCACATCTAGAGTCTGTCCAGTCTTCTGATCAAGGAATTTACACAGCTCATGATCCACAATTCCTCTCCTCACAGCTTCCTCTAGAGTAATCCTTTGGTGTTTCTTTGTATCCAGAACTGAGCTCACTCTGCATTTCTTTAATCCAACTATTATTTCATTGTCTCCCCGAAATCTTCTAAAATCAAAGGAATCTGACTGCATGAAACCACCACTTTTATGAGGTTTCTCAACAATGATATCATGGTGTCGCACTCTTCCTAAACTATGCACTCTGCTGTCCCGTGCAGTTTTGATATGGCCATCTTTAACAGCTTGTGGTATGGACATTTTCTTTCCATCACCTGGTTTGTAGATTCCAGAATGGACATCAATTATGCCCCTCTCCAATGCCAACTTTACTGGAATAAACTGTTGTGACATTGAGTCATATACTGATTTCATATGCATAGTATCTTCTTCAGATTCAACTGGGTGCACAGTGTCCACATGTGTGGTTGATTCTCCTTTTAAAAGACCTCTTTGCTGAGCTTCACTGATGGGTATTTCTTCTCCAGTTATCTTGTTCTTCACAATTCCTGCTCTGGGATCAAAGATTCCTGATTTGATAGCAGTTGAAAGATGAACATCTTTCCCTGTGCTTGGATCTACTACAGAGTCAACTTTCACAGAGTAGGACTGAGTGATAGTATTCCTCATGAGAGAATCTGTCTGCTTGGCTGTCGTTGTACTTGCATCCATATCTCTGACCAATACAAAGTCCTTGGAAACTGCTTCCATGATTGGCATCACTTCTCCTGCTCTCTGGTTGATGTATGTTTTTCCCTCATGGTCCACAATTCCACGATCTAAAGCTTCATGAAAACTAACTCTCTCTCCTGACAAGGTATCCAACACAGATACCACCGAGAGGTTTTTCTTGCCAGAAAACAACACATCAGTTTTTGTACTCTTCTGCTGAGGCTCAGTTCTTGTTGTCCAGTTGCTCAGAGTTTGTCCCACCACATAGCCTCTTTGTTGTGCATCTGTAATACTGAAGGTACGCCCAGTCAATGTGTTCCTGAAGATTCCCTCATGAGTATCAATGATTCCTCTATCAACTGCAATGTGTAGAGGAATGTTGTTGCCTGTTCCAAGATCTCTCACCGATTCCACTTTAATCCTACTAGTGTTTTTACTGACTGAATCATCCCTGTGGTGTGTGTACTGTGTGATTTCCAATACATCAGGAGAAATGAAATCTACCACTGTGGAGTGAAGTTTCAAAGATGTTTCTTTTTTGAGTAAAGGAAGACTGTTAGTAGAATCAGGGTAGTATGTTAGTTGTTTTGGAGCATGCTGTTCAACTTTAGGGGAAGCTTCAATCATGCGAGGGCTGGAAACTCTTGGGAATGTATCAAAAAATACTTCATCTTTCTTGCTAGGGGAACCCTCAGGGGAAGATTTTGATTTGGTTCTTTTGCCAGTCATGACTTTCTGAATTTTTGAGGCCGCTAAAATTGGTCCTCCAATAAAAGCAATCAATCCCATCTTAGCTGCATCTTTCAAGGAATATTGCTCTATTTCTTTATATCTCAATTTTCCAGTTTTCTTATCAATTTGCCCATGCTTCAGACCTTCATTTACTGTCATAAACCTCTTGCCTTCCACATCATATATTTGACTTTCCCCATCAATGTAGCCATGGCTTATTGCTTCTTGCAATGTAAATGTTTGTCCTGTCTTTGAGTCAGTGAATACTCCTGTTTGCTCATTGAAATATCCATGATCAATGGCATAAGTGAGTGTCATCTTCTCAGTCCTAGTCTCTGTTGTTGTTGTTTCAACCAGAGGATTGATCTTCTCACTCTTAATAGCTTCTTGAATGGACATTTGGGTACCTGTATCTGTTTCTGTAAATCGGTTGCTTTCTAAGTCTAACAATCCATACTGAATGGCATCAGTAAATGACACAGTGTTACCCACACTAATGGTACTCAGTTTCATTGGCTTCAGCTGAAGCTCTGTTGTTTCAATGGTAACTTTCTCTTTTCCTGGATGATAAATGTGTCCAAGCTCAACAGCTGAAGAAATAGACATCACCTCTTTGGTGTAAGGATGTTGGAAGGTGTTCATCTTCTGGTTCAGAAGTCCCTGATCCACCGCATCTTTCCAGGTGAGATGTAGAGATCCACCAGTGAGTCCCACTACTTCCTCACTGAATGATGTATAGCTGTAGCCTGGTTGTGGGATCAAACCTTCATAAACAGCTTCCTTCAAAGTTATCCTCTCACCAGTCCCTGTGTGAATGATGATTCCTGTCTCAGCATCTATGATGTTCTTCTTCATTGCCTCCCACAAGTTGATAACTACTCCAGTTCGAGGATCGATGATACATGATGTATCAATGTTTAGAAAGTGGCGATTGATAGCTTCCTGGATTGTAATGGGGACACTGTAGTGTGGGACATAGATCCTTCCATCAAATGTTGTACATCTATCATTCTGCACAAGCTCATTCAGCGACCATGGACCCTCTGAAAAGGTCTCATGTCTGAATGATTCAGATATTTCTTTAGATTGTGATAGAGTAGGGCTCGGGTGGTGATGGACAACATAAGCCATTTCTTTTGTTGTGGTTCTCTGTGCATCCTGGTTGAAAGCAGGAGGGCTTGGTTGGTGATGCACAACATATGCCGTTTCTTTTGTTGTTGTATGTTCTTGCCATCTATCATCACGCGGAATGTGCACCTCTGACATGTTTGTTTTCAGAACTTGTTGCCTTTCAGTTGTCATGGTTGACACTTGAGGTTTTTTAATAAGGGGTGTCACTTGTGGTTGTTCTGCATGTGCTGTTACAAAACTCCTTTTCACTTTTGTTACAGTTTCTTGTGGTGAAACTTTTCTTGTTTTCTTGATTTCCTCTATCTTTTCAATCACCGTTTTCAGAGTTTCATGAATATGCACATTTATATATTTACGCTTCAGAGCTTCATCTATAGATATTTTCTCTCTTGTTTCCTTCACAGTTACAGTTCCATCATTCCAATTTATCTCAATGTCAGGTGATTTTGATTCAATAAGTGCAGCCTCGCCTAATTTTTCCACAGTTTCTGAATCCAGATATCCTTTCTGAACAGCTTCAGCTACATTGACAACTTCTCCGGAGTCTTTCACAATAACTTTTCCAGCAGGCCAATCGACCGTAATGTCATCTTTGATAGTTAGAGAAGAAAGAATAGTAGGAGGAGGGGAAGGAGAAGGAGGAGGAGCTTCTTGCAAAATAGTTTCAGATATAGAAGCAGAGGGAGGGAAATCCATTACCTGATCAGAAGCAGAAGGAGGAAATTGGAAAGCTGGAGATTTAGGAGAAGCAAGGGTAGAAAGGTTAGTAGGCAATCTAACTCCTGTTTTGGTATCTTTTTCTCTCATCCGTTTGAATATTTCTTGTGCATCTTCAGTAATCTGTTCCTCACTTACCAAGTTGCTCCGGTTGAATGAATCATCTTTTTTCTCAGGTGTCCAGGATGGTTGTGAAGGTTGGATATTATCTCCTGGCTTTGCAAACACAACAGTTGTTTGTGGGGTCATTTTCTCCATTTTCATGGTTACTTTTTCTGAGCGGTTACTTGCTTGTGTCTCAGCATGGCCATTAGTTTTTGGTCCGTGAATTTCTAGGTGCTCCTCTGCCATCTCTGAAGGTTTTCTGTGCCTATCCATAGTTGATTTTGGAGTACTGACTGCTTCTGGCTGGGAGAGATTCTTTGATATAGCATCATAAAGAGCCATTCCACCAAGCACTGGTGCACCAACAACAGCAAGCAAACCCATCTTTATGGCATCTTGGGGTTTCATCTTCTCTCCAGTAGCAGTATTCAAAACAACACCAGAATTTCTCTGGATAAGTCCTTTTTTGAATGCTGTCTCTAGAGTTACCAGATCTCCAGTCCTTTTGTCCAATACCATTACATCATCTTTCTTCACTTGTCCAGCTGTCAGTGCTTTTTCCAAGGGAATTTCTTTTCCAGATATGGAATCATACAAAGTACCAGACACTTCATCAATAGCATTAGCAATCAGTCCTCTATCCACAGCTTCCACTAGAGAAATTGTAGTCTTGGAGGCAAAGTCTTTCACATTTGCTGTTGAACCATCAATCCATCCTTGACGTAATGCAGTCTTAAGAGATAGTCTTCTTCCAGTCTCTGAGTTTTCTACAGTCACAAGATTTCCATCAATCACATTTCTATTCAATGCCTCTTGTAGTGTAAATCTGTTTCCAGACAGAGGCTCAAGGAAAGTGCATGTTATTTCATCAAATAAGTTAGCTCTCACAGCATCCAGTAAATTCAGTGGCCCTGGTTTGGAAAACTGTGAAGTGAAATGAGGGCTTACAACAATTTCTTCTTCTCCACACTTTCCAAAGTTCAACTTTCCTGTTTTTGGGTCAATATATCCTTCTTTGATGCAATCTTGCAGAGTAAGTTGATGGTCTCCTGTCTTTGTCACTAATGCTGGTTTCTTTGGGTTAATGATCCCTGACATCATGGCTTCTTGCAGGGATATCAGCTTATGTGTAGTTGGGTCTCGAACTTTTCCAGATGTTGGATCCACCAGTCCTATTTTCACAGCTTCAGTGTAAGAGAATCCTTTTGGGACTGACAATGTTTCAATTCCAATGCCTTGAGCACCTCTTCCCATTTGCAACTTGTCAGAAAATTCAAACACAACCCTACCATCTAGAGAGTCATCATTGTTAAAACTTGCATCCATGCTCTGTTCAATGTCTGTTGTGTAGTTCAGGACCTCATCTGCACAGGTAGATACTGAAGTCTTGCTTTCTCTGGTGCCTGACTTCTCAAGTTTCATGTCCACCACTGATGGTGAAAGTCCATTTTCTGAAAACTTAGGTGGTTGAATGGAATCAGAGGATTCATTTTGCAGTCTTTCAATCTCTGCTGGATCAGTTGTTTTAGATAATGTAATGAACCCTTGTCTCAAAGCAGACTTAAGTGGAATGCGTTTGGCTGTCCTTGTGTCTAAGAACATACCATCCTCGAGATCAACCAATCCAAACTGGATAGCTCTTATTGCAGACATCTCCATTCCTGTTTTGGGATCTCTCACAGTTGTAACATTTTTTAGTGGGAAGTCAATCTTTTCGGCTACAAAAGCGCTTCTCATCAGCTCCTCTTCTCTCTTCTTTCCTGTGATGTCTGCATGAATCAGTCCTTTGTTCAATGCTTCATTGATTGGAATCTCCTCACCAGTTGCAGGGTTACGATAAACTCCCTTAGAAATATCTAAGATGTATTTTTCAACAGCATCATCATAGGAAATCATTTCCATTGTCTGTGGATCAATGACACTGCTTATGCTAAATGTCACAGTTTCAGAGTGAATATCCTCCACCAATGTAGCTTCGAAGGATTCTTGTTCATCAGTAATGTGAATGCTATGAATGCTACCACTATCACTGGAATCCTGGGTTGAGGACTTAGCAATTGCTAGTTTTCTCTCAATGGCATCATTCATGGAAATTGTTTCACCAGTAACAAGATTATGATAGCAACCCTTATGTTGGTCAATTATTCCATCCTCGATGGCTTTTGAAATGGGAATTGTTTCTCCAGTTCTTGGATCCACTACCCAAGACACCATCAGAGTTGTCAGTTTGGTGGTGATAATTTTGTTTCCACCACCCTCTGTATTAGAACTGACTGATGTTAGTTCTGCTTCAATCAACTTCCTCTCCATGGCTTCTATGATTGTTAGTTTCTCTCCAGTTCTAAAGTCATGATAAATGCCATTGTGTTCATCTATTATTCCTTCTCTCACTGCTTCTATCACTGGAACATGTCTCTTTGTGTGAGGATGAACAACCCTTTTAATTGTGTATTGCTTGGTTTCTCTTATCAGTTCTGCTGTTGATGGAGCATCTTCCATGACTGTATCTGCAAAGATCAAGCCAGCAGTTACAGCCTCACTAATTTTCATGGGTTTCTCCCTTCCAAATGCATCTCTACCAATATAAAGCCCTTTATCACAGTGGAGGATTCCTTCTTTTGTGGCCTGGCTAACTGTTATCTTCTGATTGGTTCTGGGGTGTATAACTCCTGTGATTGAAAATGACTTGACATCACTGATTGCAGATCCTTCTTGGGCATCAACCTCATCCACTTCCTTTCCAGTTAAAAATCCTTGATTAATAGCTTCAACAATGGTTAGTTTCTTGCCTGTTGTAGGATGGATAAAATGACCTCTTCTCATGTCCAGTAGACCCCTTTTAACAGCTTCCTGGGCAGATATACGTTCTTTTGTTCGTGGATCCAGAGCACTCTGTACAGCTAGGTGTCTTGTCTCTGTTACAACACTTTCTGATACTACAGGTCTAGAAACAGTTGTGGTTGTAAATGAGAAACCTGTGTCTCCTTTCCTCATCAATTTCGAATCAGTTGCTGAGGCTCCAGGTGAAAGCTGTGCATGCTTAAGTGAAACTTCTTTCAGCCATCTGGCCTCTTCATCTAGTTCTTCCATAGGTTGATCATCCATTTCTTCTACAATATACTCATTCTCCTCTTCTATATCAGGGATAAGGTATCCCTTTTCAATTGCTTCCTCAATTGGCATTGTAGCACCAGTGTTTGGAATTCTGAATTCCCCAGTATATTCATTGATCAGACCTTGTTGTTTAGCTTCTGAAACTGTCATTGGTTCAATATTGGGTTCTTCAGAACTAGGTTGGACTTTGGTTATCACAGTTGTATGTGTAACGGCTGAACTCAGGACTTCCATCAAACACTCTGCATCTTCACTTGAAATCAGTCCCTCTGTAACAGCTTTCTGCATATCCATCATGTCTCCAGTCTTAAAGTCACAAATCTGGCCTTTTTTAACATCGACCATTCCAATCTGAATTGCTCGCATGAATGAAATGTTTTTATTGGTGGCATCTTTCAAAGAGGTTTCTCTCATAAGTTTCTCAACCATATCTTTGTGTACTAATCCTTGACTTCCTGCTGCACCAAGAAGAATTCTTCGATTTGAACTGGTGTCTACATACTCTCCTGAACTTGTAATGAGATTGTGTCTCAAAGCCTCAGGCACTGTAACTTTAATCCCTTTTCTAGTATCTAATACACAAGGTTTAGGGAAGACAACTTCTTCTTCTACAAGCTTCAAGTATCCCTGGACAAGGGCTTCTGATATCGCAACAGCTGGTGCAGCTCCAGGTGAAACAAATAAACCTCTGGAATCAAGGAAGCCTTGCTCAATAGCTTCAGAAACAGAGAGGATATCATTTGTCCTAGGGTTCACAACACACTTTACATTATCATCTATCAGTCCAATATCCAAGGCATCAGAGAAGGACATCGTTTCTCCTGTTCTTGGATTGGTCACCTGTCCTCTGTCACTAAGGAGGCCATCTCTGACCATTCTAGGAAGAGTAAGTGGTCTGTTGAGAATCTGTCTTTCATATGCTTCATCAAGTTGAAGTTTTACTTGTTCTGATTTTAGAATGAACAATCCAGCTTCTGGGTCAAGAAGGGATTTTCCAACTGCCTCGACAATTGTAACATACTCATTACTAGCTGAATCTTTGATTTCTCTTTTGGATGGATTCACATGTTCCTTTTCAACTGCATCAATTATAGTCAACTGGGCTCCTGAAATTGGATCTTGTAGCTTGCCAGTTGCAGAGTTATAAAAGTCTTTTTCTACCATTTCAGCTAAGCTCAATGGAACATCAACTATTTCTAGACTGCCCTCACCAAATATTGCCTGAGACTGAGATATTGTTGTCACTGAAACTTCAGGTCCGATCAGTCTCTCTGCGACTTCCATTGGAATAACATTTTGAGCTGCAGCTTGATGGACAGCTACATGTCTCCCTGTGGAATGATCTCTTATAGTTCCTTGTACAGGATCAAACAGTCCTTTCTGTATGGATTCCAGAACAGTGAATGGCCTTCCTGTTAACACATTCAGCATTCCAGATGACTTTCCTAATTCTCCTCTTAGTTCTCTTGTGATTAATCCAGATTGACATGCTTCTGAATATGATAATTTTCTTTGACTTCTTGGATCACAGTAGCATCCAGTCTTTGGATCAAATAATCCAGTTTGTAATGCTTCTCTAAGAGTCATCTTCATGTTTGTTTTGGTGTTCAGAACACCAGGTATGTGTAGGAATGGTGAAGTAGGTGCCACACTTTCTTGTTTCACAGTCAAAAGAGTCTGAGATACCTTTGGAAGCTTCCTTCCCATTTCTTGTGTGGACTGTGGAGCTTTCACTCCTGTCATGCTAGCTAGTTTTAATGACAGTCTTTTCTGTTGCTCTGGAAGGGAAGTCATTGCTCGGCTCTTCACATGAACTTCTAACGGCTTCTGAACTGGTTTATCAGGTACAGTCTCCATTTTAGTGACTTTGATCCTTGAAAAAGGCTCAGACACTTCTGGTCTTTGGAATGTCATTGTTGCTGTTGCTTTAGCAGTGAATTGTCTTGGAGTTACTCCGTAGAACTGGCCTGGGGTGCCTGTATATCCCTCATACTCAGACAACTCCTCAAAGAACCCCTGCATGTCCTCATCCATTAAAACAGAGGAACGCTTGGCAAGTTCACTTCTGAAAGTCCTAAGTAGTGGAATGTCGTCATCAATAACCATCTGAAACTAAAAAGACAAATTCTTTTTATAATAGTGGTAAAATAGCTATCTATGAAGAAGGAAAGATATATCTTTTTTACTGTTTTATCATTGATAGGAAATAATTCTAACATTTATTAATGGTAAATGAGGTATCATTTAGCAAAAGTCAATAGCAGCATATTATAAACATTTCTAGACAAAAAGATTTATTTTTAATACAAGAGACTTGATATCTTAAAGTGTTTGAATTAAATCTAACCTGAATGTTGACATTGGCTTCGGAGAGTCTACGAGTAATCTCTCTAAGCCTGTCCTTGGTCCACTGGATCAGGGATATGTACTGTCGGTTAAGTTCATCTAGTTCTATTTTTATAACTTCCGCACCATCCTGCCGTTTGAATCGTTTGTTGATTCCCTGAATTAATGCAGCATCAATGTCCTCCAGACTGCTCCTATACTGCTTTAACCTCCGATCGTAAATCTGAAAAAAAGATTTCTTTCATGTATTGTCTTGAAACTTAATTCAAAAAAAAACAAACTTCAATGTGTTTGTTCCAGGTCTAATTTCAAATTGTGTAACTGGGTTTCTCATTTTGTAAATATGCAAAAAAGAGTGTAAATCAAATTTTAAAAAAAAATACAAGTAATTTTTATAATTTGTGTTAGGTGATATGTTATAAAGTAGTAGTTTTTGGAGTTTCAATTTCAGTTTTAGTGCAATGAAAACCATTGAGCACTGCATCCTTGTAGGCATGCTGTAGCAAGAAGATTATACACTGCCAATAATAACTCCCTACTCCATTATATAACAATTTCTCAATCCTTCCTGTAGCTACCAGGTATTCCTTTAAGCAGCTGACTTTAAAACCAAAACATACATATGTACAATATATATGTAGATATATTATAAAGGATGCATCTTCAATACTTGATACATAATCTTTTTGTGCAAGAGCCCAAATACATAGTGAGATAAAATATTTTCTTTGTAAATATCTTACGGGATAATAACTATATCTCATATGTATATACATATGAATACAAAAATATACATATTTAGCCATAATACTCTGCCATATAAAGCTAATAAAGATTATTTTTCCCTGATTGGTGTACAAGTTTTTCATTTCTTTTATTTATATCAGCACAAATTCTAAATGAACATGCTAATAATATTTCCTCCTAGCTCTCCTACCACTCAATTATGAAATACTCCTATTTGTTTCATGCCTACTACCAATGCATTAAATTTCCTCAATTTACAACCTTATGGTATATCTGCCATAGGAAGTTTCTTTTTCTGAACACTCTCTGAATGTTTTCCCACAACCACAATTTATTTTTACTTTAATATAACAAGCATCGCTAGATCCAGAGCAGTACTAAATTTCCACTAAGCTGCTCAAATCATCTACTTATTTCCTCAAGACAAACTGGACTGCTCTAACATATGTTTGTATGATAATATTTATCATAAAGTACATTCCTATTTCTATTAAATGTTTTGCACAGATTTATAGCACACGTTTTGTTAGCATTTTTCATTCATCACTCAAGCTAGGCTTTAAAAGAAAAGCAAAGCAAGGAAAAAGCAGAAACTTCTGTTTTCAAAGTTCATGAATTTTTCTATTAATGGTACATCAAAGGATAAAATCTTTAAAATCAGAAGTTTAAGCATACTACAAAAAGCAAATGCTATGTGCCAAAAACAAATAAAAAAAACAGTGAAAATTTTATTAACTCAGCATGTTTTGATGGTATGCTTAGAGTATGAATTTGTATATATATGAGTATAACTATAATTATAAAACAGCATCAAAGGAAATAACATCTAAAATCCCCATCACCTACACTGACATATAATACACTACAGATCAATAGATCATACCTGTCTTTAAAAACTCACTTTAAAAGGTAAAAACTTTCCAAGTCATTTTAATTGCAATATAGCCTTAAATTTTTTTCTTCGGAAATTAATGTTAAAGATTTGTAGGTATAGCCTAGGCACTTAAAGTAATTTTCTTAAATATTATTTAAGCATTTGCTTTATTAAAAAGTTTTATCAAAAGTGAAAAGACTCTTTAATCAAGTTTTTCAACATGCTGAATTTGTGAGTGTTTAAAGCAATAATCCCTCTACTGGGCACCTCCCCCTTAAGCTGGTTACGTTAATGGCACTACAAAGCTGTCATAGTTTACTTACTTCTCATTTCGGACTGATGATCAAACCAGTTCAGTCAAGCAAGCAGCCATGTTCAGTATTTAACATAAGGTGTGTGCGGTGGTGCTAAATGGTTAACATTACTTTAAATAAAAATTTTCTTATGATTACTTAATCCATGAAAAAATCATGTGCCTTTGTCTGATGGGAAAAAATTTGTATCCTGAAAGTTTCAATGGGTCCCAAATAGTACTCACCAAAACATACTGTCATATGAAGCTTTTTGTTTTTAGATCTTATTAAAATATATCTTTAGGAAAGACATATCAATGATTATCTAAATGATGCCAAGAGTTATACATATACAAGAAACTAAAACGTTTTAAACTGCTATAATTGCTGAAAAGAACAGGGTTGATATGCAAGGATTTTTAATGGTAGACCTAAATTTTCAACCAAGCTACTTTAAGGTAGCCTGACTGAAAGGAAAGACTGGATGCAAAGAAAGCTGAAACACTGAACTACAGAGAGATAGAAAAGACAATACGAAATGATGGGGAAATGTATGACAGAAAAAAACATGAGGTTAGGTGTTAACGTGACAGAGGTGGACAAGGACATTTCTCTCATTCGATCTCTCACTCTTCCAACAAAAATAAAACTACATTTACTTGTCATGCCTAAAAAATAAGTCATTTGTCAGTAAGACATATTTATCTTTCTGTTTAGAAAGCAATACTCCTATGGCAGCTTTGTTGCCACAAGTTTCAGTTCTGTTCAAAAAACAAGCCAAGATGCCATATGCTGCTAATGCATTGCCGTTGCAAGCTATGTGTTGTACCTTAGCCTCTCTGATGAATTGTCCACCATGTTTGTTTACAGCCTCTATCTGGTACTGCTCCTCTCCTAGGCTGTTGTAAATTGCCTACAAACACAACAGAAGTTTATAACAATACATCACCATCTTGTATGTACAGAGCACAATCACACAGGGCCATAAATCTGCTTCAAAATTTGAATTATGCTCACCATTGTTGGTTCGATGCATGTTTTCAGTTCCTCTATTTCATAAGACAGTGGGGGTTGTCTGTCTTTGGCCCTCTGCATTTCTGATACAAATGTCTGCTCACCACGGATACCAGTTGTATACTTCAACAACATATCTCCGGCCACCTCTGTGCTCTGCAGCCTATAAGCAGAATGTTTACCTTGATTATACATGCAAGTTCTTGTTTTAGTTTAAATAGAATGAATGAGGGAGTTTCAATACACACATGCTGATTCAAGAAATTGAACTGTTGAAAATATGATGAGTGTTCCATTTCCTTTATTTTTCAAAAAGTACACAATAAGTGATTAAAACAATACAGAATTCCCATGATACCTTTCAGACACTTGACGGCAGACACTGTCCCAGCGTTGTTTAATGGCCGTCACCTCCTCTTCTAGTAGGTTCATGTTGTAGGGTGTGTGTGTCTGGGAACTGCCCTCTCTAGAGGCCAGTGATGTCATCTCAGTCTGGAGTTTGGCAATTACTGGCTGGTGTTTCTGAGTGGATTTGCTCAAATCCTGAAATATTAAATATATAATAAACATTCACAACATGGGTCATTGAAGGTCAAGACATTCAAATCAATATCAAGACATTTAAAAATGTTTAAATTTTTTTTTGAGCTCCCTCCTATAATCATGGAAAAAAAAGTTTCATGTCATGTTGGAATGGATTAAAGTTTTTAATCCATTTAGTTTATTATTAAGTATGTGTGTCTTACTTGAGAGTAAACACAATTGTGATAAAAGAGTTCTTCATTACCTGCAGTTCCTCTCTAAGTTGCTGCAGACTCATAGGGTCTGAGGTCATAGTATCCTGGGAAACCAGGGCAATTTCAAAATCAGCAACGACAGGTTTCATGGAATCTACACCTGACAGCACTGAATCTACTGCTCTTAATCTACAAATATTGTAACAATCACTTACTAGAACAAAATACAGAGGTTGCTTCGAATCCTCCATTTCCAAACCTTGTGTTAGACGCATTTAATATGGAATGTGGAATGGTCATTTACCTTTCATTGTTAGTTTCTGCTGTTACTAGCATCTGGTCCCATTTCTGCATGACCTCTGCATATTTGACCTCTAAACTATGACTTCTCCTTGGTAGTGTGGCATAAACTTTCCGAACTCTTTCTAAGTCTCCCTCATATGTTCGAAACATTCTTTCCCAAGCCTAGATTTAAAATTCAAAAGAAATTCTAAATATTTCTCCTTTTATTGTCATGCACTGAGAGGGAAGAATGACATCACATTTAATAAACCTTAGACAGAGATATGAATTTGGGATTATGATACTCACTCTGTGTTGTTCTAATGCATGCCTTATGGAAGACCTGTCCCACACTGCAGTTTCCAAGGAGACATGGGACTGATCACATGATTTCAGTCCATGGCTTAGAGCATCTAAATCTTGTAGTAATGTCACTTCTGGAGACTGATTCTCATTTATTTCTGTAGATAGATACACATCATCAATGTTTAACACTTTGTCAAATATAAACATACAGGAAAAAATTAAAAATTATTTCAATTAATATTTGACCCTTTTAAAAACAGAAAAAGATCATACCATACTCCATGGCTGAGGCTGAAAGACTGAGAAAGATCTGGTTACAGTTGGCTAGCTCTTCTCGCAGTTTCCTCATTTCTGGAGATGACTCACCAACTTCTCTCATTAAGGAATTTGTGTCGTCATTCAGAGTTTTCCAAAATGCTTCTCTTCGAGAGGGATCCAGCAGCATAAACTGAAATGTATTGAGTTGTTCCATAATTATTTTAATGAATAAATTAAAAGTCAACTAGCAAAATAGTTTTTATAGTAAGATATAATTCACAAAAATTATACCTGCTTCAGGTCCCATGATTTCATTTTGTGCATTGTAGCAAGGACCATGTTGTATCTCATTGTTCTGTATTGTAGTTTCCATTTGCCTAATAGATTCTCTAATTTGGATTTAAGGCTGATAAAGAAAAGAAAAACAAAACTTTCATAATAATGTTTTTCATAAGAATAAAAAAAGTCATTCAAGTATTAGCTGCTGGTTAACAAATGTCTGACCTTTGTGCTGTTTGTATAGCATTGTGATTGGGAGGAGGAATGACAAAGCAGGCAGCAGGAACTCTGCCCTCCTGACCACTGCTGTTACGAATTGTCCAGCGGACACCATCACTGTTGTCCAATAGAAGACAGTCCATGCCTTTCTCCAATAACAACTGAAATTTATTTTAAAAATCTAACTGTTAGAAATTCTAACATAAGTACAATCCCTCCAACTTCATTTATATACATGTAGCTATAAACTTTTAATACATGTCTGACAAATCATCAACAATTAATCTACCATTTTTATGCCTCTGTAATCAAAGATTTTGAGGCATAGAGTTTTTTAACATTGACATTGACATCAATAATAAACTGCTTTTTATTTTCCCTCCTAATGGGCTACTAATAAAAACATTTTATTTACCTCTGGTTGTCTGTAAGTACACAAGCACTGGACCCTGACTGGACTTTGGACCCTGGAGGACCTGAGATGGAGGGGTGGGACCTCCCCACTCCTGTGTATGAGGCCCTCCACCTGGTGCTGTAGGCTGGTCAGGTGTTTCTGTAACTCCTGGAGCTCCTTAACCCTCTGTTTGGCCTCGTCAGGATCCAGGTGTTCCTGGCTGTACCTGGATGATAACATTTCCTGCTGTCTGTCCATGTCCTCCTCACATGCTTTACAGTCCTTGAAGAACTGGTGGTAGAGAGCCTTAAATTTCACGTGTTGTTCTAAACACACTGTCAGCTGGATCAACCAGGACCACTGGGACTGCATGGCCTCCATGTAAGCCTGAAGTATCAAACAGGGCCATGAAATAACACTTACAAAACTTTATTTTTATCTGACACTAATTTCTCTCTACAAGCTTTTAAATTCTAAACAAGACCTCTCTTGTAACAAACACTGCATTGAAAAACACTACAAATGCATCCCATGCCTCACTAAATTTAATACTGTACTCCACCACTGTAATTTATGGAACTTTTCATAATACATTTATGTAAACAGAACACATTTTTACCCTGATGCTCTCAGATGCTGGGTGTCTGTCTAGCACCATAGCAGACCCTCGATCCTGGACCGAGTTGAACTGGGTCTCTCTCGCCTCCAACTCATGTAGAATTGTCTGTAAAGAAAATAAAGAGGATATCTTCCATAGGTTGAGATTACAGAATTTACAACAGGAGAAAATAAAATGGATAATTTCAGAAATGGTTGATATATGTTTTATTAAATAATAGGGTCTTAAACAACAAACATTTTATTTTCCTAAATTTACTGTTGTTTACATGAGGTAAAATGGGAAAATAATATATTTTAAGCCCCATCTGCTTAATCAAGAAAATTTTGATGCAGAAAAATGTATTCTTAATGTGGTTCAATTTTGACAATCATGAAACAGTTTGAAAGTTACCCAAAAATACAGAGCATCATTTGTGTTAATAAACATGCTGTTCAATGATATATATATTGATTTAGTATCTACTGTAAGAGAATTATCCAGGTCATGCAAAAGAGGATATCAACAAATTCAGAGATTTTTCTTTAAAACTGAGAATTTACCTGGTACTAACTTATCATTCAAATGTTTGATTTGACAATTTTTTGCCATGAAAAAGAATTCCACAAGGACCATTAACAAATCATGCATCTGAAATCTACATTTTCATTTTCTTGTATTCTTCACCATTTTGAAAGATACTAATATAGCAGGCATCCAAAGATGCATGCAAGGTTATATAAACAGAATATTTTGTATAACAAATTTTGATGCAGGCATCCAAAATATGAAATCCGGCAAAACATTACATGTGAATTATTCACATTTTAAACTTCGTTAAATTTTCTGTAGAGAAAGTAACAAGAATCTCACTTCATGCTTTTGCTGCTTTTCAAACAAGATATATGTTTCCTACAAAGATTTTTTGCATTCAACAAAGTCAGTCAGTTGTTTTGTTATTTTAGAATAATGCATGTAGCATGTATCAGGTTTCAAACCTCTTTGGATAGTGCCCCATAGCCATAAAAATCCTGTAAACAAACAATGATTGAAGTAACATGTGCTGGGTTAAAAATTAATTTGAAAATAAAAAATATCAAGATAGATACTCTCTTTAACCCTAACTTATGCAGAAACACTGATTCTAAAAAAACTGATGAACATGTACAACTACTGTATACACAGGGGATTTTTTTTATGTGTCTACTTTGCTTTCATCATCAAGTAAAGGCAAATGAAGTTGTCTCTCTTGTACCTCAGTTTGCTTCTTAGGAACTTGTCCAAGGTCAGTGACTTTTTATGTTCTTATGAACATTATGTTGATAAACTTTACATAAGGTTTGTGCTTAACTAAATGTATATGCATACAAGATACTTCAAAAATCCCTAAACAGTTCTTTTATGAAAAAGAATATGGACTCTTCAGGTACTGGATGTACCAGATTTACAATTAATAAAATCCCCAACTCTCTCAACTTCCGAAGTTGAAAATAAAATAATCTGCTTAATGTCTTTTCCTTTTTCCACTTGACCGATCGATAACCTAGCCGATTCTCTTCCTTGTTCTGATAAAACTGTTTTAACTTAGGATAGTAAAGAATGCCCTTTTCCTGTTTGTCACTTTCTTCACATTACACTTCCTCTTCTCCTCCTTTAACTGATCATCACTCACCAATTTACCATAAAAAGTCACTTAGCAATATACTACCATCCCTTGCAGGCCAGTTTACCTGCTTAATTAATCTCTAATTTTACCTTGTTTGCTAGGTCCATCTAACACATCAGTTTACCTGTTAACTTCAATCTCTCTCATTTTACCTTGTATGCGGAATCTGTCTGGTCCATATCGGCATCAGGAGAGCTCCAGTCTCTCTGTAATTTTACCTTGTATGCGGAGTCCGTCTGGTCCATATCTGCATCCGGTGAGCTCCAGTCTCGACTCAGTTCCAGCTCCTCTCTCTCATTGAGCCACAGAAGCTCCTGTGTGGCTGACTGCAGGAACTCGTGTAGAGATTCCAGGCACTTGTGTCTCCGGGTTGATGTGTTCTGAAATTCCAAACCAGTTTTGCTTAGTTTTACTATTGACTGAGAATGATTATAATTCCAAATTTTATTTCCTCCATTTCATTCATATTTTAATAATCATATGTACTTACGACTAACAAAGAATATGCTACTTCCATCTTTGACAACCATTGGGTGTATAATTTTTTCTCTTCTGAAGGTAAAGATTTCTAAAAACAAAAGCATAAATCATGAATAATCTGGAAGAATGCTGCATTACCATTATCTTTCAGTAATCTTAGTCTATCTATATTCCTTCAAAAAGTTGACTTAATGTCAGTTTTTGAACTTTTCCTGTGTAATTGTCACATACCCCCTCTGAGATACATCTCTCGACCTCGCGTCGGAATCCCTGGACTTCCTGATGAAGCTGATCGTGCTCCTCTGCCAGACTCTGAACGGTGTCAAGGTCACCTCCGAACTCAGCATTCTCCAGAGATTTCTGGAAAAAAAGAACATTGTCTATTTTCTGAAAGACCTGATAAAGTAAAAAGTCTGCAAAGGAGCATTAAGATCTGAAAAAAATTTCTTTTCTTAAATTCTCAGACTTGATTGAATCAGAGACTGCAAAGAGAATTAAGCCAAATAGCAAGAAAAATTCTCTGAGAGAAGTTAATTCTGACAGTAATTTTATCTACCTGTCTACTTTCTATCCAGTTTAAGCACTCCTGCACATGCTGAAAGGCTGGGTTGGTCTCAATCAGACGGATTTCTGTGACAATTTCCTTTTTCTTGGTGAGAGTGGAGGTCTCCTCTACATAGGACTTGCTGATGAGTTTCTGGATGACCTCACTAAACAACAGAGTCCTCAGTTCTGACACTCGGGACTGGATTGAAGACGCCCTGGAAAAAAATATGTCAAGTTAATTACAGCATTTTTTGAGAAAATTCGGGTACAAGTGATAAAAGTATTCAACATATATGTTAAAAAAGTTTAAAACAACAACAAACGAAACTTTCTAAGCCTGTATTGATCTTTGACTATATCAAATTTAGCAGTTTACAACTACATGTACAAATTGGCTAATGACATACAATCATGATAATCTGTTTCTGATAGCAACAATAAGTATGGTCTTTCATATTTCCAACATGTCCTGATTGTTTAGAAATTGTTCATACTTGAAATACCTTGTAAATACATGCAAAGACTGAATTAACATCATATTCCTTCAAGGTATGATATGAACTCCACAATTTCAGATATAAACGTTCCTTGGCTACACTAACCTTCTGTAGAGCTGATCACCAGTGGCGAATCTTCCTTCCTGCAGCATTTGTATGTCCCTGAATGAGCTCCTGACCATTTCCTCCACGTTCTGGAGGGCCCTGTCGATGGCGTCACAGTTACGCTTGGCTTCCAGGGGGTGGATCTTATCCACGCGGGTCTGCTCCTCTCGGATACGAGGACCGATGTCCTCCAGACTGTCCTCACAGTGTTTACAGTCCCGGTGGACCTTCTCTGCTAATCTCTGTAGTCTCTCTAGTCTGTACAAAAATTCAACATTAAGTCAATAAAATGATGTCTGTTCAAATAAAACAAACCAACATCAATACAGCAGATTTTCAATTGGAAAAAAACCATTAAGAATTGAATGTTTTGTTTTTGTTTGTTGTTTAGCCTCCCCTCCTGAGACTTTTTCACTCGTATGAAGACGCAGAGAGTTCAATGAAAACAAAATTGTGATTCTTTTAGAAGCCTAGCAATAAGAATTTTTTATCACTATATTCTAAATGGAATACCTAATGATTTCAGACTGTATGTAGTTGTCTCTTTCTTGTTGTTGTAGAATAAACCTTTCCCAGAATCTGTTCATACTATCAGGTCGAATTTCTTCTGGTATATTTAAGTAAGCTGTACCTCCTTGGAAACCCTGAAATCAGAATTACCTTAGGTTTTATTAAAAGTGCTTTTAGCTCCAAATATTTCCATGTTAAATACAATGCTAAATAAATCAACAGATATGATGTTTTTTCAGTTACCTGAATTTCATCATAAATGTGGAATAGTCTCTTCTTCATTTCCAACCGTGGTGGGACCTCTTCAATTTTGAACTTATTACACTCTGCCTGCAGAGTCTGTAATAAATAAAAAGACAATAATTAAACCATTTGATAATTTAAATTTAAAAAATGTTTGGGGTCATCGATACTGGATAGATCTATTTTAAAGATAAATCTTATTGGTTTTCTTAAATTATAACTAGAACACACTATGGTATAAGTATAAATTAGACACATTTTCACAATAATACAAACTTATGGTCACAGTTTAACTTACTTTCATTTCTATAAGAGTGGAAGGAAGCTTTTGCTCTTTCATCATTATTATTGTTTGTTGAAGCCAAGTAATCAGAGAGGAGGCTAAATCTCTGTACTCGTCTATCTTCAGTTGTCGTTCCTATGAGCAAACAGAAATAATAAAGAGGAATCTACACTTTTAAAACAACTAAACAACACCAGGTATCGAATGACCATTGATAACTAACATGATTATTCAAATAACTGCATCCTCATTTTCTTGATATGATCAGGTTAACAAACCTTCCACTACAGATTTCTGATTTTCAGAAGAAAAAATTCAAATAGGAAAGGCTTTTTTATGTCATTTATTTCATACACTGCCTTAAAAGAGCGGAGGTATATAAGTTGAGCGTTTTTTCTTGTTGACTTACATTGTCCCTGAGAGTTTCTTCTACACTGGGAACATCGGGGAAGACATCGTATAATGAAGAAATGTAGGTTATCACAGATTTCTCATCAGGTTCAGGGACATCCACATCTACAACACAATGGATTATTTATTATAAGTTTTATTTTGATCAAAAAAAGAAGAGAAGTATAATCAAGTGATCAGAAGCTTCAAAAATGAGTGCTTTTATGTAAAATACATTTAATATTGGATGTTTTTATCATTATAACTGCATTAAAAGATTTCAACATATTCGTACATCTGATACATATGACATATTCCCCACTTTCAATGCTGTAAATATATGTGCATGTTTTTTTTGAAATTCAATTATTTCCTTGACCTTTGTTAAATTATTTAAATTATCCTTACACTTTATAATATTGATTTTTTAAGCAAACTTAGTGTATAAAGCAAAGTGATACATTGTACAACAAAGGTAATTTAAGAAAGATGTTTTCCATGTAAACATCCTTCCAGGACATACATGTACATGTATACCCAAGTAAGTTGAAGTAACCCAGTTGCCTTATAAGATTGTCACAAAAGGGTATACTGAATCTGCTCTGAGGAGAATTTAATAGTTAAGAAATTCTGAGCATTACCTTCGGGATCTAATAGTCTTGTGACCCCAAACTCTTGTTCTGCTACACTGAAGGCCTGCTCTAGGTTCTGTCTCGCTGTACGCATCTGTACCTTCCGAAAATCCACCAAGTCAGGTCTGCAGAAAAAAAATTCATAGGTTAAGTATAAATACATGTATATAAGAATTTCACATTAACTTCAATGCAAATACAGTTTTTTTACACAGAACGTTTATAATACTTATGATCTACTTTTTTTTTAAATTTCAAATTTATCATTAATTCATGAACATCCCTTTCAAAACTAGAAATATGTCCATAGGACATGAATGCCCAGCCGAGGGTATATCAGTAATGCAACATGAAAATTCAAATTTGTGTATGAAATTTTAGAATATCTTAAAGAGTGATGCAGTTGAACTGCTTACATCAGTATGTATCAGCATATGAAGTTTAACACTAATTTAAGCAAAGTGGGGTCAAGGTCAAAGATAAGGCCTAGATAAAAAAAAATGTTGATGCAGTTGAAAAGCTCTAATCAGTATGTATCAGCATGTGAAGTTTGACACTAATTTGTGAAAAGTGAGGTCAAGGTCAAAGGAATGGTCAAGGTCAAAAAATGTTGATACAGTTGAATAGCTCTAATCAGTATGAATCGGAATATGAAATTTAACACTAATTTAGAAAAAGTCAAGGTCAAAGGAAAGTCAAGGTCATATATTGATGCAGTTGAATAGCTCTCATCAGTATGTATCCGCTTATGATGTTTGATAACACTATCTTGAATGGTATGTTTAAAACTGAGCAAAACACTTATTCAAGAAAAGTGAGGTTAAGGTCAAAGGAAAGGTCAAGGTCAAACACTTTGATGCAGTTGAATAGCTCACATCAGTATGTATCAGCATATGAAGTTTGATAACACTATCTTGAATGGTATCTTTAAAACTGAGCTAAACACTCATTTAAGAAAAGTGAGGTTAAGGTCATAGGAAAGGTCAAAGTCAAAAATTTTGATGAAGTTGAATAGCTCTCATCAGTATGTATCAGCATATGAAGTGTGATAACACTATATCTTGAATGGTATCTTTAAAACTGAGATAAACACTCCTTTAAGAAAAGTAAGATTAAGGTCAAAGGAAAGGTTAAGGTCAAATATTTTGATGCAGTTGAATTGCTCTCATCAGTATGTATCCACCTATGAAGTTTGATAACACTATTTTGAATGGTTTCTTTGAAATTGAGCTAACACTCATTCAAGAAAAGTGAGGTCAAGGTCAAAGGAAAGGTCATGGTCAAAAATGTTGATGCAGTTGAATAGCTCTGATCAGTATGTATCACCATATTCATGGCGGGGCAAAAAAAAAACATACTAAAAAATTCTGCAAAATTTACTAATATATTCTTTCTAAATTCTTTCTATTGTATAAACTACAACAAACTACCTGTGTCTATGTATGATTGAAAGGAATGCCCGTCCATCTCGCCAGCTGCTGGTGAAGTTTTTGACCTTGACCCCTGGGTAACCTTCAACTGTCCGTCTACTCCAGAGAAGCAGGGCTTCTTTTGCAGAGAGATCTTCTTGTCCTGACACGACCACATCTGAGATCTAAAATTCAAAAACCAGAATTAAGACATGGTTACACATTGTAGAAGCCAGAAATGCTTCCGAGATGTACTTTTGACCCAGTGGAGTCCCTGTTATCTGGAACAGGAGATACAGCTTATCCTTAAGGTATGTTAACAAGCAACCATGACATTTACATGTGATATGTACCTTTTCATCCTAATGAGCCTGCAACTGATTTGACGTTCAACTATGGATATTGACTCAAATTAGAATTGGAATTGTAAATTTGTAACCCAAATTTTAGAAACAATTTCTATATACCGGTACATGTAATACCTGGAAGTCATATGACTAATTATACAAACACTTAAATTCCTCTTATCCCACTACTAGTTTGTGTACAAATGCAATATTTATCAAAAGCGCTTTATGCATTAAGTGCTGAAAAAATACATTCAAATTTGATTTAAAAATCAATGTTATTTTTCAAGATCTGAATTAAACACAATTGAAGTATTCGTTTCTTTGAAAGAAGTTTAAAAGATGTTTATTTAAAATGTTTTTAATAAGCCTTTTACCACTGAATAAGGCTAACCCATGAAAGGAGTGTACTGATACTTGCAATTCAAAAAAAATATTTCATTCTCTGGATTGGCTACACGTTCTACCTGGCACCACTAGTGGATTTAGAGACATACCGTGAAGTCTAATGTCTCTGGTCAAGTATTTTAATGAACAATATGCAAAATCTCCAAGACACATGGCCTGGTAACCTTCTTACACTTAATTTAGACTTACAGAGACATATAAGAGTCAACCAAAATCAAACATTTCTTTAATTATATCTTTATCATAAATTGAAAGATTTTTTTTTTAATTAGAGTTAATAGCCAAGTTTTGACAAACACAACCCGACTGTAAATCAAGCAGAATTTAAGGTGCAAAATTTATAATCACCAAAATGTGCCATATTAAAGGCTTTTAAACCTGTTATTTTGTGAACTAAATACTTTCAAGAATTGAACAAATTTCCTAGGAATCATGTAAAATCACTATTTTTATCAGTTTTCTTATTATCATGTCTCTTAAATGGCTATACATTGTATGCCCATCTCACAAGCAAAAGTTCAAAACAATACTACATAGCAATCCCTATGGAAATTCCATTATTTGAGATCATTCTCCTGCTACAAAATAATACCCCTCTCTAGAATCAGTAGTAAAAGATATGCTTCCTGATTTACTATTTTTTTGTTGTTGATTTTATTTTTCAAGAAAACATGTAACAAGAAACATGCTTGCAAATTCTTGTCAGGATTATCGTAAATTGATAACAATTCTGTCTCATTTTCACTGCCATGAACAGCTTTCTCATAACCTTTGTGTGAGGCCAAAGACACCCAATGTTTACACCGAGGTCCTTTATTGCCCTGTCTGGACTAGCCAGTCTTACACTGAACCATTCACTTACAAGTAAATAAACATGCTTTCATCTCCTCTTAACTTGATCTACACCAAGTTATCTTCAGGTTCCCAAGATTTATTTATCCAATCATTGAGAGAAGTTCAGCCTGATGCCGACCAGTATTGAGTTATCTCCCCTTTTCTGTTGACATAAGGGATAAATTCTGTTTTGGCGAGGGCATAGTAATGCACATAGGTAAATTAGAGAGTTTGCACTTCTACACTGTTATCCTAATCACTTATTTGGTTCTACCAGGTAATGTGAAGGTAGCACTTACCATTTAAGTATCCTATCTCTAAAACCAATATTAGATATCAGCTACTTTATAAATCATGAGCACTTTCCGTTTTATCAGCATTTACTGTTAAATATTGGTGTTATAGCTACCATTTGTCAATTTCCCGAACCATGTCCTAAAAAGACTTTCTCAAATACCAGAAGGAGGGACAGACAGCACATATTTTAAAGAGGGTCAAAGGAAGACGGCACCACTTGAATACATCTATCTGTACATGAATTTCGAGAGAGGTCAAGTAATTCAAAATATGTGCACCACCAAGGATATGAAAGAAAGAAAAGTACCAATTTCTAGAGAAAATTGTTGAAGATTTTCAAAATGATAAAATTGCTACAAGAAAACTTTTCACTTTTCCCCATTCTGATTTTTCATTTCTATGAATGCTTGACATAATCCTTTGCCTATCTATCAATTGAAATTAATTATTTGCTCAATGAAACTTACTTTATTTCTCCAAGCAATTTATAGCAATATACCTGAACTTCTAAATATCTAAATACATTAAACCAGATGGTTGTTCCTTTCTACTGCTTCACCTACTTAAAGAATCTGCAATAACATCTGGTCTTCATGCCAAAGTATAATCCACAGCTTATAAATTCTCATTAGTATATTAATCTCCACAACTTAGTTTCATTTTTCCCCCTACTATAGATAAACCTAGTAATTAAAACCTATAATGATCTAGAATTCACACTTCAAATGCATCATTTCATACATGTATGTGATGGTAAATAGAAAAGTGAAGTGTTTGACACTTAAAATTGATGGGCAACCAATTTCATTATCCATCACTTTTATGTTTATAAAAACCAGTTTAGAGCAAAAGAACATAATGATGAAGTGTCATTAAAAATGGTTTGTCTTCATAAAATCAACTGAATGTGCTAAAAAGCTAACTTTAACCTCCTGTGGTTTTTTGCTTGGTAATTAGTCTTGGTATCATGTAACATGAGCAACTGCCAATTACCTTTGCTTATACAATTTTTTTTTCCAATTGCAGCATAAAAACATAGATAGTAAGGTACTACAAAATTAATCATGACAGTGACCTGAATATTAAGACTGGGAATCTTTAGTAGCGTAACTTTTAAAAACAAAAGATTTGAATTGACAGCTTTAAATTCTTTTGTGATCCGATAAGGACTTGTACACTGTGTTCTCTCATGTGAGAAATGGGGCCTTAAGCTCTTCAATATTTATTTACATATATATGAGATAATGTAGACAATTTGAAAGAAAATTATCATATTACAAAGTTCCTGTTACTCTGTTAGCTAGTCAATCTCTCCCTTTAACATCTTGTAGCACCGGTTTTATAAAAATAATTTTTAAAAAAAATTTACAAAATTTTCCACATCTTGGAAACATGTCCACTATTTTTTACAAACATCAAAGTCCTAAGCCTCGTATTTAATCTAAATCTGACAGAGAGTGTTGCGTTGAGTTTTGTGTATTCAGAGTACAATAGATCTGGCATTACCTGATGTGTAGCCTGTTGCTCAGGTTCCTTCAAAGAAACCGCTGCCTCTGCAGCCAAAGGCGCTTTTCCCTTTAATTTTTTCTTCTTTTTCCTAAAGCACGAAAACATGCTTCCCCCTGAAATTCCACCCCTCACATCATAAAAACACCATTTTCACGCAGGTTGGCTCGGGGCCCCGCGAAATCCTTTAAGACGTTTCTGCTCCAATAAATAATTTCACATGCAAGCTTAATATTCCCATTCAAAGTTTGTGAAATTGTCCATGAATAACACAACAAAAGCCTGTGAACATAATATCTGTCTATCAAACATACTGCCGAATGTAAATATACAATTTCTTTTTTTAATGTATTTAAATGATCCAATCTGGTGCCAAATGCAGTGTGATCAAACAGGAATCACCTGTGCCGAGCCGTTATGAATTTTTTAACAGATTATCAAGTTAATCCAATACCCATTAGGTCAGGGTATTCAATTCTGGTAATTTGATTCCGGGGGAAGCACTATATGGTAACAAGTTCTGGAAATCTTTTTCCCCCTCTCTGTAGTCAATGTTTGCAACTCTGTGAATTAGACTGCGGGGTGTGGGCCGTCTTTCTGGGCCACACAGAGCAAACACTACACACTGATACCATAATCCCCCTGTGTCAGTTGACCAATTACACGATTCCGCAGGTACTCTAATGGGTAGAGACCTGATCTCACGGCTTTACAATACTCCAGTGCTTCAAGGGTACATACACCGATCCCCTGGACAATTGGAATGGACTGTTCAGAATATTTGCGAAATTGGGGTCACTCTGTGGCCTATATATCTTCTGAATTTTCAGGTAGAAAAAAAAAGATCAGGCGTCTTACTCACAGCATGAAATTTACATTAACTTGTCTCAAGGAAATATTTATTCTGCTTACAATGAAGAAATACTTTCCTTTTTAAGGTAAGATGAAACGTTTTGAAAACAATACCCAGTCTGTGTACTTAATAAGCCATTTTTAAATAGTGTACACAGTCAAGTACCAAGTTTTAAAAACAAAACCTTACTGGGTCATCCAAACTGTGAATTACAGCTTTGTCTTTGAACTGAATCAACCTGTACAATAAATTTCTCCATTTTTTCACAGACACTTTTGGCCTTTTCTATACAGCTGTGGGGACATGAATCTTATGACTGGACCTTGTAAGATGAAAAAACAAATTCAGGACTTAGCAGGAGATGTCTGCTCTCTCTGAAATCCCTATCCCACAAACTGGAGTGTTATGTCATAATGTTTTCATTATCTCTCATGAGATAGTAAATTAATGCCTAAGATGCAGCAAAAATATGCATCAAGCTGGTACAGGTAATGCTGCATAAAATCATATGCAGTGCAACTTTTATGATTTTCTTGTCAATTCCTTTGAAAAAAAAAATAGGGTTGTGTTTCAAAATACTACATTCAAAGAACACACCTACATTTGTGCTCTGCATAAAATAACATTAAAAACTTTTTTTTGAGATATAATTATTTCTTTATCTTCGTTTTTCTTTTCAAAGATCAAAAACAAATTGTAAAATCTATTAAAAAGAAAACGGACATAAAAATCCATCAAATATGGAAATATATAACCGGTACCCTTCTTTTTTGCCATTCTTGAGTGATGAATTCTGAAATGATAAGTTATCAGGAGCAATCTTTATGATAAGTAATAGTTCTAACAACGTCAAACGCAGCGGCACTTTCATACTTTTCTAATATTAATCATTATTGCTAAAAACTCTGATGCCTTTACAGCTAAATGTATGTTTCCTCACCAATAAAACTTTTTAGAGCTAAAGCAAGCTGGCTCTAGCTCTCCCACAAAAACAAAAAAAAAACTTCGGAACAAGCCACCTTTCCTATATCCTATAATCTTTAAAACAGATGTTAGTAGAGCTAAACAAATACTTCATCAGCGGATGAATCGAATGTACTTTCGCAGGAATAGGCGTAATTATTTACGAATCTTAATAATGTCACTCAATGGCTTCAAAAGATTCTCTGGAATAAACGTAACCCCCAAAACAAAGCTCTGTCAGACCCCCATTGCATGTGTCTACAACTACTGAATGATATTTCCTACTGCCTTACATCACAAGGATTCAAGGTATGAAACTTATTATAACTGAAAAACCAGTGAGTAACAGAGACCAATTTGATATTTCATAACATATGAAATGACCAACCTAAAGCATTTCAAAGATGACTTTATAAAAGAAGTAACAAAGACCAAAGTGATATTTCATATAAAATGTCCAATTTATAACACTTCATGGAACATAGGAAGTATATATACTGAAAGGAAAAAGAAACGCAGGGTAAACTTTTGAGGTGAATTAAATTTGTTTTTCTTAAAATACTTTTAAGTTTTCCTATCTAACTTTTAAAATCATATTTAAAAAAGATATAACCAAATTCTCATACGATTTTGTGTAATTATTCATGAGTTATTGAAGTTCAAATGACGATACCCCCCAAAAGGGAAAATCGAAAACTCTCATTATCTTCAATGTCCATCTCGTGCATCTGTCAGAGTCTTATTTCACCTTTGCATGGAATTTCATCAGAGTGTTTATCTTTCGTACCCTGGCTATATTTAGCATGGGTAACCACGCAAAAAAATAAGTCAAACGACGCGCGCATGCGCCAGTGAGAGGAATACAACAGTAAGTTGACTGGTTCAAAAAACCAAATTGCGGAATTGTTCTCGTTCAAATTTCGTATGAATGTAATGATTATAATCGTGTACACTATAAATGGCTATTTTTGTGGTAGTAAGGTGGCGATTTAAGAGATGGTAGGACGAATAACCCGCTCGTAACATGGCTCTGTTTCGCATTAACGTCATCGTCACGGTTGATTGAAATCAACTCCAGACCCTCTCTGATAACGGCTAAAAAGTTTTATTGGGGAAAATTTACAAGAGACTGCTTATTAAACCGTTATTGCCTTTTTCATTAATTAGGCAATTCGAAAACAAGACCCCATTGAACTTCCGTAAACTGTGCCAAGATTGCAATAAATTCATAATGTCTCTTAATATTGAAAAACGATGTGCATACCTCATATGCATCAAATAATGCAACAAGATTTGTGGACAAACACGTCGTTATCAAATTGCACGTGTTTTGGACTTTTTAGCGTTTTCCCTACGTGACGTCATAAATTTTACGGTTGAGTAATTCTGAATACTGATTTTGATGCACGGTAACTAAATTTCCCATCTGACCAATTTTCGTAATTTTCGGTCATGTGGTCAAATTTTTATCGACAATTATGCTACCCTGCGTTTCTTTTTCCTTTCAGTATAATTCTAAGAATACAGTGCAATTTCATTTTTGCTAACCACTTTACCTCTACTAAAAGATAAGCTCATGCAAAAAACTATTAATTACCTTTTTCTTGGAGAACTTGTCTTTTATTTTTTGCTTGAGGTTATGGGTAAAATTAAACATCTTCTCCAGATCAATGTGTAATTCCCATCCATAAGATAAACAGAAAGTTATATATCAAGTGTAAAGAATAACACTGTATAGAACAATAAATCATACAATGTTTTCAATTAATCCCGTCTGCAAAAAGCACATGTAATTTTCCTCCCTGTAATTTAGTGCTGGATCAGTTCAGAGTAACAAGGCTAAAATTGCCAGTGGTTATATAACAACATACATAAAACAGCAGTGCTCCACCTCTCAGCTTCCATTCAGGAGTTAAATTAACAAAAATTAAATTACTCCACAAACATAAAAATCGGTGTAGAGTGAAAATGATCCATCTACCATTGGGAAATTTCACTCACATTTCCAATTCTATAGAAGTCTTAAAACTTTTAGAAAAAGAGTTCACTGGAGGATCCTTCCATATTGTTCACAACCCTGGCTTCTAATCAAGACTCACATTTCACAGAGTCTCTGATTCTAATTAAACCTATCAAAATTAGCCTCGCAACACACAAAACAAAACCGATATTCCAAAACAACCAAACAGAATCGCTTCTGCTCACAAACATGAAAATAAACATTCCATATTTTTTTCCTTTCAGTTTTTGGAGACTAGTATTCCTTTTTTTCATCTAACTCTGACGCCAAACTTCATATGGAGGGGGAGAGTATAAACTTTGTGCTTTACTGGAGGGAGTCTGGATAGGAAAGCTATCACATGCATCATCAACCGATAAAAACACAACACAGGCGAAACTTCTGATAGCTCAATTATACAATCACTGCCCAGAGCCTACTGTTTCACCTATCTTGTCTTATTGATAAGCAATGAGAAAATGATGAACTGGTGATTTTTTCACTAAATGGGAAGGGAGAGGGGATAGCAGTTTTTAACATATTTGAGGGAAAGAAAACATTTGGAAAATATAATTCTTTGAAAATCGGTACTGGATGTCTGGACAACATTATAAATGAATAAATTTTAGCATAAAAATGTTCACTGAAATAAAATGTTTGTTTAATAGGGCTCGGCAACAAAATTAATTTGAACAAAGTCAAGATTCTGTAAGCAGATATTCTTTACAATAATTCATTGATTCCAACTCTTGAGAAGCAGCAAAAAAAGAATTTTAGTTGATGGACTAAATAATGCAATCATAAATCAATTATCACTCTTGTTAACATATAATTTCTTTCTTACCATTGGTTAGAAGGACATTTTAAGTTCAGGTATGTCTTCATAAATTACAGCTGATGAAGAGTGACATTAGAATTAGAATTGTTATACAACTCAACTTAAACTTCTTCAATATTTAATTACAATCTCCTAGTCTAAGCATTTTATTTCATTTAATTTTTTTCTTCTAATTAATGCCCTTCACTTAAATATATATAATGTAAGGTCATGAACTTTCAAAACTGAAATACTCTGACATTATATTTTTAATTTATATACTGTAGGTAGTTGATACAGGCATCCCGATAATATCATTAAATGTACTGCACAAATAAAACAATAATAAAGACAATTTGTTGCAGCAATCAGTAACAAAATCTTTGATGTAATTTCTTTATATGTACTAAAACAGTTGGTGGGATATGTATGTTTTATTTATCTAGATTTCATGTGACACAAAATCCATCAGTAAAGCAGGTATCAAAGAAAAGAGAACAGGATATCTTTTCCCTGCCACTCAAAGGAGAAGAAACCAAGCCTCTATCAGCTGCCCAAGGAAAAGTGAGCGGAGTCTGCCTGCCACTACATCACCACAATATGTCAAAAACTTCACCCAACGTTTTTATCTATGTATCATTTTCCCATCAAACATTATAATCATCTGCAGCTGTGTTATCCATATCAGAAATCAAAATCATATAAAGATTTCTTCTCAAATTCCCTGTCTGTAGGAACGAAAATACCAAACACAGCAATGTGCATTTCCAGAAAAACTTTCCGAACACCATGCAACTGAGACCACATGCAACTCACATGGATCTATTGCATCAAGGTTTGAATTTTGTGAAATTGCCATCAGATTGAGACCTGCTTTGTACCATCTGAGACTGTTGAATCATCATTCAAAAAGATGAGTCAAACAGTTCATAATTGAACTGGATCCCAGCATGTCCCCGTATTAATCATATCATCTTACAATATCTATCTCTGCCACAGACAGGGATTTCTTGGTGGAAAGTCTCCATATTGCTTTATTGGCACTTTCAGTAATATACTTGACAAACAAATCAGAGATAAGCATCTGGAAATTAATATAAATCTAGTACCATCACTGAATCATATAGTGAATATCGTTTGTGTGTGTTCAAGATTTTGAATGAATGGCTTAAAAACTAACATCAAGATTAAAGATGTCTTCACTTTCTCCAATGAATATCCAGATCAAAGAGAGAGTTAAAACACTCTCACAAACATCAAATTTCTTAACAAATTATGTGCTAATGGTGATCCAAGACTAAACAATTTTTACCACTGTTCTGAATTTATGCAATCACTTGGAATGCAATGAAAAATAAGAAAATAGCACTTTAAGAGGAGTTTTCTGTCTTATCAAAAACAATAATGTTAACAAGTTTTAACAGGTTGTTTAAGATGAATATTAAAGTGTCATTGAGAAAAAAGTTATCTAAATATCAATTTAAAAACATCAAAATAAAACAAACAAACAAAAAAATTATGTCCTTAAGGTATTACTAAAGTTGACTTTTACCTAAAGCATTAAAACCATCTTGATACATAACACCTGTGTATTTACCCCACTGAACATATTTAAATTACAAAAGAATTTGGCTGCAACATGTATAATTCCAAGAATTTTCTTTTAAATCTTTAATCCATCTTCACACTAGGCCATATAAGAGATAAGAATTTTAAATTTCAATTTATGAATACCGAGGTATTTACATGCAGCAATGTTGCATCAAATATAACACACCTGGTAACATAAATGTCAGAATGAATCAAACACCTACCATTTATCTAAAATATTTCTCTTTTTCAATCAATTTCTGGTTTTTTTTTTGGGGGGGAGGGGGTTCTTTTTGGCTAAAGCCTCAAGTTGAAGTTGAATAAAATATATCTTAAACTAAGTTGAAGTTGCAAATGCCCATAAAAGTTACCAGTAGTGTTCGAAGAGTTTTTCTTGACAACTTACATAGTCAGAGTATTGTTTTCTTCTTGTGTACTTTATGAAACCAAAATAACAACACTACAGAGACTGAAGACCTTACCTGGAAATGTAGAATGATGGTCCAGATTAAGCCAAGGGTCAGCTTTGGGTTTCCATCCACTATTTCATCAGACCGAATGTTCACCAGCCGAATCTGTACCATGTACAAAACAGTTTATATCATAATGTTTAGATTCTTATACCGGTACTCCATTAAATTCAAGATGAACAGCTAGAAGTAAATAATTTTTTGAACTTATTTTTTTGTTTTTTACAGAACAATTTGCAAAATTTGGAAACTTTTCATATCTATTTCTGTATCATTTTTGTAGATATATATTAGCCAGCATGGAAATGACGTGTAAAAAACGGTAAAAGCCCTTATGCCCCCGGAAGTTTTTTACAAATTTTTCATGCAAAAGAAATCACAATAATATCACTTTTTTCGAGCAAACACTTAGCTATAAGATATACTGCTTCCATTTAAAGAGAAGGATAATTTATCAAATTATTGTGGTATATATTAAAACAGAGTAGCAATTTCAATATCGTTACCATTGGAGTTTAAATATTTCAAAATATAAACGGGGGTGTTGTTGTCTTTTGATTACCTTCATATTTGATAGCTGAAATGATTCGAGAATGCTTCAATTATAATATAATTCTTTAAATTGGTATATAACATCAGTAAAAGAAGCTATATTATTATTTATTTTATGTTCACCATAATTTAAATTGTTTAACGACATTTATTCATTACCTCTACGGAAATTAAAAATCTTGGATAGTCGTCCAAATCTTTGTAACTTTTTCTTTCGATCAAAGTCCCTTAGATCGCTTTCCTTATCAAATATTTGTCCGGATAATCATGATTACGCGGATTAACATTTTGGTTCAACGATTTTTTTTCCTCAAGAATGTTGAAAGATGTTTTTGGAATTGATTTTATAAAGGACTAAATTTGAATGTGCAGACATGCTGAAAAAAAATTGAATCCAAGCAATAAGACGCAAAATAATTTGAAACATGGGTAGTGCCTCTTTTTTCTCCCTCTTTCTTTCTTTCTTTTTTTTTTTTTTGGAAAATGATGTGTACGCACTTGCGTACTTGCGTATAGGCAGCTACGCGCCTGAATATATTTATAAAAAATAAAATTATAAGTTTCAATGATGACACAGAAATACTGATTTTTTCGATCTCCATTTAAAGTATTTTTTTTATATATTAGCTCACATTAATATAAAGACTAATGATACTCACTCCTTTCTTACTAAGGTACTCTAGGGCTATCTGTACATTCTGTATTTTATGGAATTTCATGCGACCCTTTTCCCTGGGCTACAATACAAAAAATATATACAAATGAGTGTGTGGTTTGTTTTTTTTTTATTATTTCAGTGACGAGTTTTGAGATAACTTTTGATTGATTCATGTAGTAAAATTAGGTTATTTCTTATAAATATGCCTCAATAATTAAAAGTTTTAGAGCATCTCTTGGAAGTTGATCAAATTATCCCATTCTTTGAGAAAAGTAAATGGTTTGATTTTTCTGAGAATAAGAGAGAAAAAAGTCTTTTCCCTTAAGTTTTATCCTGTTCCTGAACAGATAAGGTATTTAAAATAAAAATGACAAAAATTTCAATCAGCAATCTTAGATAAGGGAAACAGATAGCGAATGTTAACCTTATCGTCTGGGCTGTACTACTCCTTGTTATGACTTGCAGGCCCTTTAATCTAACATAAACTAACAAACAATGTTAAATGTCTAAAAAATGTAATCTCGGGACTCAATCTCACTGACAATGATGATCCCCTGAAATCAAGGGCCCCATTTCCTACAGGGAATTGCCATCAAACAAAATGTTCAAAACTAATGTCTACCTAATTAACCCTGGACAGATTGGATATATTTTCTATCCAGAGATTAATAACATTTATAAAATAGTGTATCAATACTGTACAAAGGGTAATTTTTTGCCCTTTTCACACTTTCAAACAATTTTGCCCCTTTTTAAACTCTCCCAGTCATAGTTTTGTTTAAGAAATTATGTATTGTATTCTTTGAATTCGCCCTGTTTTGAATTCGCCCAAATGAGGGTTGGGTGAAAAGGATGAAAATAAAATGGAGGTGAAAAATTTCCCTGTATACAGTAATGATATAAATAGTTGATACTTGCTGGAACCACTTTGTACCGAGCATTTGATATACTAATTATTTACCAGTGTATCGTGGGCCAGGACTTCTAACAGCGAGATCAGGTTATGTCCATCTCGGAGATCTTCAAATAAGTCTATCACTCTTCTGCCCGCCTACAATAGTCAACAAAATATTACAGTATATAGTAGTTTGGGTTTTTAAATCACTGATTACTAGTAAAAAGTATTGAACTATGTTAATTTTTTTTCAACATTTCCTAAATACAATGATAAATTTGTTTTTGCATTTATTGTGCAGCATAAAAGGAAATTAAAAATTTCTACGAGTTTCCAATTATCCATTAATCAAGTTTGTAATTTATTAGCAAAAACTCCTATTCCTTCAAATTGCTTCATCATACTCAATATTAGTGTGCATCCCCCTTCTCTTCTTCATTCCGTGTCACCCCTCCTATCCCACTCCCTCCCCACCTCCATTAAAAACGAAATTACCCACCTAAACTCTGTAAAAGCAAAACTTTCCCTATAATCTGATAGAAATTTTTTAATGCATAAATTAAATCATGCCAGTTTTCTTTTAGTGTAAATATGGCAAAAAACACAGAACAAAACAAAAATGATGAATGAAAATGTATCAAATACTTTTAAAACCACAACATTTAAATTTCAAAATAAATTTCAACATGGTTACAAATTTCAACAAAGGTAAAATAATTTACTATTATATAAAGACACAGACATGCTTGACAAACATGCACATTTAATTATGAATTACATTGTGTGCATTCCTGAGAACATGTCTTGACCTACTCTAATGAGATGTAAATTCTAGGCAACTTGGCAACATTAATTAATTTTACCTATTAAAATATACAGGTAAATGTATTTTAAATGCAATTTCCTTAATGCCTTAATCTAGACAAAAGTTAAGTATTTTGTACCTTTTTAACTAAGCCCCCCCCCCTTCCCTCTTCCCCATGTCATTTCATTTAAACCAAATAAAAAAGAGGACTCTCTCAAAAGCTACTAGAAATACATCAAGCCATCAGATAAATCATAGGAATTAATGGTTTACAATATAACAATACGTAAATATCTAGGTAAAAATATAATAATTACGAAATAATAAAATAAATTTGGGGAATCAACACACAAACTCATGCAGCAAGTCCACGGATCTGAACAAACCTGTGAAAACCTCCAATGCTGCATGTAGTCAACAGGAAGGGGAGACCACTGTATAACAGTATACATCTATATACAGAGTTCTTATATATACAATAATAAATAAGAAAGAGTGAATGATATTAAGTGATACACTTTTTTTAAATAAGCCAGGTAAATAAAACCTTGATAAAACAAGAGACGTTTGTGTAACACTTATGTCCCCTTCCCCCAAATAATTGGAATTTTTCTGAGTCAAAGGGACATAACTCTGTCAAAAATGACTTGATTGTACCAAAAACAGAATATGACAATGAATCTGTATACCAAGTTTCATTTCAATATGTGCAACCTCTGCAAAGCAAATGAATAGAAACTGCAAAATAATTGGAATTTTTTTAAGTCCAAGGGGCATAATTCTGTCAAAAATTGCCCAATCATACCCAAAACCAAACTTGGCCTAGATATTCTTATGACAAATCTGTATTATAACAAATTTCATTTCAATTTGTGCAAACTCTCTGAAGAAATTGAACAGAAACTAATGGTGGACCGACAGACAGTAGCAAAGCAATATGCTTCCCTTCTTCTAAGGGGGGGGCATAAAAATTTTGAGATACCAAGTCCAAACCCATATAATATGTAATGTACACACAAAGTTTAGATAGATGGTGATGTGATTTGCAAGGAAAAGACAACTCTTTCAATTTATTTGTGCCTTTAGCTGTACAAATAAATATGCCTGTCAGAGTAGTCTTCCTTTACATTTATATCTGTAGTAGAAATATTTTTATCAAATTGGCAATAATTCAAATAACCAGCTATCGCAGTTACAAGAAGAGTAAACAACCACTTACAGCCTTCAACAGGCTGGCCACATTGGCTTGTTTTATGTCTAGTATTTTGCTACTCAACACTTCTGGTAAAATTTTCTGTACACTTCAGACCAGTCAGAGCTCTACTGAGTACAGAGTAAGACCCAGTATATGTCATACACATTATATCATGTGTATACATCACCAGTGTTGTTATTATGGGTGGAGACAATTTACATTTGCAGCAGGATACTAGTCATTTGTACTGTGGACCAACAAAACCTACATGAACTCTACAAATTGACATTAATACGGACAGACTTTGGCCATATGCGGATTGTCTGGCCTGCCATTATGGAGGAATTGACTTGTATTATTGTGTATTGATTCAAAGCAGCGCAGCCAGCTTAATGATATAGGTTTAAATTCCAGCCATGATGACAACTTGATGATGTAGTGCACATTTTTAAGATTTATTTTGTCCATTTTTTCAATTTTTTAATAACTTCACTTTTTTTAAAAATTCATCTAATATACCTTTGGGGACAAAATAGAGAGTTTATCTGTAGGTGTCAAATTATAATACATGCATGTAGCATGTTGCAAATTTTACAGTGATAATATATTTTAAACGACATGTAGTGCATCATTATTAAAAAAAATAAAATTAAAACAACTCAGCATCTGACCTTTTAAATATAATATCACAAACAAATTGTTCACGGCTATAAATAAACAAAATCAATTTTGACAAGCTGAATGCTAGCTCAAATGTTTCCAGATTTTTCTACAGAAAAACAAGAAAAATCTCATGTTTTCTACCACCTACAATATTTATTTAAACTAACACATGAAAAATGTTCTTATTTAGCGAGGGTGCTTCATCATGGTGAATACTTAAATATATCTAACTCCTTCCTGTTTGACCTCCTTTGTACAGAAGTATGACTTGAAGGGAACACTTCTACCATATGTTTGAACATTCTTAAGAATTAATGCCTGGTTATATGCCAACCTTACAGTCTGATTGTGTCAAAAAAATTTACCTACACCAGCATCAATATTGGCATGAGAGCTGTTCTTAGATTATAGAAACAAGAGTTTCCTATCAGTGTGCATAGGTAAATGATTTGTTGCATTTGCTTTTACATGCAGTTTTACTTGAGAAATGATAAAATGTATGGCTGGAATGGGAATTGAACCCAGGACCCCTGTATCACTTGTCAGGTGCTCTACCAACTGAACTACACGAGCTGAAATCCACAGCCCAAATCATTACAAATGATTACAGAAACATTCTGTTGTAGAGTAATGTCATAGCATATTGTCCAATCTGCTGATCACAATAGTATTAATTAATACCTATTAATACTTTTGTCCTTGCTCTAGATCAAACATCCTAAATCAATAGAAGAAATTACAGAATACAGAGTATAACATTAGGTACAAGTGCTACAACTAGTCATCTGTCACAGATAAAGCATTAATCACAGGGTGTGTTCGGAATGTTGTTCTTGAGCTAGGCAGTGGGAGGGGGCAGTGGGCCTGAAGTGTACCACAACACCACAACACAAGTATTCCTGACGAAGTGATGAGATAAGGTGAAGTTGATCAAGCTGGTGTAACCATAATAAATCCCATCTTACTTCAAATGTGGATGACAGAAAATATTACTCTTCTCCTAAAGTAAAAAAAATTTTGACCGATGCCCCTGTGGGTTAAGAGGGGTATGACCTTTTTTGTATAGGCTACCTGTACAAAATTTAATGTGCATTTAATTTTTTTTTTAAAAATGTATTAAAAGTGATCAAAATCAGCAGCCATATCTCAATGGGCTTATATTAATTTTAATATCAACATCCAGATTCCAGAAAAATTTGCAAAAAGAGGAAACTCCCCATGTGTTTTTTCTTATTCTCACTTTTGTTGACCTGTATTCCGAGGCTTGCTCATTGATAATTAATGGCAGGTGCTCTGGCCCTAGCTGCTGGCCATGCAGTAACACAGGTCCACCCAACGCACCTGAGACGGTCATCTGACAACTGAATTATTGCCTAACCAACACACAAAGTGGGAATTTATAGCCGAGTTATAGCCCTACCTCATATAAAACATACATCTCTATATACAGAAGCTAGATAGTAAAGGTTTTTAAGCATCATTACTATGTGCAATGTTGGTGCATGGTATTCTATTTTTATGTCATTTGGTTATACTTTATCAAGGCCACAGATCAGCTGTTACTATAGCAGAGCAAGTCAGTACTCCAGGTCAAAGACATCGTAGTATGTGATTATTTTCTACAGATGTTCACATTTATGGGGCCCTTGTGCTATCTCCTTCCATTGGAAAGAAACTTCTTTCTTTCTGCTTTGGCAATGTGAATTAAGTGTCCATTAAAAAATAAGCATTTTAAATAACTTCATTTACTGATCCATAAAATGCCTCCCAAAATACCTTTTACAAGCACTATCTAATCTTAATTAGGCACTTTTCGTAAATCACGTTTTTCTTCCCTACAGCAAGATAAAGCCTAATAATCAAAATCAAGACACAGTACTAATATTTAGAGGAAAGGTTAATAAGTCTTAAAAGATTTTAATACAGGTCAAACTGTTGAATTTCCTCTGAATGAACAGCTAGAGTAAGGTATTTTTTTCTTTTGTCTGTCAATTGATCCCCTAAAGCCTATAAATACATGTACAGTGACAAACAGGAAAAAATATTCAAATTAAAGAAACCAGGAAAATTCAAGTTTAAGGTTGTTCTTCTTTCAGCAACTAAGTTAACAAGATACATGTATTGTGTGTTGTTTGTGAAAGAAATTTCAACTGCAGTGCAAGTTTCTGCAAAAGTCCAATATTTTACATCCTATAATTTGACCTCAACCTCAAGCAATGGACTTCTCTTCATTTATCCGTTTGTTTAGATGTTCATGATCATGTTTAATGGTGCATACAGATGAACCAGTCAAAAAACAAGATTCTTTGTTTCTCTTTTCTAGACAATTGTGACATCAATATACCATATAACGTACAATTCTTCATTCGTAACAAGCTTTTATCCTCTTTATATAGTTAAATTTTCATAAATAGGCAAAAAGCATTTTTCATCACATTTTTAGCACAAAATATCAAAAAATTTCACGCTATTAATGCAAATTTTTCAGCAAGGACTTAATTATTTTTTCCCCAACAAATTATTATCATGATGACGCAGGCAATATCTTTACGACATCATTAAGTAATATAATAGCAACAAATATTTACGAAATGATACACCAGTGTATATAAATATATGGTTGGCTACCCAACAAAAGGTATTTACAATAAAATGAAATGTTATGCCTTCCCTCATGTACTAACTCCATTTGTTGACAGGTAGTGTAAATTTCACGCTTCTTACCCCAATTGTAGATAACATTAAGTGTGTACTACTTAATAGTACAAACACAGAACGATCAGCCTGATTTTGATCAGCTGTTCGCTTTGTAACATACGTAGTACTATACATGGCAGATTCGTACCTTCAGGAGATGCTTGTTTATCCATTTGGTGAAGGTCTTTTTCTGGACTGCATCCCTTTCATCTAAAATGAAATAAATGACAGGACTTTCAAATATGTTAAGCATACAACGTAAAAATTAGGCATCTGATGCCAAAAGTGCTAGAGGTGAATTTGTTACATATACATGTACATACACCTGATATTCTTTTTGCTGCTGTAACCAAATGTATTTAATCATTTATTACATCAAGTTAAGGTTGATTTAATTATTATAATTTTTAGATTGATACCCCCCCCCCCCATCCCCACCCTTATCCTACACTCTAGCACACTAACTTTGTGAATTGTGTCAAATTTTAGGAAGAGATTAGAGGTTACTCCCCAGTAATTTCTAAGAAAAAGAACATTGTGCCAACTTTCACTTTAGATATACACATCAAAAGATATAAATTAGAGAGTCTTGTAGCTTATCAATTAATCAAACAACCAACTCCTTAGCCTTATATCAAATCATACATCAACATTAATCAAACATACCAAGTTTCAAATCAATCTGTTATAATTTTTGCAAATAAATAAGAAGCTTATTAAAATGTCTATCTCCTATTGTACCAACTTGCAAGGCTAACATACTTTAGAACATTTATAAATGATTTATGCAAGCACCCTTACACTTATTCAAAGATTTTTTTCACCTCACATATGATATTATCCAAGCAAGTTGACAAATGGCCATACCAGAAACAATCAGACAATGACTGCATTGACATGTATCCAAAGAAGCAGAAGAAAAACACAAGCACCTGTTGTGACTTAGACCTATCAGAAATCTTTACAGCTTAACATGGCAGGTTGTTGTCCTTGCTATTGGCACTCAACCTCTACCCCCTTCACTGTTTAGAGTATTATGTTGTATTTTAATGCTTGTTTAAGTTTGTCAAACCATGGCTTTCATAAAGCCATTTCATGGTCATTCCCCTCTATTTGAAAGCACAAAAATTTGTTAGTTCAACAAGTCTTTTTGAACAGCAGTACTTAAGTTAATTTTTATTGCAAAAATTGTTCTACCTTTGGTCAAGGTACTAGTAACCAAAACCCAAAACAAAACTATGTACAGCACTTGCAAATCATTATAGTGACATCTTTCAACAATTTACAATTTTGCACTGGTAATGGTGAAAAAGTCTTAAATGTATAAAGCCTGTAGAAGAAGTGTTAAACCTTTATTGCCTCACAAAAATTGCTATTACATTTATATATCAAAGTCAAATAATATGTTATATCCATTAAGTTTTAGCACATTCCCTCTCAAGAATTTTTCACTCTGCATCAAAGACCAATAGATGAGTATTATTATGGTTTGATTCAAACAATACATGCACATACATGTACCTGCAAGTATAATTTTCCTTCATATTAGAGTCACTGGGCATAGGAAGTGCTGTTCTTTGTATAATGCAGAATATGTGTTGCTACACTATACAATCTATGAAATATCTTACACCTGTATGATAGAAACACATATTACAAAGACTATAAAAGAAATGGTACCCCTACAAACCCTATAGAATAAGTGCATTACAACTACTGTAGATCCCACAGTTATTTTCGGGATGTGTTACTATAGCCTATGGAAGAAGTTTTGTTAATACACCTATAAAACCTAGTATGGAAAAGAACTGGCCATGGTAACAGAATAGACCAATGAAGAGAGTTCTAAAACAGCTTTAGTCTGTATAAATTGTGCTGAAAGCAACAGATTATAGGAAACACCTATGTAAGAAGCATTGAACTTTTATAGCCAATGAACATGCCAATGGTAAATCCAAATGTGCCTATGAAGAAGAAATCTTTAAGGTGTACTTGATTGTACATAATCTACATTATTTTACATTATTTCACATCAAAACAGATTCAAACCTTTCCAACAATGACAAATATCAAATTTTCTGTGCTGATCTTAAAATTTATCTACTTGTATGAATAGAAGCAGTCAAAAAAAGTGGACAAACACTTGAAAATTTAAAAATTTTACCCAGATTCTTATTTTCTGAAGTTTTGGAGACCATAAAAAAATTTTGCTATTGCAACCAAAAAATTTCCTTCATAATCGGTGACTGTTTCGTCAATTGAGCAAATATCAGAGACAAGTTGCATTTTTCAAGTAGTCTGGCCTCCAAAAAAAAGGATTTACAGCCTTTTCAAATGCAAACATTTTTAAACCACTTCATTTCTTGCTGGGGTGTCCTGGTCACACTAGAAACAACATTTACATTAGAACACCTAGAAGGAGAAACATTCAAAATCCTTAAAGAGAAAACAAAAATTTGCTATAGATGGTATTGGTGGATTGTGAAGTATTGATAGAGTTAATAAATTAAATCAATATTGTTGTTGTTCTATAGGCCTTATAAATTTCCTGCTAGAACACTTTTAACAAAACTGTTGACACAAATGGACAAACAAATTATCAATCCAAACACAAGATTTTGCTTTGCAATCTATCCAAAATTTTCATTGGAGATATATGGTTAAGCTTATAGATCATGTAGATGAGCATTTCATTTGAAATGTGATAGAAATTGTATAAAAACGTTTTAATTTATGCAACCACTGGGTCAGAAAAAGACCAAATTTATGTTAATTTAAAGCTTCCTTAATTGTGCATATTTTAAAATTTGTTCAATCATGGCCATTAAAACTGTAGGAGATTATTAAGTTATTCAAAGATTTATTATACAATTATTGCTGGTTTTTGAGGTCAATACAATGATTTAGCCATCTGAGGAGTACAATATTCACCGAGCCCTATATATTTCGAGGTGAATATTGTACTTCGAAGATGGCTAAATCATTGTATTGACCGAAAAAATCAGCAATAATTGTTTTATTATATGATTCACTGATAAAATGATACAGCTAATTACTTGCTTGCATTTTATTAAGCCCTAGCCAAATACAAGAGAGTAGCAGAATCTAAATGTGAATAAACCTTACCAGTCGTATCAATTTGAAATGTTTTTTAAAATCAATTTTTGTAAAAAAAAAAAAAATGCCATGAGAGAAATATATATTGTCAGTCTTTTTTATGGAATAGATTTTGAATGGAAGGAGTTTTATTAGGAAAAACTGACTACCAAAAAGTTTAAAAAAAAAATGTTGTTCAGAAAAAGTGTTGGAGGGGGATGTGTGTCCCTGCATCCCCTCTTACCTCCTCACCCAAAATATATATTTGCTGTTTTTTCACATGAAAATAAAAATCATAGTCGTTTAAATAGCTTTTAAATAGCTTTTTAAAACAATTTATATCAATTTGGAATTTCCGAATCTATTTTTAGGTAAATGTAGAGGAAATAAATCCTTGTATTGACCTGGAACGTCACGTGCAGGTCAATACAACGTAATATTTTTCTAACATAGCTGGATCTCAGCCAATCAGAGAGATTGAAATTATTCAATCATATAATAAAATAATTTATTGGTAAATTCTCTTTTTCTCAAGAATACTGTATACAGGGAAATTTTCGCCCCCGTTTTATTTTCGCCCCTTTCGCCCTACTATCATTTGGGCGAATTTAAAACGGGGCGAATTCAAAGAATACAGTATTATTTCTTAAACAAAACCATGACTGGGCGAATTTAAAACGGGGCAATTTTGTTTGCAAGTGTGAAAGGGCGAAATTCAGACGGGGCGAAAATAACCCTGTATACAGTATATACCAAAACAATTATTATCCCCTCACACTGGAGATGGGGGAGATATATTACACAATTACATGTGTGTGTGTTTGTTTGTGGGTATGTTATGTTCTATGCAAAACAGGTTATGTAATCTGCATGGGGATTGATGTTCGATGCTGTCTATGCTCTTTGCAAGAGGATGCTATGCTTTGCGATGGCCTAGTACAATCTATTGCACAAGCACCTCTATGCAGTAAAAATCTACTTTTGTTTAATTCATTGTCTGTTCAGGCTAGCTTGGGTCAAGGCCACAACATGGGAACATCTTGCACAGAATTTGAGAAATATCCAAACATACTAACTTTTGCAAGAACAAGGAACCTACAATTTAATAAATGGATTCCAAGCCTCATTCTGTGTTAACTGAAACTTTTGAAAATCATTCAATTTCACTTGATTGTTAGATTTCTTGCATTTACATGATCTACATATTCCTACATACTCATTAAAGTGTTGTAGTCCATGGTTATCTAATTCTCTTGTGTCAAAATGTTTATAGCCAAATATTAATATTATTAGGACGTTATAGTCACTAAAGCATCATTAGTCCTTACCATATTAGCAGTGCTTATCATATCTATTGGTACATTTTTGAGCATGGTAACTTTCTACTCAAAGACAATATAATGACCTTAAATCTAAATCACAAATTCACTATGTTTTTTGCAAGAAACTCAACCATGACTACGTACCAATATATCAACTTTGTGTCTCTACTAAGCCTTGTGTATCAAATCTAATATATATCAGCATTGCTCTGATGTATCATCATTTTCAAAACCTCTTAACAAATCTAATGTATGTATTATATTTCAAAATTTAAAATCATTATCACTCTTTTGCATCATTTTAAAATATATTAACTAGTGTTGTTACGATAGTCGCCGACTATCGAAAAATCGTCATTTAAAGGCCCAGATCGGCGACAATCGATTGTAAATATTATCATCGATAGATCGGTATATTTTTCAAGCTGTATTTTTCAAGCCGAGCAGGTTTAACTTTTATATTCACCAAAGGGACTTCACTCTAATCGGCGGTAATCAAAATGGCGAACGTGCATGGTGAAGAGTATGACGCCGAATTATATCCATATCCTGGTGCATTGTCTATTTAAAATACTTCTCAGGATGAATAAATTTAATCTTTTTCAATAGTTTAAATTATCGATTATATAATCGATTGTGTTCTTCCGATTCAATTTGATAATCGATAGTAAAATTTAGGGCTGGGTATTGGCCCAAGATTTCGTATTGCGATATATTGCGATATTTTAAAGCGTATTGCGATATGTATTGCAATATTTTCAAGGTAATAAAAATGGCATTTTCATACTAAATTTACTTTAATTTACATGCAGAATGTACATAACTATGATAAGTAACCAACATGGAAAAATTTTTTTGTTGATTTCAGTTAAGTTATGCTCTGAAATGTTCCAACAAAACAACTTCTGACTTACTGTTTGGCTTAATAACACACTTTCATAAGTCCATTTTTATTTTTAATGACAAATTTCCTTAATCTAAGTATATTGCCAATATATCGATATTACAAAATCGTATTGCGATACGATATTCTTTGTCATTGTATTGCAATATATTGAAATATCGATATTATTGCCCAGCCCTAGTAAAATTTGTCCGATTTTATAACACTAATATTAACATCACTTTGATACATCATATCAAAATCTACCAAAATATATCATATCAATAGTTAATTAACTCACTCTGATGTATCTTGTGAAATCTATCAACATCATTCTGACTGATATATCATTATTTTGTTGTTTCATATTATATCAACATCACTCTCATGTATCATTATCAAACTATATCAACATCACTCTAATATAGCATATCAAAAGCTATCAACATCGCTCTCAAGTATCATATATCAAAATATATCAACATCACTCTGATGTATCATATCAAAACCTATCAACATCACTCTGATGTATCATATCAAAACCTATCAACATCACTCTCATGTATCATATCAAAACCTATCAACATCACTCTCATATATCATTTCAAACCTATCAACATCACTCTCATGTATCATATCAAAACCTATCAACATCACTCTCATGTATCATATCAAAACCTATCAACATCACTTTCATGTATCATATCAAAACCTATCAACATTACTCTCAATATCATATATCAAATTATATCAACATTACTCCAATGTATCATTATCAAAATATATCAACATCACTCTGATGTATCATATCAATATCAACATCACTCTCATGTATCATATCAAAACCAATCAACATCACTCTCAAGTATCATATCAAAATCTATCAATACCACTCCGGTGTATCATATCAAAATCTATTCACATAACTTTGAAATATCATATCTGAAATTGTTCTGTTGTGTGATTTATGATGATAAATCAACATCACTTTGATGTAATCATATCCAAATTTAGAACCTGTCAACGGAAATCTGAGGAGCACAATAAATTCTAAATAATTGTGTGACTGGAATAAGACAAGACAATTCAAATTATTATGGCATTTGTTTCTTATTGATCATATGGTATTTTTCTGAATGAGATGCACCCTTTTCTTAAGAAGAGAAATCTCTAACTTTTATAAGAAATTGATTGTACAGTTGCAATATGTTACGTAATCCCTTACAAGTTAAATCTGTATTATGTTTGCCAAATCAATATTATCTTTCTACATACATTTCCAAATATCATTTTTGCTATGTACAATGTGATACTTTTTGTTTTAAGATTTTTCCCTTTGAAAAATCAAATGATGTCTGACTTTTATACACTGTACTAGCATTTCTATATTCAGAATTTTTAAGCTAATAAACAAGTTGTAAATTGCCATAACATATTTCTCCTCTTATAATTTACATAATATTTCAAAGACATTTTGTGAAGCCACATTAAGTATGCAAACATTAAGATTTTTTTATTACATACTGACATTTATACATATACTCAATGTAGCCAAACAGGTTTGATTCTGGACAAATCCATGGATAAAGGCAAACAAAATTTTAAGTGTGTTGTTATTTTACAATCCTACTGTGAATCTTCTTTGTATTGATTAGTCACAAGAAACCAGTTTTACACCTACACCGAGATATTTATACACATATTTCAATTAATGCACTTCATCCATTTTTAAACCTCTGAGGAATTGTGGTTTGATCATGAGTGAAATCCTTCAAAACTGGAAAAAGGTACCAGGAAAATAAAATATCTACTTGAAAAGGTTTTTTGATGCCTGACTTAAAATGTCTAGGTCCTATCAAAAACACAATTATGCAAATAATGTAATCATCTCACTTCCTTGAATAACTAAGCTTAAGATAAAGGAACTTTCCTTCATATAATTTTATGCATCTTCCATTGCAAACTGGGGGGGGGGGGGACTTGCAACTTTGGCAGAAGTCAATTTCTTTGTCAGGAGCAATAACAGATAAAATCTCAAATACTGATATATAAATATATATGTGTACCTATATAGTACATGTATTAAAATATACATCCTTGATGATAGCAATAACATTATTATAATTTGAAAATATTTAAATATTCACTTCAAAGAGTTTCGGATGTGTGCAAATGCTGTATGGGGATGGAATATAACCTGTATCACTTGCCTATGAATCTATATTATGAAAATGTTGCTAATGTATTCAATATTCTAAATCCACACCTCTTTGAAATAAGCATTGATCATTAATGACATATTTTCAGTACCATTCCTTCTTCTGACAAGATGCCAGAAAATTTTGAAAAACTCAATAAAAATATTGGATCTATATTTAACAAAACTTAACGCATGTGGCAATATCAACCCGTGTGTAAAACACCTGCCCTGCAAGTTTTTTTTCTCTGATTGCAATCATGCATTCAGCATGGCATTTCACCTGAAGATGTTTTGCTGTCTTTACCTGTCTCTTTCCTCCTGTTTTGCTCATAATGAGCCATTGCTGTGGGTGAGAGAGGCTCATCACTGCTGGACTCCTGCCGTGGTCTATACATAGCTGTGTCCATTACTAGAAGACTATTGCCATGATCTTACACCCAGTGACACAATACCTCCCTATACTTCAAACCCCATTGTAATTAAACGGCTACACATTAAATTCCTGATTTATTTATCGAAAGTGTCGTTACGGGGTTAAAATCACAGTACATTAACAAGTAACCCGGTAGATCAGTTCAATTTCACATGACGACCAATGCAAGACACAGAAAATCCAGAGACTGAAAGAGTTAAAAAAAAAACAGGTGCTCATCCCCTCGACGTTAAATTGTCGGTAAGGTTCAAAGCCATCACAACAACTCCTTTTGCTTTCTAGGCAAAGAATAATTCATTCATGTCAGTCATAGGTCAACCCATGCGTGGCTATAAACACGGTTTACCTGTGTGACGTACGCTAAAGGTAAAACTTTCATCTGAGCTAGATTGAATAAACCCGCCTCGAATAGGATTTAAAGTTGATTATTAAAATACAAACCCTTGAGAAGACAAAAATACTATTTCAATGCAAAAGGAATTTACATATTTCATAAAGCATTGTTTCCCAGGTGTATTGCGCGTGACTAATCCTGTGCACGTGCATTTTCCTTCTCATCCAAGACAGGGTCAATATCAAAAGGTGATAAAAATACATCAAACGTATTTTCAATAATTAAAATTCAAATTACCTGCGATTTTTAGAACGGCTCGGTCTGCTGGTTCCAGTTGTAAGGCTCCTAAACTTAGGGGCACTTGATCACTTCCATATTCCCGCAGATAGTAGTCCGGTGTGTGAGACGCCATGGCGAGGAAATTCGAACTGATGTGTCAGAGCTAGAGCTTATCTTCATTCATTCTGTCAATGAATTAAATCGTATGATTCATCGATGTCTGATTCCGATTTCTCTTTTCCGTTTATTTTATTCCTTAATCGATAGAAATCATCCGATTACCGAATACAAATCAAAACAGGTATATAAAAACTCTTGAATGAATTCCTGTGCACTGACTCCTTTATAAAAATAGCCTAATAATTACCCTCTCCTGGACAACAATGATCGTTGAAAAAAATGACGATTTGAACACTACTCTGAGATTAGGGACATTACAACGGAGGCATCTTTTCACACAGACACAGATATTACATATAATTCCGCGAAAATGGCCGCTACAACAGCATGCATGCAGTGTGATGTCATCTATGCCAGGTCTTGGTGTATCAGCCGTATTATCGATCTGCATAATACATGCATTATGTTTGCACAGCTCATGTATTTTACTACAATTGAGTGTAGAATAAAACCGTTGGATAAAATTTTTCAACGTGAACCACAGTTCTAAACCGTAAAAGCATTGACATGAAATAATTTCCGGGAAAATATACTCGTGAGCATCTTATCAAAAAATGAAATAATTTTAGTTTTTTTTAATTTTTTTTTTTCATTTTCAAACTAAAACAAAGAAAATAAAACATTGTTCTGTTAACTTCTTTACAATTTATAAACTTTTTTAACATTGGTATTGAATTAAATATTCGTGATGATGAGTACATCTATTGATGTATTTCTAGTAATTAATTTGTTCATGTTCAGAGAACACATAAGGCTATATATGTGCTTAAACAAATCAAACCTAATGGAGATTTTTAAAAAAAATTCTTTATAATTTCTTATTTTATTCAACATATATATTTAATCCACAATCTGAGATAATTTAAAAATCATTTCAATCAGAGTGCTTCAAATTAAAATTTCATATCAGTTAATTTCATCAAAAACTCACAAGATAACCTTTTTTTTTTTTTTTTTTTTTTGATGGAGATGGGATGTTCTCACATTGGTATTTTCTGCATATGCACCATTACATGCATGACCAGACTATGTCAACCAATATTAAACGGAGGTGAAAATAAAAAGGGGTTTCAAATATTCTACGCAGTCTTCATTATATTGTAAGCATTATGCTAAGAAAGATAAATCTTACATGCAAGTATAACTCAAGTATTTTCTATTTAAATTCTTTCCAATATATATGAAATAAAACATTGTTCCCACGAAATATTATAACTGCGTCAAATACTTATGCAACTTTATTTCAAATGTTTATTTCATGGGGACGAATTTAAAAAAAATATCTCAAGCATATATCATATAAATCAGTCACTGTATAGAAAGTTGTTCAGTGGATTTGGAGAAGAAAAGGGAATTGTGAAAAGTTAACGGACAGATTTTGATCAAAATTCAGAAGAGATTTTGAGGCAGGGCGGGGTCAAAATTAAGTATAAATCCTAAAGCCAGGTCAAGGTATATATATATATTCAAATTTGTTCAAATCATGTCCCCTGCATGCCTGGAGGCAGGGTGGGGTCACAATAGACCATGAAAATCTATTCAATCTTCTAAATCCATGATTAGTCAAATTGAAGAAATATTTTAAAACATCCTATAAATGATAGATTGAAGTGTGTTTTTCAATCAATACCACTCCGATTTTGTCAGAAAAGAATTTATCTGGTATTTGTGAATGTAAACAAACAGGCCAGTTTGTTAAATATGACCTTTACCTGAGTATGTGTAGGGGACTAAACACTGGAAAAGTTTTACGAAGGAAATTTTTGGAGAAGGAAAGGCTGAGGAGTTAACCATACAGAAATCGGAGTGAATTCCCTTATGCTGTTGGAGTGACCACCCTTCTGACAGCTCCGTGTCACGGCGAAATAAAGGTCCAGTTGGGGAAGTTAGCCCATTAGGATAAGGTAAAATGACGGACAGATCTATTTTTTAAACCACGTAAAGCCTTATATCTAGGAAAGGAAGGAGTAAACCATACAGAGGTATGTTGTTGGACAAATTACCCTTCAGCTGCTCCAGGTGCCACGGGAAATAATCGTCCAATTGATAGACTATCAAAGATAAATGTTACCTTTAAAACAAAGACGTTACAGAAACAGCAAACCAAAATAATATTTACTTCAGCGCGTGAAAGGCCTTCCGATCGAGTACAATGAGACTTGTATTAATCCTGGCAATCAAAGCCACAAGGACGTTACCAGCAGAATAAGGAAAGATCCGAACACCACCAAAACAAAGCTCAGATTAGGGCATTGGAATGGGAGGACAAAGTATGAGACAGTCAAGCAAACACAGGAAACAGTTGAATCCCAAGTCCTAGCAGTGAATGAGAGCAGGTGGACTGGATCTGGAAAAACGAAAACCACCAACGAGGAACTGTCTTATACTCTTGGAGAGATGACAACCCACACCATAAAGGAGTAGTTATCACACTCAAGAAGTAGAGCATTGTGTACTGCAATGGAAGCCCCAAAATAATAGATTGATGAGCGTAAGATTGGTGGGCAATCACATCAACACCGCAATGACACAAGGCTACATACCAATAAAGGGCAGTGGCGATGAAGACAAAGACGACTTTTACAGTCAGCTACAGGCAGAGACAGAGAAGAACCAACGGCATGTCCTCCTTCTCATCATGGAGGACCCCAATGCCAATGATGAAAAGAACAAAATAACATCGAAAAGTAAAAAGACATGGGAAAGCACAGCATTGGGACTGGGAATATATTGGCTATATAAACTGATGGATATCTGCACTGTGAATAACCTAGTGAAAGGAGGAACCCTCTTCAGTCTTCACACATCGTGATATTCACAATTTGACCCGGAACTCACCAAATGGAAGGGACAAGAACCAGTTTGACTATCTGATGATAAATAGGATGTGGAGACACTCTCAAAGAAATGTTAGGGTAAAGCAAAGTGCAGACGTAGGTAGCGTCCATGACGTAGTGACAGCACTCATCAAGATTAGACTAAAAAAAAAGTAGAGACAAGGCCTTACACTCAAGTACTACAATGAAGCACATTGAAGTGGTAAAATTTTCCGTTTGGATGAAACGTTCTGAGTCATGTTTTGAACGTCAATTACAACATAATGACACGCCCATATTTTTAGAAACGAGAAAGAAATATTCGTCGTAATGTTTTAGGACATCCCATTCTTCGCGACAAGCATTATAAGTTACACTAAAATGGAGCTTTAAAAAATTAGAGAGAGTATTTGAAAACACAAATTGCAACGAATATGTACATATTTTTGAATTTATCATGTCTATTGAAGTTACCACAACACATGAAAGATGCCTTCAATTTCAGCAATATTTATGGAAAACCTTCCAAATCAAATTGCATCCATTTCTAAAGATGGGCGTGTCATACTGGATGACAATAAACGTTCTTAGGAGTTCCACCAATATGGACAACATATTGACATTCAGAGACTGAGGGAAACACCAAATTGTACACCAAAAGAAGCTTTATTGAAGCAAATTGTACACCAAAAGGCCTTTTTAAAATCACCATCAAAGATTGGATCCAAAAGGAGATTCCAATTGCTATTAAAAGATAAAAGAAATCAGGAAAAAGATGCTGCAGATCAAGTACCCATGGCTGCGTGAATGACAAGAGGAGTTTTACAGGGAATCCCACAAAAGAGTCAAGAAGCTTGCATGCACGCCATGACAAGAGAGTAATTATGGACCAACTTTCAAGTGAGGTAGAGGAGGCGGCATCAGGGGGAGAACATGGGGGATTATACTATAAAGATCACAAAAAGAGTGCGTGGTTAATTTAGAGGAAATACAGAAGGACCTATCAAGAATACTATTTAGTAAACACAGAAAACTACCGTCAACAGAAAAATGAACAAGAAGAGAGATGGGCTCAATATTTACACAAAGTACTTAATCGACCATCACCTGATGGGTCGGTTGTCATACATAAAGCCACAGAGGATCTGGGCATTGGCACTGCCCTACCACCTAAAGATATGATAATTAATGCAATCAGGACCCTTAAGAATAAGAAGTCACCGGAATATGACAGTTTTGATGCTGAGCTATTTAAGGCGGATCATGGAATAGCAACCACCACCCTAAACCACTGTTCACAGCTGTGTTTGATGGAGAAAAAGTGACTGACAACTGGTGTAAGGAGGTGACTACCAAGTTCTAGAAAAGGACCCTTAGCAATTGCAACAACTGAAGGGGAATTACTTCATAGTCTAGCAAAAATAAGATCCTGGCAAAGAAAATTATTAAAAGACTGTCATATCTAGACGCTGTTAACCCTCTACCAAGGAAGGAACAAAGATGCATTGACGCGATCTTTATACAATTTATCATTGAGTCAAATGCTGACTGACGTTTTTCATACTAATAACTAATTGTTGGTCCATCATTTATACACTGAATTGACGACGGATTTTCTCGTTATTTCTCGATCATGACAAGGAGCACACGGCGGGTGTGACCGGTCAGCAGGGAATGCTCACTCCTCCATGGCACCTGATCCCACCTCTGATGTTTCAGAGGTCCGCGTTTGCTCTGCTACTATTTTGTATTGTTTTATGGACTTTGATATTGAATACTGTTCGTTATCTCCATATCCTCCTCAACATCATAGAGCAGTGCATAATGTAGGAAAGACGACTGTAGGTAAACTTTGGGACTTTGAAAAGGCATTCGATAGCATACACCAAGGCAACTTTCGGAGCATCCTTCGTCATCATGGTATTCCATCCAAACTGGACCACAGGATTAAGAGCTTTTACAACAACTTCAGACGTTCAGTAGAACACAATAACAACCTCTTCGATGTAAAAAAAAAATGGAGTCTGACAAAGATGCGTGATGTCTACAGTTTTATCTAACTTGGTCATCAATTGCGTCATATGGAAAACAATAGAAGACTCTTGAAGGGGATTTGCTGGGACCTGTTCTCAACTTTGCGCTTATGTCTCACACACACCAACACAACCAAGATAAAATCAATAGGCTGCAAACCTACAGACATCAATCAGATTGAGCTACGCATCAGTACCAAGATCAGATTGAGCTACGCATCAGTACCAAGAAGACGGTGACAATGATACTAAATGTAGAATTGCCTGCTCTTATTAAGGTCAATGGTAATAAATTACACCAGACGGACTACTTTACTTACCTTGGTAGCATTAAACAAGAGGACAACACAAAGGAGGACATCCATAGCAGACTAGGCAAGGCCTGGGATATATTTAGAGACATGAATGTCATATGGAGGTCTGCACAGTACAGCACCAAACACCAGTTGACATTTTATCAGAACTGTGTTATATTAACTTTTCAATACAAATCGCAATGCTGGAGAATAATCGAGACCGATCTTAGCAAATTACAATTCTTCCACACCACATGCCTCTGCCGAATACTTA